TGCATAGGTATAAACCTAGAGCAAGCACCATCAGCACTTCTTGACTTGCATGTTGAATTGAGTTCACTGGTGCCTGTAACATTCTGTGCTCAGTGTAACCAAGTCTGTCTCTCCCAAACTGGAGTCTCCTTAAGCTAAAACATCCCACAGAAAGCTCATCACCCTGCTTTAATAACCACAGTGAGAGAATGCCTATTATAGAAAGAGTTAGTAGTTTCCTGGTGTCTAATAAATACAATATACTTCAGCATGTCTTTTTAAAAAAAAATACATAAAAATTAAAAAAAAAAATGTAAATACAAAAACTTGGACTGATAGAAGTCCCTCCACACTTTCACTGAAGACTTTTACTGTTGCATCTGGCAGTACTTGAATTGAACTACTGTCTGTTGCAGAGGTGCAGTTTTTCTTAGCAAGCCCTGCTGGTTAGCCTAGAGCCCTCCGCTTTCTCCTTGTGCAATACTTGTCCAAAAGTCTTCTGGATATTTTTTCTGAGTGGAAAAGGGAAACCCTGCAGTGGTTTTATTTTGAACTACAAATTGTGTCAGCTAATTTTGAAAAATGTTATTACAGCATCTGTATCACAAACTATCTTGAAACTCCAGACTGCAATGCAAGGCACTGTCCTGCATTACGCTTGCAGAAGTTGGTAATTAGGGATGTGAGGAAAAGGTTATGTTACCTGTGTGGCAAAGATGGCGATTAAAGGAGGAAGGACATGGGAACATCTGCCAGAGGCACGCTGGGGTGCTGCTGTTGTGCAGCCACATAAGAAAGGAGAGCAGGGATCTGATCTGCCTTTTAAATCAAATGTGTGATGAATAAATGCATTGTGGGATTTTATTTTTCAGGGTAGTTATTCCAGATCATTTCCCCCTTCCAGCTCTAAATGTTCATACTGAGGAGAGGGAGCAGACCAGGGGCTAGGAGAAGGAATGGGAAGGAGGGCAGGAGAGCAGGGGGTTGACTGAAACCACTGTTTCTTACAAACGTCTTGTACCATGAAAATAAGATCTGCAACAACCGTCTTCCAGCAGTGTAAGTTTCGTACCTGCATTTTTGTGGTTGCTAGCAGTGTAGGGTATGTTGGGGTGAACCTCCTGCCTTTGTACCCTGGCACAGAGGCTGACCGTAAAGCTTCAGGGCTGTGGAGATGCTCAATAGTTACCAGAGAGGAATTTTAGTAAGAACTTTGATCTCAGTTAAACTTTCACTAGGTTATCCTTTGACGATGATCTTTCCTGTGGTTGATTGTAAAATACACCTACTGGGAAGAGATGCACTGGAGCAGGGCTTCAGCTGTGAAGACCGTGCAGTAGGATCAGAGGACCATTTTGTCCTCTGCTCTTTGCTCATGTCTCAGCATGCTGGCCTGGGGATTTGACAAAAGCCCAGAGTCTTTTTCTGTATTTCCTTTATTCTTCCTGTAAGTCTCAGCCACTAAACATAAGTGCCTGCTCTCTGGTGCCCACATGGAGGCATTGTCACAGGCATTGTGACTCAAAAGCTGGAAGCTTTATACCCCACACTGATGGGACCCATGGAAGAATTCCAGCTACTGGCTGCTTCTTCCTTCAGGATAAGCTCTCATTCTTGTCTTTGTGTATCCTATCTTACATAATTTTTAACTAAAACTTTGGTGTTAAATTAACAAGACATTATCTTAAGTCCAGGTTAGGACTCAGAAGCAAAGACTGCATAAGACTTGATGGAGAGGTTGTTTCTACCTGGTGTTATATGAAAGTCCATCATACTCCTTGATACCTTAGAGGGGTCATGTCGTTGTCCTGGCCGCACATAAGAGGTGCACAAAAGAGCTGACAAGGGACTTCTTCTCTTGATTCTCACACAGCCACAATCATTATGTGAAACTCACTGCTGAACCCTACATCAGGCAAAAGCATGCTTTTTTGATATTCGTGGTGTTGGTATTTTCTCAGCTTGATGTACATAGTTTAAAGTTTTTCAGTGATCGATTTTCATGTTCCTGTTGTTAGCTGCATTTGTGTACAGCTTCTGTAAAACCTGAGCTCTTCCATACCATCACAATCACTCTCTGCTCTGGTGTGTAGCTTTAGGAGTTTCTGAAACTATTAGGGAGTATTTGTGTTATAGTCTAGACAGACCTTATGCCTTAGAAAATAGAGTTTTTCAAAACTGATCAATGTTCAGCAGATTCTGCTGCTGCTGCAGCTAGTGGGAGTTTCAGGAGTGCCTGGCCATGGTGAGAGCAGGATTCATGCCAGGCTCTGAAGTACCATGCCTGGACTAAGAAGCAGCTCTGTTACTAAGTCCGTATCTGAAGCTTTTGGCAAAACTGGGTTTATTCCATGGAATAGGTCATGTTTCCTGAACAGTGAGGCTGGGAGACCTGTCCCTGTAGTGTCACAGAGCTTTCAAGATGTTGAGCGGCTGCTGTAGGGTGCAGCACAGCCATTACTGAAAATGCTCCAGATGAAGCCTCTCATCCTTCATGTAATGAGGCCCAACTGCTCTATCAAGAGAGTACTTTTGCTCCCTTTCCATCAGTACAGATATTCCTGCCTTCCAACAGCACAGGTCAAAATTAGGTCTGTTGTCCCCATTTGCGCAAGCCTGACAAACAGAAACTTGTCCTAAATTAAATACAGCAAATTGCAGCTCAGACATGAGAGTGGGACTAGAGTGTGCCAGAGTGGTTGGCAACTACCACTGGCTTTCTTCACAGCACTGTCTCCCCATGAGGCTTTCCCAAGATCAGTATTTCCTCAGCCCAGAGCTTTTGATTTTTCTCAGAAGCATACTTCTTTTCCACACTACCACCTTCTCTGCCGTAAACTTTCTTTTTTAGAATTATCTCATGATCTCCATTTTAAGCCCAAATCCTGCAAGATGTAGGCACCAAAGTCCATGGCTCACGGTGGAAGCGAGGTAGGTAGACGTCCCAGAAGATGCATGCCTTGGCTTTTGATGGCTGCGACCACTGCTCTGTGGAGATGTGCCGAAGAAAAACCATGTCTGGGAGTTGCTCACCAGGAAAAAAAAAGAAAAAAAAGGTCCAAAGGAAGTCATCCCTTGCTTCTGCTATATGCAGTGTAGTGGGCATCAGAGGTGGTCTTTGTCCTTTTGGTGTCTCCAACCCCTTTTGCACCACTGCGGGAGCCAAAATCACTCAGCTGATGGTAGCCCAGTGCATTCCTCAGTGTCTGACACTGGTAAAAGTGAACAGCACTGAGGCTTCCCTCCCTTTCTGTCCAAGCTCTCTTCTTTTTTTGTGGTTTAGGGTTTCATCCATAAAGCTAGCTATAGTGCCTATTACTGGTATTGGACTCCAAGGTGCCATCCTGAAGTCAGTGTGGGATTGACCAGTGAGTTTTGCAGAACTCGGGTCACCCTAAAGTATTTCAGGGAGTGAAGCCAAAGTATGGAGGACTTGCCATTTCCCCAAAAAACAGTGAGGCATCTTGGAGACCCAAGCTGTAATGCAGTGAAGGACTTTAGAGGGAGAAGCAAAACCCAACACAGCAATTAAAATTTTCCAGTGAGTTAGGAGGATCAGGGGGCTGTTTGAGGAAGGTTTACAAGGATGGGGGGGACTTTCGCCTTGGTGTTGGTGCAAACCCATGGCCTTTTACTGGGCTCAACTGCATTGCTTTCTTCATTGCAGATGCCAGACAGAGCTCACAGCTTTGGAGGGAAAGAGCAGACCTAGTAGCAACATGCATGAGGTCATGGGTTAGCTCAGGTTTTGGTAAACACTGCTGCAGGATGGGTGAGGAGGATGGTGCAGGAAAGCTGCCTCGTGCTGCTGCATGCAGCTCCAGCCTGAGTGGATGCTTGCACTTCTTGCATGTTTACACCTCAATGGCGAAAAATACGCTGAACGTAATCCTTGTCATAGAACCCTTGCTCTGTGCTGGGAACTGGGGATATGTGTGGGCAGGTGAGTATTTGAAGGTTGGGCACTTTTCAGGTTATTTTTAAATCTCTGGTCCATGGTGCAGCCTTCATGTAAGTGCAGGAGTCACAGTGGAGCCAGGGAGCTGCTCTGCAGAGCACAGGCACATGCAATTTTTTCCATTGTCTTGCAGTTTTTATAGTTATTTTCTAAAATCATGCAAAAAAAGTATTTAATGAGAGGATTTACCAGGGGGAAAGACTTGAAGTCTTCTTGCCTTTAGCACCACCCGTCCTGTGTCGCAAAGCAGCTGGCCCTAACCCATGTGCCTATTGTCTTTGAGCCAGCATGAGGATTTGCCCAAGGTGTATAGTAGTGAGGGATCAGCTGAGTAAAGGCTGGGCTATATGTCCCTGTTAGAAATCTGTAGGGGGTTATTAGCTGGGCATTACAAACAGCAAAAAATCAGTACCCTACCGCAGCATCAGGATGTGATGGTTATAGGCTTCAGGGTACGGTTAAAAAAAAAAATACAGTGCTACCACTTGTGCAGGGATGTAAACTGGATGCCATGTTAGTCAACAGCTCAAATAGTTGTTCATAGTGCCTTTGAAAATAATATACTGCTTTTATAATTTTTGCAGGGGTACTCCTTGGCTGCACTGTCCTGATGTTGAAGGGGAAATGCTGTCTGAAAATAGAAGAAACCTCTATTTTCCTTCCTGGGGTGAGATAGCGTGTTGTGGCTCCAAGTCTCAAACCACGGTTGCAGAGGCACAGCAAGAAATAGTCTCGTGGAGCATCATCATGGGATCGTTTATAGTGCCAAAGTTCTACTACTGCATTAAAAAAGAAAAGAAAGAAAGATAAAAGGGCCCTTGTACATAGGTTTCTCCTTAGCTTCTCTCCCACCCACTTTCCTGCCCAGCCTCTTCCTCTACTGGAACAGATTTGTACAACGTGGAAATTTTGTTAACTTTTTGATAGGTGCAAGCTATTCTTGAATATAATGCCATTGCAAAATCTGGGGATTGGTTTGGGGGAGGGAAGTGTCTTTTGTGGGGGAGGGAAAAGAAATTTTTTTTTTCTGAAGCATTTTAAAACAGATTTGCAATCTTTTGGAGTCTTGTTGGTGCGGATCAACATCTGAGCCCAGATCCCCACCCTAGTTTACATTTCAGCCCACTTAAACGCCTTATGGGGTTGGGGAGGGTCATTCTGGAGTGGTTGGGCTTTGGTTTTTTTCTTACTGTTTTGACTTTTTTGTTTTAAGGCCACCTGCTACTGGTTGAAGTATTTAAATCTCTGCTTTTCTGTGCTCCTACAAGGCAAGTCTTCTCCAGCTCCTGTACTTTACTTTTCACAAGCCAGCCCCAGAAGTGGGTCTCTGAAGATCTGGATAGAATGCCTTTTTTGGTTTTTTTCTTTTTTTAGCACTTTTTGTTTAAACATGCAGTACAACCCCAGAGGGGTTGGAGCAAGAAAACCAAGATGCTTCACAGTCCAAACTTGTTACTGTTTCTTTGGCTGGTACAATGATGGACATCATAAGCAACAGCGTGGCCTCCAGCTTTAGATGTTGTAGCGCACAACAGAAACTTCTGATTAACCCTTGCCACTAAATTTTTAGATCAATCCTAGGTTCCCAGGTGCACTTTTTTTCAAATACTGCTACTTTGGATTTGTGTGGGGTGTCTGTCTGTGCATGTGTGAGGAGGAGGAGGGAGAGCGGGAGCGTGGGTGTGCAGGTGAGCGGGTGCAGGAGCCATCCAGTGCATTCCTCTGACAAGCTGGGTTTGGAAAACTTACCCACCTTTCAGTACGCTGCACAAATAGGATGCTAGGGAGTTTGAATAAATCCAACTTTTCTAACTTGTTGCTTATTTGTTGTAACTCAATAAAACAAAGGCTAAACATTTTGGTAACCTTTTTCTTGTATCTTTTTTTTTTTTTTTTTAATTCCATTTAAAACCCAAACTCGGCCCCCACCAGCTCTCCTTGATACACAAGAGCTCAGTGTCTTCTGAGCTGCGATTAGGGTTTTAAATGGTTTTGCAGTAATCGGCTTGGCAAACGCTAACCTGATTAAAGTGAACTCAGTGAACTACCGGTGTTTATTTCCCCCAGTGTTGGATGGCTCTTCCCCAGGCGAGGGGGCCGGATAGTGCCTGGGACTGGGGATTGGCAGGGCACCTTTATTTTGGTTGCAGTCACAACCTGAATGAAAGAATGAATGAATGAAAGAATGAATGAAAGAAACCGCCCCCATGACTCACCCATACAGAGTTACTTTTATTAATCATCAGCACAACATTTAAGTATCGAGGGAGGTTTGCAGTGGGTGGCAGCAAGGGCTCGGCGACTTTCCTTACAATAAAGTTGTCTACTTCATTTCCGAAGAGAAGTGACGGGCTGGGGCAGCACTTGCTGTGTTTGTGTGTCACAGGCCAGTGCTGAGAGGTGGGGAAGCAGCCTGACCGTGAGTATGCACGTGTCCTGTCACACATGGTGCTGGGCCTTGTGCTCCCACCTGCGTGGAGGTGGGTGCCTGTGCAGGCACATCCATACCCCCCAGGTTGGTTGTCAAATCGATGGCTGCAACTGTCAGGTGGCCAGAAAGAAAATGCCTCCAGGGACACTCCTCCAGGACTCCAAAGTTGTAACTGAAACTAATTGCCACTTCTGTCTGCTTTGCTTACATGAAAGGATGCTAATATTTTAATTGCCCTTGTGCATAGTTTTTAACAGCCACTTGGCGGTTTAATATTCCAGTTTGCATCTCTCCTGTCTGATGTGCGCGTACGTCTGTGTGTCGGGAACGCTGACCTACTTTGCTTAACCAGCAGCACTCCCAGGGAGCTCAGCAGGAGGTTTAGGAAGAACAAGACCCACCTGGGTTTTCTGTATTTGTATAGCCCCAGACACGGTGGCATTAGGGGCCAGGACTGGGGCGATTTAAGCTCTCTGCAATTCAAATAAAACAATAGCAGCGGCCCTGGAGTCTGTCATCGCACAGATAATAAAGCTGAAGTTCTTCCACAGCAAACAAACAGGCTTGCAAAAGACTGGCCCGGCCTTCGCAGACGTCGGCAGAACGGCAGCACCAGGGAGGTTTGTGCAGGCAGGTTGGGGTGTGATACCAAACCTTCAGGCGCCAGGTTTCATCAGGGAAAGCCGATCCAGTGGCCCCTTTTCTTTAGCTTAAAGCAACCCAGGTCCCACAAGGATTGCTTCAGTGTGGCTGCCGGAACGGGTTCACAAACTGGGCATTGCAAGCAGGCTTTGTTTTTAATTAATACCGACACAGAGACTGTGTTTGTAGGAGAGTCCAAGTGGTGAGGCACAATCAGGACATTGTTTGTGTGCGGCGGCCATTAGGGACGGCCTTGGCCGAGGGGTTTCGTTGCACACAGATGAAAAGAGGCTGCTGACACCGAGTTTCCTCCTGCCCAGCCTTGCCTGGTGTTTGCACCATGGTGTGTGGCTGCGAGCGGGGCCCTGCACCCACGAAGCTCGGCAGCAAGGGGGAGTTCGGTCAGCCCTTCTCAGGCAGGGCCCCTGGGAGCAGCAGTCCCTGGCACTCAGGTTTTGATTGACATTTTCACAATGCGTTTTAACCTGACGATCTTGAAATGTTCCAACCAGAAGAAATCTAGTTAACACAAAAACACAGAAAAATTTAAAAAACAGGTTTTTGCACTTGTGCAACACTTTTTTTTTTTTTTTTTTTTAAATGTGGCTTGTAGAAAAATCCAGCACTTGGAAGCCAGGAACAACTTGGATTAGGTGGCCTCTAATGTTTTAATTTAGTCTGCCTGTATGCTGACAAGATAATGGGTTTTCACTATATACACACATTACTTCTCCTGCCTGGTCCATAAAATGCTGAAAAGGGTGCTGCTCAGTAAATGAGCTGCCGTTAGCTCCTTACTGCTGTCAGGGGACTCCAAGTACGTAATAACACAGATACAATTTAGGACAGCTAAGACAGAAACCTTATTAAATGTAATCATGGTGAGAGACCACTCGGACAGCAGAAAACAGCAGCATTACAAAATGGTTTGGGTCAGAAGGAACCTTCGAAGATCATCTCATCCAACACCACTGCCATGGGCCGGGACATCTTTTACTTACCAGAAGAGGTTGCTCAAAGCCCCATCCAACCTGACCTTGGGAAGTTTTGGGGCAGAAACTTCAGTGTATACGAACCTCTCTGCAGCATAAATGCTTCATTTTTCATGATTTTTTTTTTTTTTAAGAAAAAAAGCTCTTAACTTTTTAACCACATTGCTGAAGTGGCACCATTTCTAACCCCAAATATCTGATGTTGACCTTTGGGAATTTCATTTAATGCATCACTTACTTTGAAAGTCAGCTAGTGAGTGGTGCATGGAGTCTGTGTCTGCAAGGTGAAGCCCGGCAGTTGTAGGGTTCACTCTCAGAAGAAGGGGTGTCCCAGCACCATGTGGACCATCACAGGCTGGGGAAGGGGCGGGGTAAATGCTGGTTTATGCAAGAAATCTTTGTGATTATGACCGTAGTGATAATTATGTGGTGATAACTTAAAATTTAGATAAATACACAGGTAAAATGGCAACCAAGCTAAGTAATACTCATGCATTATATTCACCATTAGCAGAAGTTTAATCACTGACACTTTCCCTATCATCATCTTGTAGCCCTCAGATATTGTCAGGTAGCAAAAAGACATCCTGAAACCTTACTAGTAGACAGAAGGGGGAAAAAGACTTACAAAGGCATATAAGGCAACATTGTAGGAATTCCATTTGGCATCCTGATAGCAAGGAAAGAGCACACCAGTGGTGGAAAGGAACTTTTTAAATCATGTCCTGAGGAAGAGGGACCATTTAGATCAGCAAACGTGACAACTTCTGTACTTATCTGATCCATAACTACGGGAAAGTGGTTACGACTCTTGAGCATAATTCTGAAAATATTCATAGTACAACAGGAAAAGTGAATGTATTGAAAGCAAGAGAATGTGAGATACACATCAAAGGGATGAAAAAGCAGCATAAGAAACCAAAGCTGGGTTTCTCGGGTGTTACGCAGTTGAACCATACCCCAATCAGATTATTGCAAGCTCTAGCGAGGATGGAGGTAAGAGCTGAGTGACCAGGTAATTGTCAGACCTAATCACACAGCACACATCTAGAGTACAGTAATCAAAAGCAGGGTTTTTCCATTGTTTTCTTATTTTCATCAGACCCAATGCTCCAAAATGGTAGTTCTAATTATATTACAATTCTCGTAATTTAAGTGTGCTGTGAGAACCACACAGACAGCAAATTGGCTCAGAGTAAGTGGGACATCTCTTGAAGGTTCTTCAGTACACAAACTCATCCTCTCCTTACTCTTTTCTTTTTTTTCCTTTCTTAAAAATCTAGTTCATCCCAGTGCAATATATCATGTAAAATTTAGTGTGTATCAGTCAATCTAAAAAATCTTTGGTTTTGCAACACATCTATGAGATACTTAAAGGAATAATACCATTAAACCTGAGTTTATGAACAAAGAAACTGAGACACCATGTAGTTATTCACAAGGCTGCAGAATAAATGTGCTAAAGGCGAGAGCTGGAGTTCAGCTTGGCCTTGTCTTCCAGCAATGAAGCTTCATTTTATATTTGTATCAAATAATTGCTGTTTCGTCTGTGTTTCTTATTCTTCCATCCGAAGCCTTTCCCATTCCAAGAGACAAAGACACAAAGGCAAAAATGAGTGAGCTGGGACTGGGGCTCCTCAGGGACCCACATCCCGCACGATCCCAGTGGGACATCTCTCTTCCCCAGCACAGCTCTCCGCATGAAGCTTTCACCTTCCTGCCTTAATTCCCTCCACCTTTAAGCCTCTCCTTAAACATCTGCCCCGTCGCCCATTTCCAGTGACCCTTGTTTTGAGGGGCATCACAGAAGGTGCCAAGCACTCCCCCCCGCCTGGCTGGCATTTCTGGCCACCACTGCAGCTGCTCTTTTATTCGCATGGAGAGGGAACTTCTCCTCCCTTTAAAGCAGGAGCTCATGGCATGCCCCAGAGTGCTTTATAACACATTAGCATGCATGTGTGATTAAATCCCTCTCAGTATTAAGAGCATCACTATCTCCTCAGCTTGAGAGCAACAGAGCCATTCAGCCTCTTTGGGCCCTCCGAACTGCTCACGCGAAGTCACTAATACCAAAAGGCATTTTGCCACATGGTGGAATACAGCATACCTCTATACTTAAACATTCGAATCTGACATATTTTGCTTTTTTGTCAGCCTCTTAACCCCAGTGGTCCCTCTCATCAGCAGCACTAGGGCCATCAGCTAATGCTGGCAAATGATGATGAGGTTCTCTGGCAAGGTGGAAATACTTCACTTTGCCTCCTGCCTCAGTGCACTCCCAAGACATGCATTAAACAGCAGCATCATGTCTTATCACCCGACTGATAAACCTCTTCACAAAGGGATCTTCCCCAGTGCCTATTCATTGTAGCCAGGCTTTCACACAAATTCAGACTTATTTGGCTGCTCTCTGATGGAGTGTTGCCTACAACTCTGCTCCAGGTTCTCCCAAGGCACATTTGAACATTTCCTTTCACTTGGATTGCCCATAGCTTCAATTGTTAAGCCCCATCAGCTGCTGCTTCACCTGAAGGGCCATGTTCTCCCCATGCTCTTCCCAAAAACTGCCTCCAGGTGAGGGGAGGATGTTGAGCAGGAGAGCTGGCTCTGAAAAGCCAGGGGGGCTCCCTGCAACCAGGAATTTAAATCAGCACTGTATCTGATTGACTGACATTGTTGTTATTACTTGTGACACATTTGGAGATAGAGATAGGCACTGCGCATGCTAAGAACAAGGCACACATCTGGAGCAGCTGTGACAAACAGGATGCCAGTGGTTTTGGCATCATTAGTCCCATTATACAGAGAGAGAGCAGAAGTGCCCCAGACTGGGAAGCACAGCTCCAAACCTTTTTCTGCAGCACAAATTCAGCTACCACCAGGTTTTAACCACAGCTGGGCAAACAGCAGGCAGAGAGCACCTGGGTCAGGGCAGGGGGGCTGGGGGTTTGACCTGCTTTCCATGAAGCCAACAGAGCCCAGGAGCACAAGCCAAGCCCCATTCCCACATCTGAAGGGCAGCATGCTCTAAAACTCCCTATTAGGGATTGAAACAAAAGGAATTTTAATCTTTTTTTTTTTCCCCCCTCTCTTTAATGCCAGCATTTGAATGTGGGGGGATGGAAATTTTAACATGAAGCCACACACTGAAGGTCATGGAAAGGCAAAGCAGACATTGTCTCCAGTAATATTAAAAGGAAGACCAACCCTACTGTGTCAGAGCAAAAAAATGAATACTTCTTTTGATTGGAAAGAAAGTTTCTCCATGCCCAGTTGCGGTGCAGCATTGCACAACAGAGACTGCTGCGGCTGGGAGCAAGGAGAATTAATTACTTTGCTTTTTGAAGCATGGGCTGCTCTGCTCTGCTGTGCCAGCTTCAAGAACGATAAGCGCTTATCCAAAGAGCGCAGTTTTGTCCTCCGGCACAGCAGTTTTGCCCGTCTAAATCACAGGAGGCTGATGAGTTTTTGTTTTCTTCGTACTTGGCCTATGCTTGAGCCTGGGTAGCACCACACTCTTTTCAGACTCACAGACACCAATTTTATGCCATCCAAGGAAGGACACTGGACTGAGCATCGGCGTTGGCCATAAAGCACTGCAGTGCAGTTGGGTTAAACACCATCCCAGAGTGCCAGCTCCCATCGCTACGGCACGTTACAGCCCCGCTGCACAGACGGGGTTTTGCCAAATACAAATTTATCTCCAAACCACCTCCTCTCCGGGGATTTTGCTTTCAAGGGCATTTCAGCATCTGAACAAAGATGAAGTACGCCTCTCTGAGCAAGCAGGCGGCGGGGCGGTGGCACTGGACGATGTCTTCAGCCCTATTTCTTCAGCCCTTTATCCTCAGCTGGGCAGCAGCAAGTCAAGCCGCAGAATGGGCTTATTGGTGACATGTGTGGCCTTTCAGGTGGTTGAATTGTCTTCTTGAGCCTCTTACCCCCACCCTTATTTGTTTAGAAGGAGATTTTTTTTCTTTTCATATAAGTGATTTGGGAACTGAAGTCATACAGGTTACTGGAGCCTTCCTCCTCTGCTCACAAATAGTTTCCAGGTGGCCCTTGGCAGGAGAGAAATTGTTTCCCTCAGTAAAAGCACCACCCACCAAACTCAGGATAGCTGCTGGTGCTGCCACACTGACCTTGAACAAGAAAAATCACATGGTGTTTAAATTTCCACCATAGTGTTGACGCCCCATCTGAAAAAGCAATTCCCACCTCTCCCAGAGCCACTGTCTGTGGCCATCTGCAGCCTCAGCCTGCCAGAGTCGTAACTCCCAGCTCTCCTCCTAATCCCGATTTTTTGGCAAAAGCTGCTGATTTACCTAAATAGTTGCAAAAGAACTGAAGGACACAGGCATAGGGCAGTTTTTACATGAACAACTCCTGCTGGCCTGTTAACAGACTCTTCCAGAAATATTCAGCAAGCCTCATCCCAGTTCTCTGATGGTAGAGCCAAACCCAATGTCTCTCCTCAGCATCCTGCACACTGAAGTTCTTAATTCATCTTCATAGCATCAATAATTTTTTAAAAAAATATAACAAGCATGAGACTAAACATAAGAGCTACTCAGAGATTACCAGGGTTTTACCACCCATTTCTTGATGCAAGCTAGAACTGACCTACTTCCCATGCCATGTGTAATTGATTTTAATTCACTACTCCTGAACCACAGCCACCAGTACCTAAGCAAGCCAAGAAACAAACTCACAGACAAGAAAGATCAGCACTTCTTTAGAATTATGTTCTTCCTGAATTATCATGTGCAGATAGCAGCTTCTTGACACTTATGCTTGTTCAACACTAAATCAGTGCTTCAAATATGACCCAGACTACCAGCTTCTTAAAGCCACCACCACTCAGGCTGCAAGACAGATGTACAAGGGTGGGGGAAAAAAATTATACCCACATCCTACCTGTTGCAGCTGCTATTCAGAAAGATCTGCTGTTGCAGATCCAGGGCACCAACATACTTCTTTCTTCCAACATTCTCCCTTCGTTCACCAGCTCTCTACTGGGGTTGCAGTACCAGTCAGTAGCTGTTTTCTGGGAAACATGTAGCAAAGCTGAAGCCTGACACACAGTGGCATACTCAGAAATAAATGCAAATCCATAGAACTACCCTCATTTGGGCAACATACGGGTTACAATTGCTCCCTGCCCAGCAAGGAACATCTAAAAGTAAGCCTACATTTTAGTATTTACTTTAACAGAGCTTGCAATTTTAAGATACTCCTCTGATAGGGGAAAAGATCAAAGCTCTATAGACCAGACAGCGAGTGATTTGGCCCCCAGATTAATTTACATCTTGGGTCAAAAAAATAGCAGTGATACAGCCAGATGCATATCCAGCATGAGCGATCTTGGCAGCAGCAACAGCGCAGAGTTAAAGATCAGCAAATATAAAGGAGCTACCATGTGCTGTCCTGCCCCTCGAGATGCACAGCCCTGCCCTGCCGCTCCAGCCCAACCTCCTCCACTGCCCCGTCCCTCACATTCCACCAAAGCCCCCCCAGACAGTGAGCTGGCACAAGCCCATCTCCTCCACACATTAAAAAACAAATCAACCCATACAAGTGGGATTGAATTCCCTCTGGCCTTGCAGCTATGGTAGCATCAAGACTAAACTATTCTTAGGCACAGGGTCAGCGTGCTGCCTTCATAGTCACAGAGGTACAAGTCTCTTTTCTGCTTGCTACTCTTTTCCCTAGATTCCTCCTGCTTTCCCTCCCCTTCAGTAACATGCCCACACATCTCTTTGGCTGTTTTTTTTATTTGAATAATGCAGCCAGGGGTCATGATTAATCACAGAGTTTTCCATACTCCATTTCCTTGCTCATTGTCCCATGCCACTTGTTGAGAGCCTTATCTTTATTAGCTGGTCTTATCACGACTTGATTACACATGAACAGAAACTCTCCTTACTCAGCAGGATTTCCTTAGGATTGCATTGCTTTCAGCTTCAGAGAGCAGCTCTGTGGAATAAGCCACTCCACTAGAGCCAGCCTAGGAAGCTATTGAACTCATTTAAGATGCACAAGGGGACACAAAAAGCTGTAGGATGACTTTGAGGAACTGGCAGGAGCAGATTTAGAGGACAAAGCATTTCTATAGGGGAGTGAATGCATTAGCTTATGTTGTTTGTATTGGCATTAAATTATACAGTAATTATTTTGTCCTGGTGAGCTGTGCTCTAATAGCAGCTACAGAGCTATCTGAGATCCTTCAGCACAGGGACTGCATCCAGCTAAAAAGTCCCCTATCCACTTAGCTACTCAACCAAATAATACAGCTGTAGGGCCTATTGTTATCTGTCTGCTTAAAAGAAATTAGACCGATACAGTTCTTAGAGATTTACCAGGCCTTCAAGTGCAATATCACCACACCACGTACACCTCTGATAGAGGATTTTTCTTCTTCAATGCTACTATCGCCTTGCCCAGGAAGGTTAAATGGCATCAACTTGCATCATTGCTCTTGCTTTTTCATCCTTTCTTAAAAAATGCATCGTACAGAACAATTCATTCTTTGAAAAGGACAGAGTGATGGGTGCAAGAGAAAGGGAAAATGCATTGCTAGAGATGAGAAAAGCTGTTTTGTAACAGGTGGCTCTGAACCCCGAAATCCATCTCATGAAGGCAATGGTCCATCCAAGGACTCCACAGCCTGGTGAGACCTCCCAGTGTCTGACAGTCCCGGCGAGAAGCAAGCAAGGCTCACCGTTTGGTTAACAATAGCTTTCCCATTGCTTGGAAAGAGTGGTATGTCTGCAATGACAGGCCATTGCCATGGCCCTTCACACTCCCCTCTGCTCGCCAAACAGCCCATGCATGTCTTCATGGGGTGGCTCTGAGGAACAGAAACAAGGAGGTTTGGAGAATTTATTAGACATGCAAATAATACAGCTAGAAAAAAAAATGGGTAAGGCTGAAAGTGCAAAAGCTTTTCTTCTGAAATAACAGCAGCAGGCTCCAAAAGCCAAGTATGGCATTTAAGGACAATTACTCTAAGTTTAACTAGTTACATTCATCAGACCATTTGAGAAAAAAGTGGCTGGTATCTGGAAAACCAAGATGGATATAAGCAAGGGAAGAGGTATTAAACTGGTTATCACCTACGGGGGAATAAAAAAAAAAAAAAAGAGATTGGTAATTTACTGCCTGCATGACAGTCAACAGAGGAGGCAAGAAAAGATTATAAATTGCTGTAAAACCAATATTGCTACTGGGCACATGATTTTAAGTATCAAGACTCAACTTCTGAAAATGGTTTGGAGCTCTTCTTTATATACGATGGCTGTCAAGGCAGGCAATGGATGAAGAGTCACTGTTACAGCCTGCTCAGGCTTTCTAAATTGATGAGGATTTACATTTAACAGGTGCATCTGATGATTCCTTTAAGTCTTCCCTGCCTCTGCAGAACACAAGGAGCGGGTGCAGGCACAATGGCAGCCAAGAATATCTCTATTCTTCCCCCTGTGCTAATGTGAAACCTTAAATTTGGCCCTAATTCTTTGAGTGCAGTTTCAGATCAAAAACAGGGGAGATTTGAATTAAATAATATTGCTCTAACTAAAAATATACAGGAAAATTAAAAATCAGACTGTAACTACCACAGAGAGAGCAGCAGACAAGCTCGGAAGCTTTCACTAGGAATGCAAAAGCTCTCCACCCAGAATCTATAGGATCTTAAACCCCTTCAGGTACTCCCTGCTCACAGAGCAAAGGAGATAGAAACCTGTTGACAATGATCCAAGTTAAGCCTTTTTCCAACATGCAAGTCTCACCTCAGGCAAGAGTCACAAATACCAACTTTTTTTTTTTTTTACTTATTGCAGTGAAAAGTCACCACAACACTCATGGAAACAAAGGCTGCAGAAGTGGTTTGCCCCAATCAAAACAGTACTTTATGATTTCAGCTTTCAAGGGTTGATTTGAGCTCTAAAAGCAAACAGAAAACCCACTGTATCTTCTAACCTAACTGAAAAGTCATTTTAGAAATAAAAACCTGAAGCATTTTATCCTCATTATTCCATTTGGATGATGCCATTCTCATGTTGCAAAAACTCCCCCTGCATGCACACAAGTTCTTTCCAATACTATTCCAGTGAAAGCTGCACACACTACAAGCACACACAAGTCCACTCTCCAGCTAGGAACCTTCCCTGTGCACACACCAAGGTTTTGGCCCTTTGTTTGCAGATCAGGAGGTACCTTCCCCCTCTACAGCCTTCAGGAACAGCAGTTAACATCCCAGAAGACTTCCCTGAAACTCCCTGGGAAAGGCTGTACCCAAGAGGTGCCAAACCGGGGCCTCCTCAAAACAATTCGGCCACATCTTCATCCCTGTCTGTCCAACTCCCTTCTGGGTTGTGCAACGCCACCAGCTAAAGATAGCCAACTGTGAAAGTCAAATAAAGAAAAATGACTGTCAGGTGATGCCTGACAGGCTTCTCCTTCCTCTTAACTCAGTTCCTACTGATTTTTTTTTTTGGTATTTAGGTATGCTGGTCTCCCTGGGGAGCCCCTGCCCCTGGCTACATGCACCCTGGACTACTGAAGGCAAACCAGACACTGACATGGCTAGAGAGGAGCACACCCATCCCTGTGAACAAGTGAAGACTGCGCTTAGGTTTGAATATTGCTAAGACAGAGCTGTAGAGTAGAAAAAAAAGCAAATATTGCTGTACTGCACCACCCAGAGCCCTTCTAATATCAGCAAAACTTCGAACTCTTGCAAAATTTTTGCTCTCCTGATCATAGATCCTGACCAGGATCTAAGAATATCAATTTCTGTAAGATTTTCTGAATTTACACAAGTGCTGAAAGAACAATAAAAGCTCTTTATACCATCAGTTACATAAAGCTTCAGGGTGTTCAAGCTTCTTGATGCTGCCTTAGAATCTTCACGTACTTTTTCAATATTAAGTGGATTTTTATCTTAAGTATCTCAGGGAAGAAGAGCGAGAATGAACAGAGAACAGGACAAAACTAACTTTCCTACTCTTCTATATGTTAAAAAACCCAAACCATCTAGCATCCAGACTCTGAATCAGCTTTCAAGAAACTTAATCTCTACCTAAAAGCTCCTAAGTAAAATACTGAAACATTAATATCAGTTACAGTTAACTTCTTAGCTTGAGCTCCTAAAACAAATAAGGCCAACCGCAAAGTGTCCTGAACTCTGTAGTGTGAAGAGATTTACCAAGCAGCTTGGCAAGCCCAAGGGTTGGGACAGGCAGCATCCTCACACCTCCAGTTACAATGACAAGTCAATGAAACCATTAATACAAGGATCCACCCGCTGACCTTTAATCCATGGAGAGTCCAGGGATTTAATACACACATCCTTTTTAAGAAATAAATGTAAACATTCACATGCAAGAAGACTGCTCGTGGTGGTTTTGGTTTTAAACACTGCCTCCCAGTTGCTATAGTCTTCATCACAAGAGACTTATGGCTGGTTAGTAGTCTACAGAAACTTGGCCTTAAGAGCTGATCTGAGCTCTAATGGCATTTTGCAAGGGCTTTGTCTTTGGGAGGAGGGAACAAAACAAAAAAAACAAACCACCTCCAGGCACTAAAACTAAGGTTTCATCATCACTTTTTTTCCCCTCCAACATCAACAACATTCTGGAAGGGCCTTGCCAGCATCCCACAGCTACAGATCCTTTTATGCAACTTTTGCTCACAAGTGGTGTAATCACTCCTCCTATATCATGTTCCAGATGATAAAAGGGTGAGCCACTGCTGCGAACAGAACTCCTTTCATCACCAAAAGCATGCTTGAAAAACACAAGCAGCTGAAGTGTTTTCTTCTTTTCAATCCTAGAAAATGGCACATCATCACCTTTTAGAGGTATTTCTGCTTAATATGCACATATTACATATTTAACTTAAGTAACAGAACTGCAACAATAGACTCAATTGTGAAGGTCCAGTCACACTGTTACTATCCTACATAGCAAAATACGAATCTAGGTATGCACAAAACAAGAAAATCCATTTACTACTGCAGCTGACTTTGATACTAAGAACATCTTCACCAAAATCAGTGCTCTGCCATATTACTGCAAGTACAAATTGATCCATCATCCCAAGCCTCGCACAGAACAAAGGAGAATATCAATCACCATTTTATGGATGCAAGTCAGGATTACAAAGCCACTAGGTGACTTGTTATATCAGAAGCTTCAGACTGTAAATTAGTGTGTATCTCCAGCTCACTACCTTAACCATCAAGATAAAGCAGTCTTCCTCTCTGATAAGGTACACAGTGATACATAAATACAAAAAGGAATCTTACATTGCATTGCAAACAATATGCTATTCTGACAATTAAAGCCTCTCAGTTTTCTTAATGCGACAATTAGATGACAGAATGAAGCAACAGGTCCGGTTTTTCATTAAGTCACTGGCAATACCACATTACTGAATTGTGTTGAGAGAGGAGCTGTCGCCAAGACAAAGCGATAGGAATGAAAGATGAAGCATGTTAGAAGCATTTGATTTCATATTCCTGGCTCTTCTGCTGACTCCTTATGCAGCTGCAGCAAAACTGAAAGGCACACACTTGACACGCTGTTCTATCTGGTGTATTTAGCATAGACCAAGACTTCCCAGTTCAAGGAGAACAACAAATTCACACAGTGCCTAATGTACCAAGTCCATGATCATCTTTAGTGCCTCAATGGTAACAAGCAGGAAAAGTGCAGTCAGATGAACAGTAAGGACCAGAAGAATAGTCATTCAGAGGATGCTCAGCATGTCTCCAAATCAGTGAGGCAAGAGCCTGAAAAGGATTCTGGCAGCTGTGCACATCCGTCTGGACAGAGAGGGTTACTGCGGAACACCAAGCTCACCTGTGGAAAAGTGATCTCTATCAATTTCACAAAGTTTGAGGGTGAGTAGAAGGATACTTCCTCCCAGAGGACAATAAAGGATGAATAATCAAGTATACAGAAAAAGCTGTAAAAAGGTAACAGCTCAGAACAGACAGAGACTGTCAAAACTCATAGTGATAAAGAAAATGCCTTTATGATTTCACAACTGATCGGAGAAGACTCCCACCCAGAAGCAGACCATTTTCTTGAGTACTTTCATCAACAGCAGGAGGTGGTGTCACAGGGCCGCTGTCAGACATTTCCTGGAGATGTGCAGACCACAAGGCTTGTCTTAAGCTGAAATATGATTTAGCAAAACAGAGACAGTAGCAGAGATTAAAACTTTAATTTAAAACTTTGCCAACAAAAATTGATTACAAAAAGGGAAATTATCTGTACAAAATAAGAAAGGAGGTACTCATTTAACAAGAGACTGCCATTGCCAGTGTACACTGGAGGACAAACAGTGCTTCAGGTCAAGTGACAAGTAAGAAACAAACAAACTGAGCTTGTAATATGGAATTCTGAAGTCAATTTTCCATAAACCAAAGTAAATTGACCTGAAACAGCTCAAAAGCTAATCAAGACTTATCAGAAGTCTATTTGCCGTGCAAACCTTTTCCTCTTAATTTAGAGAAAAGGCATGTACTAGAAAGCAAGAACCCAGCACAGTGTACTGAGCCAGGACAATGACTTTTGCCATGCTTCCTCCCACTCAAGCCTTCCTTTTGGTCTTCTGTACAAAGATGTTCTGCAATTTGTGCCACGGTTTTAGCTGAGTCACAAAACTACTGCATCTTCACTTGACAGCTAGGTCCTGACTCAAAATGAAGACAAACACTTTGGAGACAGTGATATTACTATGACTAAAAAGACCAGCTGCATCATGACTCCCATAAAAACGGTGGTTCTCACACTTTTCAAGTTAGCATCAAATAATAGCTGTTGGTCAATGATGGATTAGTATTTACAACAATGCAGTCCTCTTTTCTACCTACCATTTCATACAAAGAGACAAGAGCATCTTTAAAACTCATCACTGAACTGACAAAAAACAGCAGGTGATTTCTGAACCCCAAGCTCCTGTAAAACCTAAGCACACAATATGATTATTACCAGTTTTCTACATTTTTCCACAAGCCAAATCAACTGAATTGAGTTAGAGTGAAGAAATGGAGCATGCTTTTTTTTCAAGCAAGCCAGCTGAAAACTTCCCAGTCTGACTCCTTATTTTCCACTCAGTTTCACATCACGTAGTATTTACAAATTTTCAAAACTTCAGAACCCAGGTATAGTGGAGAAACAAAGTAGTAAGAAAAATGTTTTGGCCCAGATTCACTTCACCTACTTATAGATACCTGAGATACCAAAGCTGGGGCAGAACAGCTTTCTGTGTCCTACCTACCCAAAAAAAAGACAGACAAATGCTGAAGGGAAATTCAGTTAGAGACTTGATTCTCATCCTAGTGGCAATACTCCTCTTCCTCCAACTGTAAAGCAAAAAATTAGCAACTATATTCCAGCTTAGAAGTCTTGGTTAAGCTTACATTAATTGTGTTCTTAACTGTTATCATTTATGTGACCCTAACCCTTACATTGCTCACTAGCAGCTCTCACCTAGGGGAATCAGGGACAGCTACCTTTTAAGAATTGCTATGAGAGATGCAAGAGTCCTCCTTACAGCTGGCAAAACTGAGATAAGTAAAAAGTTCGCTCAAGTCCATGTGGTGAGTCAGTAACAAGCTAGCATCACAGTTTCCTGGATCTTAGCCCTGTGCTCTGCTCACAGGAACCCAGTACAAGGAAAACTACTGTACAGAATCATTCCCTTTTTCACATCAAAAAGTTTTACCAAAAAGGTAGGGATACTAATAAACAGTGTACATAATTTCTTATTTGACAATGAAAAAGTCCTGTAGTAAAGCAATCTGTTCTATTGTATCTTAACCCTGGAAAATTTTATTTATGGATTTGATTCTTTGATGTCTTAAAGCTTTTAAGAGAAAGGTGAAGACTCAGTTAACAATGCTGCAGTCAGTACCCTTTACATTAACCACAATATGTTACATTTTCTAGTTTAAGTAGTATTTGTGCTACCCAATTTTGCAATCAAAATAGAAACCTTGAAGCCAAGAATTCACAGATCTCAGATAAAAAAAAAAAAAAAAGCCAGACAACTTCAGTTTAAACAGAGCAAGCCTTGTAACATACCATGAAGAGTTCAGAGATTTCAATTCTGTGAATATCTGTTATTGCCATTTCAAATGAAAGCCCTCTTATCCTTAACTCTGCCCAGCCCATGCTGTAGGAGACAGGACAAATGCTGCACAGCAAGAAAATCTCCCCTCAAAACACAGCTTAATAATGGAAATGCAACATTTGCACTTTGCTTTATGAATGCAGCAGAGACAGATCACTTAAAATAATGTTTCCAAAGACCCTGGATCTTAAGCACGGTTATAGAAAATTCAGTTTCCTAAACTTTGGGGTTAGTTTGATCCATCTGCCTCACATTGGATTCTTACCTTACCACAGTCAACAAAGCTTCTAACATACCAGGCGAGACCATTAGCTTGTTCCATCACATCACAGAACAAGATGGCATAATTGATGCCTGTTGCAACAGACAGACAATACTGTATAAAGAAGGCTTCTTTTAATGACAGAATCAAATCGGACACTACTGGCTAACCTGGAGAAAGAACTACATTTTTCCCTTCTGGAGTTTTAATTTTCTCTTGAACCAGGAACATTCTTGCTAATTAGTTAAATCCAACAGTACTACAGAGAGCTCGGTTCTTAAGCATGCTCTGCACCAGGAAGGATCGGTTCTACATCCAAATGAAACTGAAGAGTTGCTGTTTTCCAAGGGCAGTTCTTCACTGGTCACCTAGCCGGAAACCTTGGCCCCAGTTGTGTCTTCCACCACCTTGCTGATCTTCTGCAGCTCTTCTCACACTGGCGGGTGGGACACCAAACCCGGACACTCCTCCTCTCCTATTTGGCAGCCAGCGGTACCTAGGATAAGAAGGAGAGTTTGAGAAACAGCTGTACCTCGGGGGTAAATGCCAGACTACATTTCCATGCATTTCCTTTTAGCTGCTAGATTTTGCAATAAAATTGGCTTTTTACAACAGTACTTCACAGAATTCTTTCCAAATCTAAGCCCTCAGCCCACTGAGAAATGGGAATTTTGGGGAACTTCAATCTCTGGGCTACAGTTAAATACAATGATCCAAACACAGTTCAAAAAAAACAGGTAAGGCAGTCTCATTGTTGAGACTAAATGCTGTGATACAAACTTAATTCCCCTAACTTCTCTTTTTTTCCAGATGAAATAATAAAGAAATCCAAATCAGTTCTAAGCATCTCTCTCTCCAATAGTTGCAAAGCTCCTGTTACCACAGCATCTAACGATCTCACTGCTCTCCAAATAAACATTCCTGAGGAACTGTAGACCAAAGAGACTAAGGGAAACTGGATCACGCAACTAGCTTGTCTGAAATCAAAGCCCAAGTGACCTGGCCAGAGCAAATCAGAGCTGTAAGACTTTATCATCCAGTGATCTAAAATACAGCTTCTGCATTTTGCAAGGGATGCCATCAATGCAGAGTCATTTCAGCTCTACAATAGTTACAAGCTCCTGCAAATCCCTTGCTGAATTTGATCACTAAAATTTAAGGCCTAGACAGAAAGCCCAGATTCCTTTCTACAAGAAAAATGATCCTGCAGAGAAAAAGTTCTTCATTATTAAAGGTATTTGTAATTCACCACGGTATTTTTTTAACAAAACATTACAGTACAAAGGCAGAATTTATCCATTTGTAGAGATGTTTGCAGTACTTCTGCTTCTCAAGTATAGAGAAAAATTAAATACATGTATGAGAAATCAAAAAAATTCCACATAATCAACAAGACTGATGGAAGTTTCAGAGCTGTTATTACCTTGAAAGACATTAAAAAAAAAAAAAAAAAACACACACATACATTTTGCCTTCTAATCTTTATGAAAAATTAGGTTTACCAGAAGGGCTTGCAAACACAAAAGTATAATATAAAGCTTCCCTACTCATTAAAACTGGTACGAAAAGTATAACTGTAATTCAACTTTGCATTTTCTAATTAACAGTTTATGCTGTAAAAAGGGTTAGCTGAGCTGCTAACTAAAGTTTGGTAGAGCAGGAATATTTACAATAAAAAAGAATGAGGACAAGGGCAACTTAAGGTATAAACTTTGGCTTCTGATCATAGTATTTCAGTGCCAGAACAATGAACAGATCACAAAAAAAAAGGACTTTAGAAACCAAGACCTGCAGTCTCAGTCAAGGTGACTGGTACAGACTGCAAAGCAGAATATGTATTATAGTCCTCAACAAGTCTACAACTGACTCCTATTACTGTTACAGGTTGCTGAACTGGTAACGACTGTAATGATACACGGAAATAGATAAAAGATCATTTAAAGAAGAAAATTTTTTTTTTGTATCATTTGATAATTGCTAGGGAGTTCTCTTTACTACAGCTCAATTCACGAGCAGAACTATGACTTTTACTCTCACTCTTAAGAGTAGCTGAATGACAGAAGCCATCCACAGGGCAAAGAACTTTCACGTGAGCCATTCACAAGAAATTTGACATTTCTGATGACTCAGCAGCACAGCCAATATGATAGTCTGAAGCAGACTGATTTAGAAGAGTATTTTATACATTACAATCCCAGCAAATATATGTCTGATGAACAATATAGAAAATTGGACCAAACAGTGAGTTAAAGAGTAAAGTCAGCTTACAGGAACTGAGGAGTGGACAGAAAATTCCTTCCTCCCAAATCCATTGGATATTTAAACATTAAGAAGAAATACAGGTGTCCAACCAAATTTCCTATCAGCTCATTGATGACTCTGCAAGGCAAAAAAAAAAAAAAACAAAACACATAACTGCTTCACTTGCTGTCTTCTCTGAAAATAAATGAGCAACCATGTTCTGCCAGTTACTACTGTTCACCTGCCACAGGCATTGCTGGGGCCTTGAGATAGAAAATTTTCCTTCCCTCAGCATTTTGCAGCCACTCCTTTAGAAGGGCCAACCTTCAGTGCCAACAGGCTGTTACGTTCCCTTCCAAGCCTTCTCTACAGTCTGTACTGCAAATGCAATTAAATACTTGTTTACATCAGGGAATTAGACCATATGGCTATTAATGTCTAAAATAATAGTCTGCAGAGCTTGAGAAGTTACTGCTGTTTTCACTGGGCAACCTGTCTCCTGCTGTACTGAACTGTTTTGTTCCCAATTTTGCAAAAACACTGCAAATGGAGGCCCTTGAGTATCTTCCATCATGCATAGAAACAGCAGGTATCTAACAGCAAGCAGTTTTCTCAAGTGACGGATGAGTCAGTAGGAGGCAGAGCCAGAAAAGGGAATTTGGTTTTGCTGTACTATCTCCTCCTTTTATAAATCAACCACATAACTTGTTATTGTCACTAATGGCATTACAGCGGCACCAAGAGGTCCCAACCAATGCAGGGCAGCAATGAGAAAGACCGTGCACAGAGGGGATTTCTGCATCACGTTTACTCATCAGTTTACTCAAAGAAACCCAAGACAGACCAACGAATTCAGGGCATTCTGTGCGCTTGTTATTGCCATTTTCCCTTGTTTCACAAGCTAAAAAAAAAAAATCATGTTGGGCAAGACTGTGAGGGAAAGAAATAGGACTATCAGAATCAAGATAAATTTGTTTCCAAAACCAGTAATGATGGCTGGTCATATGGTACGACATCTTTCTTTGCTGTGCATTACTCTTAGGAAAAGGCCTAATGCATAGACTTACTAGAAAATAAATCAAATTCTTATTACTTTCCCCTCACCTACATTCTCTAGATGTCACATGCACAACTCCTCTTTGCTTTTATCTTAAATGACCACCATGTGACACTGAGTATTATCAGTCAGATTATACGGCTTTAAGCCTCTTATTTTAATATTACTTCTAAATTCAGCAGTAAGTTCAAGAGCCATAAAAGCTTTTATAGCTTCAAATTGGCCACCTAAGTAAATACATACGATCCACCAATGATGTAGTTGAATCCCAGAATAACCCATGGAAGGTAATAGGCCTGAAAAAGAACACAATGAAGACAGAGAAGTTGTAAATACAAGTTAAGGACGTAAACTTGCTCAACTTCCCACTGCATTAATAAGCATGATTATAATCTCAATGTTTTAGGCATTACAAATCCTGATGTATTAACTTAAGCAGATTCTACATAACAAGGTAGGATACTCCAAACTGAGTGGCCACTAACATTTTTAGACAAATCACACTCATTTAAACATTATAAGCTGATGTGGGTTTTGTACTCTATGTTCCACAGCAAGCTTGCATCTGAAACAAAGTCCTAACATTTCAGATTTTGAAAAGATCTGGAAACATGATCAAAAGACTTTTCACTGCAATATCTGGCAGAAACAGACGGGGTTGTACAGGAAAGAACAATTTAAAATACCAATATCTAATCACTATGGTGTCATTTATCCACGTTAATGTTTATCAGGAATTTTCCTCTTTTCAGACTGATGAATTTTTGTTGTCAGGACATCTTTTCAGTAAAGCCACACTGAGCAATACCATATGGAAGACCATAAAGAAATCTGTCTTTGCTGCATCTCAGGAAGTATATGGTTGTATGAAAGCATGGGACAGCTTTAATAAGACCAAATATTTATATATTGCTCCTCACCCTCTTCATGTGCACCTTCTGGGCAGAAATCTTTCCAGTAGCCTGTCTGACATACCTTAAATCTTGTTCCAAACCAGAACGATACAATCATGTCTCTGTTCAGCTGGGCCCACACATAAAGTACTGACATGATGAGTGGAATCATCAGCAACTGCAATATTAAGACAGAAAAAAAGGCAAGAAGTTACCATCACTTTCACAGAAACCCAAGAAACTTCAACAGGCAGCAGGAGCTATAACCTTCAAAAACAGCTTGTAAGCATGATACATCAGCAAAATCTTTAAAGACTGACCCAGAATCATGTGTCATGGATCTGCTCAAAAGCTATTGAGAAACCTAAACAGAACCTACTTGGTCATTCTCTTTTGCAAAGACCATACCAACGCAAAGGGCTCCAACTTGCAAGAAGTGAAAGAACAGCCATGGCAAACTCCTCTACTCCTGGCTGCTTGGTAGCACACCTACAGCAGTCAGCAAGATATTTGTGCCACAATCATTTCCATTCACAACCCAGGGCACTAACCCAAACACACTCATCCAGGGCTAAGCTAATACACCAGATGACGTGTTACTACATCAAATTGCCAGCTATGTCCCCCTCAGAGCACCACAGAGGGCAGGTGCACCAGTAAATTATCATTTCAGAGTACCCAGTCAGCCTTGGCAAAGTCACCTTAGTAGAGCTTGGAGGTAAATCTGTGCTCCATGCCAGGAGATGAGATTGTTTCAAATACCTCTTTACGGCGACTGTGTATTAGCTGATTAGGACTATTTCTAGTGAAACAAATAGCTAAAATAGTGTGTTGTATCTGCTGATTTATTTCTGAACTGAAGACAGACTGTGCCAGGAACATTTCCATGAACTGGTTTAATGCTACAAACCAGCTCATGTGTTTGGAAGAAAGGTTAAAACTCATCCCTTTGGGGGTGCCACTATTCAACAGGTTCCACATTAAAGCTGGCACATTGGCATCAGGCCAGCCTTTCCCGAGTCCTACAGGACACCAGCAGTCTAACTTGTCACACAAGCACCTTAGCGTCTTTATTAAAACCATTTTTATTTTACTGAAAAACAAAATAGCTAATTTCTGAAAGTATTTGACATGGGAATAGAAGCCCGGCTATCCTACTCCACCTTCTCACTTTCAAGCAAGCCACTCAAAACAAGCAAAAAACCTTATTTCTAAGAAAACCTCATCTGTACATCAAACAACTGATTCTCTTTAAAGCAGTATTTTGTAAGCAGATATAAAACAATTTTAAGTACCTTTTTAAAAAGAAACAGATCATCAATTAGTCTAAAATTCAAACAATGTATGGGCGACTTCAGCATGCTTTTGAAGAATTTTGTGACATCTTCCCCACAGCAAAAAATGTTTAAGTGCAAACTTATGGACAGCCTTTGACAGAACTCAGTCCTGACTGCAGATGCATGATTGCTATTTTTGTCTACCAGGGGAGCCTGATAAGTGATCTAATAAATGCTAATATAATACTCTATGGAATATTAAGAGATACTGGTTCAGACTTTGGGTGACAGGGGCTGAATATGATGAGGAGAGAACAGCAGAGGCAGGCTGAAGACATGCAGTTATCAGGTACTCTGCTGTGTCCAAGAAACACTCCTCCATTTCCCCCCTTATTATTTGGAGAGATAAGAACTACCTCATTGAAACTGGTTCTTTAGACCACTATTTTAATCATTCTTGTGAGGATTTTGCACTTCAAAGTTCTGATCTGAATCTGAAACTGCATTTTTCACAGAAAGATCTTCTGTTGGCAAGCAAAAAGCACACTAAAATTGAGAAGAGTAACAAACCCAAGAATCATTTTTAGATAAAAAAAGAATGCAGAATCACATTCATTAGAGGAAACAGTGCATAGGTGACATCTTGTGCCCAGTTTAGCAAAGGACTGAACACTTCCTGACTGCACAAAGAGCCAATTTTCACTCCGTGACTCCCTAACTAGGTTAGAAGTAGCAGTCAGATACAGGCTTGTGATGTTAACTGAGGCTAACCCAAACTAAAAAACCCTAACAATATATACACAGCAGTCCATTGTGAGATAAACTAAACCACCCTAGCTTAACTATGTTCTGCAGTTATGTTGATAATGCCCTCAAAGTCATTAAGTAGTCAGAAAGTTCCATAAGATTATTTAAGAAACTGCCCCTCACTTACCTGCATGTCCATTGCCAAGCCAGTTATCTGTCATCATACCATTAACGAAAACACAGCAAAACCCGACAGACTAGAACGACAAAAAGGAGCTGCACACACACTGAACACACATGCAAAGGCCTTTAATGTTTAAAATGAAAACAGCGTTCCTGTGTAGTATTAAGTTAACCACTGGAAAAAATTAAAAACCTCCAATGATCTAGACTTATACACTTCATTACAGTAATTGCTTTTCAGCAGCCTTTCAAGCTACCCCCTCAAGTCATTACCCCGAGGGCTGACGGATACACTGGCCTTCCCTTCATGATGAAACTGGCTAACTACAAACTCAATCAGTCCTTGCATAAAAGCATGTTACAAGTTTAACAGCTGGACTATTTCACTAGGTTTTTTAAGATTAAAATGTTGGTTTTCTAAATAAAAAAATACCAGATCATAAAAAAAAAAAAAAAAAAATCAATATATTGACACTGAGTCATAGAAAATAAATAATTTCTTGAAGTGCATCAATGCAGGCTTTTAATACTACTCCCCTACTTTGGAACCCAAAAGATCTACTTGTTGTAGTAACTGCTGAGCAGAAAAAATTGCTGAAGAATTTTGCTATGATCAGAATGCTTTTCACAGTTCATGAATGTGTATAAAATGATACCAAGCATTTTCTCAGATCGTGCATCCAGGTTGCTCCTTACATCATACAGAAAACAAGCAACTGGAAGCTTTTGAATGACCAGTTTGAAAATCAAGTCACAATCAGATTCATCTAACAGCTCACAGCCAACAGCCTGCAACCACAACTAAGCTGATTGTTTTCTTAACAACATAGTTAAACCCAGGTTGTTTTCCTTACTGCTGTGGCTCAACAGGACTAGCAGGAATAGCAAATACCTCCATACAGTGGAATGTGACTAGAGATAAATTAATCTATTGACACAGGTGACAGCATTTCTACACACTAGTTTTCCTGGCTGTATCTGGTTCACACCACCATCACTACTTCCTTTTTTCCACATGCTGTGCCAGTGCAAATCGCTACAAGGAGGTAGTAACAGCACAGACAGAATGGGAGCATCTCCAGGGATGGAGGTTCCACAACCTCTCTTGATAACACATGCCACTGTTTGACTGCCCTTACAGTAAAAAGGGTCTTTCTTACATTTAATTGTAATTTTCTGTGCTTCATTTTGTGCCTGTTCTCTCTTGCCCCGCAACTGAGAGAAGTCTGGCTCCATTTCCTTTATTCCTTCCCCCATCAGGTATTTATCCCCATGGTTAAGACACCCCTGAGCCTCCTGTTCTCCAGGCTGCATGATCCCAGCCCTCTCAGCTTCTCCTTATGTGACAGATGCTCCAATCCTTTCATCATCATCATGACCCTTCACTGGACTCACTCCAGTATGTTCATACGTCTCTTATACTTGGGAACCTGGAGCTGGATGCAGCCCCCATGTGTGTCTCAAGGGCTGAGCAGACAGAAGTAATCACCACCCTCAACCTGCTGGCAAACGTGGCCACCTCTGCCACAAATTGCTGGCTCACAGTCAACTTGGTGTCCAGCAGGACCCTCCAAGCCTTTTCTACCAAGCTGATTTGTAGACAGTCAGTCTCCAGTCTGTCCTGGTGCCTGAGGCTGTTCCTCCCCAGAGGCAGGACTCTACACTGTCCTTTGCTAACCTTTGTGAGATTCCTGACCAGCACATTTCTCCAGCCTCTCATGATCCCTCTGAATGGTAACACAACCACCTGGTCTACCAACAACTCCTCCCAGTTCTGCATCCAAGACTTAAAATAAAATTGAGGTAAAACAGCACAGCTCATGGAAAAACTGTTTCCCAACATTTCTAAACCAACAAGCCCAGCTTCCTCAGGAAGCGGGTTCAGTGCAGATATCACAACACTGCTTTCACAGCAGTGAAAGTCAAGCTGACTTGTACCCAGCAGGTAAGGGATCTCTCCACCAGGTACCTGAATTTCCAAGCCAGGGAATGGCAGAGATCAGACCTATTTGCACATGGCAGCTTAAACACAGTAAATTCACCCTTGGTCCACGCAGAAATCCACAGAAGTGGCTACGTGAAGCAATACAGCAAACACTACAGAAGCTCATGCAACACAAGCTGAGATTTATGTTAGCAGAACTCTAGTTCCCAGATTACATACTTGTATTAGCACATTTATTAGTATTGTCCCTCCAAGCCACTCAATACCTTTCCAGGAGGGTTAAAAACTCACCTGGGAACATTTGCTACATTATAAAACTGTTAGTTGTTAAAAACCTGGCCTTTGAACATATTTGACGAAGAAACAGGAGAACCAAAATATTCTAAAAGTTTGATGATGAGCAGAAGGATACAACAATGCAGATCCAGTTAAACAGGAGCATGAACATGTAATCTGCTGGCCTTCCATCAAAAGCCCCTGTAAATAAAAAGAATTATTAGAAAAAGGTACTGAAATCTTGATAAGAAATTAAGACCTTTTATTTTGGGGAGTCTAAGACAAGCTCAGCTAATAACAGATGCCTTACATGCAGTCTGTGACTTATGATTTTTATTTTTTTTTTATTTTAAAAAGCCTTATAATAGAACAACCTACAGACAGAAAAATAAGACATGCAGCCTACTGCATTAAGCGCACAAACTGCATCTCTACTTAAAAAAGAACACACTTTAACTCTGAAAATAAGTCATTTTAACTTTATAAGACTTCAAAACGGAGTTGGACCCCAGCCTTCATAAGAAGCTGCCGGTCAGAAGCACACAATAAGGAAATAGACTTGCACAGAAAAAGCAGAGACATCAAGTTTAACTATCAAGTCATGTGAAAACCAATCCTTACTTAGGCAAATTGCATCCTCTTTGCATCATCTAGTCAGACTCAAGAGATACAATAGCTTCTACACTCCAGAAAAATTAACATATGTGACAAGGAAGGTACACATGTGCAGAGCATTCTGTTTCTTTTTCTAAGCTGAACTGCTTGCTTGATTTCCCATTTCAAACAGGTTTCATTTTTTTTCAGGACAGTGGAAACAAAAAAATAGAGTAACATTCCCTGCAGATCATACTAAATGAAATTATCTTTAGATGCCCAGTTGAGCCTGGGACCTAGCAAAGAGGATTAAAAAACAAAACCCCAACAACTCCTTGCAAGCTTGAAAATCATAAGCTCTCACTCTTGCAAGCTGTGGCAAAAGGCTGGCACAGACCTCAGCATTTGAGCAAGACTCTTGACAACTGCCATATAGCTCCATGCAGGCAAGGAAAGCCTGTGAATCCTGCTGAAACAGACCTAAACCACACAGTAACACAGCTCATCACCAACAAGCTGCATTACATGCCAATAGCTAAACGTCAAAATGCCTAGAAAGAGGACCACTGCTTAATGTTAGCACTATTTGCCTTCCTACAACAACCTTACATGCCCTCAAAAATTTAAGAATAGATTTTATTTCTTTAAGCATTAGCTCTTTAGAATAACTAGAGTAACTGAGCCTATGTAAAACAAAACTGATATTTTAGTCATTTCAAGTTTATTATTTAAGTTCAGCCATGCAAGTTACATGACATGGAGGAAGAAAAAAAAAAAAAAAAAGAACACCAACAAAAACCCACACACAATTTGGAAAATCTCTTGGAAAGTTTTAAAGTTGGAGAATCACATAAACTGGAGTTTTCTCCTATTTGTTGTATGGCAACAGTAAGAAACAAACAGAGAGAGGAAGCTGACTAACCCGGCAGAAACTCCAGCACAGTCATTCCTCCAGAGTAGGAAAAAAAAAATCAGAGCAAATATTATTCCCTTAAATTTTTTCACTTCTTGTTATCTAAGAGATTACTAACAAGAATATCAGAGAAACTATTCAAGTTGTCTTTCCAACAAATACCTAATAAAATTGAGCTAGACTGCCAAAAAGCTCAGCACAGGGTCAAGGTGAGCCCTAGCCCACTGGGTATAATCCAGTCATCAGGGAAGAGCTGCAGGCTCATAATCTCATCGTTTGTACTGCTGGGGAGTAAACTCTGCATGTTATGCTTTCTCTGTTGGTATTTGTTATGTTCTTCTCCAACATAAACAAAACAAAAACACATCAATCTCCTTTTCCTCAGGAAGCCAGAGGTCAGCTTGTTAGGAAAGCACAAGCACAGTACAAAACCATATGTATACTTTTGACAGCTAAATTTGAAGCTAGGCAACACCAGTGTATGCTCAAAAACCACGTACAACCCTGAAAATAGAAGTCTCACTTCCTCAGTTTCACAGACAAAAGGAGGCATAGACCTACACTGATTCCCACCTGTAAACATATCAGCAACTTCTACACCTCCCACTTCCAGAAGGACTCAAGCCTTTTTCATAGAGGAAGAACCAACCTAACCAAAAACTTCATTTGTACCCAGAAAAATGACTGTAATATAAAAGAAATGCATTGATTCAAACAATAACACAGCTGATTTCCCAGTTTCAAAATCCAGATGTGTTATACAGTAGAAATGTAAATTTACTGCTGAAAGGATTGACTTTCTTCCATGAGACTTCTGCCACAGCATAGACAACTAGAGCAGTTTTTAAGTATATGTACAAGCAGTGATGTTTTATAATTTGCATATATTAATCAGGAACTCTTACTACACATAGCTGTGCACAGTAGAATGTTGTAACTGCCAGTACTCTCAGGTGTTCATAATCTACAGCAGAAGGGCTCAAAGAGAAGGAGGAATCATTTCTAGCTATTAAACTACTACTTACTTTCACTAAGAAAACAATCAAATACAATCTGGCACCACTCCTCCCTTTCCCTGCTACTCTTCTTATGACTTAAAAGGGATTCCACAATACTTCCTGGATGACGGGTTTACTGGGGATCTCTTCTCTGTCACAGGACTTCCCAATCACCTTGCAATGCATTTCCACTTACACCATCAGTTCAAAGACTCCATTAGGACTACGCTGACATTCTTGTTCATAAAGGCTTCCAGGAGAGCTTGGCTTTGTAAATATTTTATTTACTTCAATTGAAACAGTTTTTGTCTAGCTTTAATGAACTGCGCAGTGCAAAATGAAACCAGTTTTGAAGGTACCTTATAACAACAATCTCTTTGTTGCAATAAATGATCCATTATCTGATCTCCTTTCTTCCACTCTTAATTTTCCTGCCAGCTGAAAACCCAACTAGTTCTTTAACTTTTTCACATTTCTGTATGACAGAGGGGTACACTTCATTTGTGCAAAGTATCTCTCAATTCAAGATAACAAATAGAATAACACAGGTAAGCAACATTGCCTCTTAAAAAACAGGAAAAACTGACATTTTCTCAAGATGGATATATCCATTATCACGTAGGCTCTGTCTACCTTCTGTGTTAAAAGGACATCAGACAAACGAAAACAGGTATCATCATCTTTTAGTCTCTATCCCTCATTTTCTGAAATCAAGCAAGTAAATGCACCAAGCCCTCCTACTGAAACAGGTATCAAGTTCAGATCCTAAACAGGCTCCCTGCCAAAGGAAAGGAGCCAGTCACAGAAAACCTGTTTCCAGAGCAGTCTCCCATTGATCAGCATAAGTGGGCACAGAGATAAGCCATCTTCCTCACAGTTCTCTCTGAATCAGCCACAACCCCATCACCACAAACATTCCCAACAGCAGGTCTACCTGACAATGCTTTGTCTCAATCAGCTCCAGGCAGAGTTCACTGAGTGCATACAATTTAATGGATAACATACCTGTTTCTAATCGTGATGAATATTGATACAAGAAATATAAATTCACCAAGTAGAGAAATCCTGTTCCAGGTCCCACTGGGAAGAAGAAAGTTGCAGTTACCGGCCGCCAGATCTGCCCAGATCAAAACAGAAAGATGTGTTTATATACTGCAGAATGAACTCATATGCACAGGTTTTTTCTTTTCATTTGTTACCAATTACTTGAAAGATCAAGGAGGAGATTAAAAATAGCTCAAGAGCTCAAATATCAGTTACCACTGCTTCAGCAGCTTTTACAGTTGCCTATTGTTTTTATTTTAGATCTGATAAGGAAACCTATTAAGATTACAACAGAAATCACACACAACTTCCCAGATCATTTCCATCACATCTTCACGGTGTTGAGTCTTTACTGCAGTGCAAAAGAGATATGCTTGCAAGGATGCTACCCTGTTTTAAAAGCACCCGCACAGAGCCCATTCTTACCTGTTGTACAGAGGCCAAGGAATTCACACAACGGCCCTTAGTGTGCCGTTCCAGACAGCTCATGCCGCTCTGAGCATTTTGCACCTGCTTTAGAGAGTCTCCCAACTATCAATATTGAGCACAGCCAACTGCATGGCAGCATGTAGCAAGGACAGAAAATGTCTGGCCATTTAAGAATGAGCTCTTTAACCAGCAACATTTCCAAATATAGTATTGGGGTCCTGAGCATCACAGTTCCAGAAGGAATAACAGAACTAGAAGAAAATACAGTTGTTTAAACTACTAAATTCTGAGGGCAATACATGAAACAAACAACACATAAAGCTATCTTTTTATCTTTTTTTTTGCACCCAGACTTTTTCACTGAAGGTATAATGACCACATATAATAGAAATTTTAACGGTTTGAATCTTTTCTTTCACTTTAATTTTCAAGTCACCCCATGGGCACTCCCCCTACACACCTGCATACCTGAACATTTAACCTCCCAATGCAAGGAAAAAGACTATGTTCAGTTTGTGACCGCTTCTGATATTGCTAACGCATCTAGAAACAGATACCTTACATCTAAAAGCTCAGGACTTTAGTTGTTAACTTTACGTCAACCATACCTATGCACAGAACCTGACAATCCCAAACACAAACTTTTTCAAATTCCAAGAAAGAAGGTGCAAAAGATGCACTTCTTCAGCTCTGCCTTAGTGTTTCCTGAGCCACCTGCGGTTTAGGACAGTGGTACACCTGCCCGTAACCCCTGTTTCCAAAGCCATGCCCATGCAATCGCACAACAGAGGCCAGGCAAGTCACCTGAAGTCACAGACACAGGTTTTATGCTTACACAGTTCCTTGGAACAACAACCGATGCCAGACAGAACCATTCACCAAATTCACCAAACTTGGGGGAAAAAAAAAAGGCACCAGAATGAGATGCAAGCCTGACTACAGGGCCTGCCAAGGGCCACAGCCCTCCGTGGCTCACCCAGGGGCCCTGCCAGGGCCAGGCACCGCCGCCTGGGTCACCTTGGTGGGGAGCCCGGGACCCGCGGAGGCAGAGCACCAGCTGAACGCGGGCCCAAGCCTACGGGCCTTACATACGCTAAGCAGGAGGGCGAGCCCGGCTCCTCGCTGGAGGTGATCGGTGTCGCTCCTCGGGGCTGCCCCGGTGCGCGATTTCCTCCCAGCGCGGCGGCGGGGAAGGGGGCAGCCCCCGGCCCGGCAGCGCGGCCAGCCGCTCACTACAACTCCCAGCATGCCGAGCGCGCCCCGCAGCGGGCTCTCTGACGGGGCGGACGCCGCGGGGCACGCCGGGACTGGTAGTGCGGACCGTACCTGGAAGCGGTTGAGGAAGGCGTCGGGCCAGAGGAAGAGGTAGACGGGGCTGACGAGGCCCAGCTTGCCGATGAGCGGCACCGCGATGGAGCCAGCGAACCAGTAGCGGGTGATCAGCGGGATGCTCCGGAACCAGTCCCCCAGGTCCGACATGGCGCCGCCGCCGAGGACTCGCTACGGAACCGACCGCTGAGGGAGGGGAGAGGCGAGGCCGCGGCCGCGCTGCTCCCGCCGCCGACCCGGGCTAGGAAGGGAGCCCCGAGCCAGACGTGGCGCCGCCGCCTCCGCCTGACACACCGCACCTTCCGGCCCCGCCCCCTCCGCTCCCGGGGCACCGGCAAGCGCCGGAAGTCCCGCCTCTCCCGCCGGTACCGGGGGGCGGTGGGGTCGCTCCGCCGGCGGCTCTGTGAGCGCGGGCCGGGGCTGCCATCGCCCCCCCACCCCCACTAGGGTTAAGTTAACCCCACTAGGCTGCGCCTAGTAACGCGGGGGCGCCGGTCACTAGAGTGAACCGGCAGTGACTCCTGCACTTGCGGAAACCTGAAAAAAAAAAAAAAAAGTATTAAACGTCCCGTTGCGTTATGTTATAAAACTATCTGTCTGGCAGGATGTGACGTTATACTATAAAAATATGCGGGAGGTTATAAGGCGTTCATTACTGCGCACCGCTTCCCGCCGCGGCACCGGCGAAGGGAACTACAGCTCCCGGCAGGCCGTGGGGCCACCGGGCGGGGCGATTCCATTCCCTCGGAGGCGAGGGGGAGCGCCCGCCTCCTTCCTCCTGCCCGCCGTTGGTGAAGCGGGAACGGGGCGTACCACGCGTGCGGCGTCCCCTGGAGGAGCCCTGAGGGGAGGCGGCGGCGCCGGGCCGAGAATGGAGAGCTCCGACCTGGGCGGCCGCCAGCACGGCCCCATCTGGCACCGCAAGCCCGGCCCGGCGGCGCGGCGGGGGTAACGGCGGGGCGGGGCGGGGGTAGGGCCAGGGCCTCAGCTCGCAGCCGGAGTTCGGGGCCGGGCCGGCGGCAGCCGAGGAGAAGAGACCGAGGGGAGGGGTAGGAGGGGGCAGGGCCGGCCGGAGCCCTCCTGGGCTTCTGCAGGGTGAAGGGGCAGACCGGGGGTGCCCGGCTCGATAACGGGGAGAAACGTTCCCGTGGAAGGTGGAGCAGGTTCCTGAGAAGGCTGTGAAACCTCCATGCTCAGAGGCGCTCACAGCTTGGCTGGGCAAGGGCTAGGCACTTACACCAATTCAGTTTTTCGGTTTTAATTGTGCAGAACGAAGTACCATGAGTGAGTTCCCAGAGTGTAATTAAAATGTGAAATACTACGAAAATACTGTCTGGCACAAGCTGAAGTATGAATGCTGCTTTGGGGTACCTCCATGGTAATCTGGATGTAGCTCCATGAACTCCTAGCTTTAGTCTCCTGGGTTTAGTGGCAAAGGAACTTTTGAAAGGCAGAGAGCGGGTGTTGAGGAAGTCAGGGAGATGCTGTAACTACTGTGATAAGCGCTCACATTTCAGGGTGTTTTTAGAATCAGAGGTCATATTTCACTTGAGGGAGTTTTTTATGATGTTAAGGACCTTAACATCACTAAATTTTAATTATAATTTAAAATAGCTTAACATCTTTCTAATTTCATTTTTATGGTCCTTCCCTTTTATTGCAGAAGAGAATGGGCTTAACAGGATGAGGTGCAATTAGTTTCATCACTAGTCCGTGCCACGGCTGCATGGCGCTTCTTTCAATATTAACTCACACTTTGTAGCGTACACCAGCAGTTGCATGCAAGTGCTGGGTTGCATATTCAGCTCTCTTAGAAATTGGTGTCTCAAATAGCTATCAGCATGGTCACATTATTCTGCAAGTGCCCTGCAGTCTTTAATCAGCCTGGCAATACCCTGTACAGTTTTAAATAGTTTTACTCTGAATTCACATCCCGGTCATGACAGACAATAATTGGTTTGCTCAGCGTTAGCCAAAAAATCCAGGAGTAGCAGATCCCCCAAATCTGAATGTCCCACTTACGGGAAAAACCTTCCTGTTACATCTTAGTCTGCACATGGGCGTCAGTTCTGCATCTGGCTCCATTTTATGCTGACAGCATCATACAAGGATAGAATGTGGAAAAACAGCAACTTTTCTTCCGTACTATCTCAGATGAATAATGTTAAAAATGGCTTCCTTTATGCTTTTGAAGACTCTGGAAAGAAGTAGTGTTAAAACCAATTTCCCTCCACATCTAATCCGAGTGGTTTCTTACTGTAATTCAGAGCTTCTCAGTTTTCTAGCATGTTTCCTTACAGCAATAATGAAGAGCCAGGTTCCCTACTGAGTGCTGAATTGGGCTTTCAGATACATTGGTAGATGATACATCAGCATATATGTTAGTGTTATTCATTAATAATAAAAATGAAAATCAGGTAACCAGGAGCCACATAAAAGACTCGTGAATGGTTGATTTCCCCTGTCTGCTTTACATGTTTCCTAACTATCTTCCAACATAGTGAATGACTGAATTTGTTTATTTTTTATATTCTACAATTATAATTATGTTACTATATGTTTTTATATTTCCATTGTTTTCATCGAAGATTTTTCATGCCACTCTTATGAATGATTAGTATTGTAAAACCATAAGTTTGGAACATTTTAATCCTAGGTCTTAGAGAAATACTTGATAATAAAACAATTCTAAATTTGGTTGCTTTGCTTGCTTTCTTCACAGAGTTATAGTAAACATAATTCATAGTGTCAAAGGATACCATTCAAAGACAATCCGTTTTCTGAATGTCGCTTTTGACAGTTCTGGAGATTCTCTACTCGCTGGAGACCACCAAGGCAATATATATGTTTTTGACTTGAATGGAAACAGGTAAGACTATTTCTATCAAGACATTTTAATTGTCTGGACATCTGTAATATTCAGCAGTGTGAAACTTACCTGGACAGCATGCCACAGGTTTGGTTTTAACCCTCAGTTTTCCATGAATGTGGAAATAGGTAGTAGTTTGCTCAGAACTGAAACCACAAGCCAGTCTCTCATGTAGGCGCCCTAAATATTATTTTATTAGTTTAACTGCTCCGAAAGATCAGAAGTTTGTAATTCTAAACTGAACAGACTGCCATGTCATAGAAATTAAATACAAGAAGTTATTCTTTGGACAATACCAATAAATTAATAATAAGAGCAATGAATTACAATAAACTAGACATTGTATTGTCTTTTGCAGAAATACGTTAATCAGTCTTTTCAACTTCACACTACTGAATTTTAAAATAATGCTGATTTTTAGATTTATTATAGTTAGATATTATTTATTTGCTCCCTTCTTTTGAGTTAATTTATTTTATTCTCGCAGTGAAATATATTGAAACTGATAAAGTTATTACTTCACTTGACATTAGGAACAAAAGTTTCCTAACAAAATGAGAATGTATCTTTAAATAGGTTCAACCTTGTTCAGCGGACAATGCAGGCTTGCACTGCTTTGGCATTCAATCTTCGCAGAAAGACAGAATTCCTGGTGGCTTTGGCAGATTATTCCATTAAGTGCTTTGATACAGGTAAGGAGAAATTTAAAGGCTCGCTATCTGGATTGCTGTGAAAACCTATAGATTTTTAGTTTTGATCTCAAATATTTTGTAAGTTTTTTTGATGGAAAATTTACTAGGTATTTCATGCTATCTGTCCAAAAAATAAAAATTTGGGCCCATGTGGGTTATAGTCCTGTGAAGAAATGAACCCTTTGCTTTATCAAAGTTTATTGTTCCCACAGAATCACACAGGTGTCAGTTTAACTGAAGTCTAGCACAGGATTGCAATTATGTATGTTAACTTTTTTAAGCAATTCTCTATATGTTTGCTTAGAATGAAGTACTCTATGTAAATTCAAACCAAAATCAGTTGGCAATATGTTAGTTTGTAACTGAACCAGTTATTAACTATATTTACATTAAAATATTTAAACAAAGTGACAGTATACACTAAAAGAGCTATCAATACTTTTGAGTATGCAAGATGTGTATCCTTGTTCAATTTAAAATTAGTCACAGGCCAGCTGCGTGTCTCTGTCTTGATTAGAAGTTAAATGGTGAAAGGCATTGACAATTCATTCTTAATAAATTAATCTTACCCTGTTAGAAAGTGCAGTTGTAGTGTCTCATATCATCTGGATTTAAATCTTTTTAAAAAGCCGTAGGAATCACTTATGTGCAATTTGAGGGTTTGAGTCTGATATCATCAGTGAAGATTTTAGTATAACACACCGTTTCTCAAAATAGGGGAAGAGTGAGAGTTAAGGTCTGAAATCTTCAGTGCTTTTTCCCTTCTCAACCACAGTAAAACCAAACTTAGATTCTGAATGCACTTAGAGAAATCTTCTTAATTATGCCACAGAGTCCTGCATGTTTATATGGTGCTGTTTCCAGATACGAAGTCATACTGAAGAATGTTTTAAAATATAAATGTTATTCACATAAGTCAGTATTGGGTGAACTATCCTTAGAGATGTATTAGATAATACTTGGTAGGCTCCATCCCCTTCTTTAGAAGCCATACTCTAATCCCATGTCATTCTCCCAGGTGATAATAGCTTTAAGGACTCAACTGCCTGTAAGCACAGCAGAAATTTAGACTGGCTTTATAAACTGCTTTATAGACATTTCCCATCCTTGATGCCACAGCAGTAGGTCAGCTGGAACCACCCCATGGGCTGTCAGGCAAACTACCCAATGTAAATAGTGTAATTGCCACAAATACAGTTTGGTTGCTGTGAGAAGATTAGCGGTCATGCAGTCACAAGTGGGAAACAGTGTAGTCAGAGGAACCATTTCCTTAGTATGCAATACACAGCATAAAAATGCTTTGGACTCTGAAAGAATTAATGAGGTGTTACTTTCTGACTGCCTCTCTATAGTCATAGCCTGTTGTCATTAAACCTTTCTTCCTTGCACCTGTAAATAGCTGCATAATCATTCATGCATACTGTCCACAAGTAAAAACAAGTGGGGAATTCTAACTAGAACATTCAGTCACAACTTCTAGAGATTACTGTGAGTGTTCACATCGGATAATCTGCCTACGGGGCATGCTGAACTTATCACAGTGTTGGTGACTTTTTAAGGTTGATTCTTAGGCTAAATTGAACAAGTCTGTGCAAATTGACTTTCTGTGTAGAACTGAGGATAACTTATGAAATCTGTTACTTGGAGATGAGATGGTTATGTTTCTCTAAGGTGTATAGCTATATGAAGACTGATACCTTTGTTTCTCGTTTGTTGGGCTGTGATGGTAAATGGTCATACACTAGGTGTGCTTAAAAGTCTCTTTCATAGTATAGTGTTGGCAATAGAGTAAAGCAGTAGTTGTTTCACTTTGAATGACTTTCATATCCTTTTCATTTTTTCATCAACTCCTGCAGAAACCAAGGAGCTAGTTAGTTGGATGAGGGGACATGATTCTTCAGTGTCTTCCATCTCTGTCCATGGCTCGGGCAGGTATGCCATCACTACATCCAGTGATACAGCACAACTGTGGGACTTGGACACCTTTCAGAGAAAAAGGAAGCTGAATGTTCGTCAGTCTGTGGGTATACAGAAGGTGAGTAAAGAGCAATGGCTAAAGGGTGAACAAGCATACCTCAGTAGGGGTAACACCGCATGTTAAAATCATAGTAGTTGAAAATATTTTTTAAAATACAGCTGATTCTTTTCTATGTTTTTTGGACATATCTCCTTAACTGTCATCCTGTCACATCACCCAGACTACTGGAGTCAGGACTCAATAGTTGCAGAGATCTGCTGGGAACTTTTAAGGAACCTCCATCTTTAGAGATACTCAAAACTTGGTTGGATATAGCCTTGACCAACCCAAGGAAGTTGAAGCAGTCTTCTAGATTGACTGTGCTTTGACCTGGGGATGGGGTCAGAGGATCTCCAGAGACTGATTACAACCTGAATGATGCTGGAATTCAAAGGTGTTGCTAAAAAAACAGTTTTGGTGTCATAATAGTAACTTCACTCACTACCACCTAACCCATTCAGCTGCTTATTCCAAAGTTGCTCTTCTTTCTATGCACACTAAGCACTGAATGTGGGAACAAACAAAGCTGAAAAGTAACTCACCGAAAAGAAATTGCTGCTTTTCAGCCTGGTGGTTTCTTTGCTTCGGTTTGCTGCACGGCCACTTATATTGGAACAACATAGGGGATGAGAAGGATGACATATTTCTGTCAGGGAGTGGTTTAAATAGGTCTCCTATAGCATTATGCTGCTTTAAACAGGTCTGCCTGCGCCACCAAATGTCAGACTTTGGCAGAAGTACTACAGAAAGTAGTGACGCAGTGCCTGAGCATTGCTTACACACGTGCTGCCCTGCAGTGAGTAGTCTTACAAACACCACTTCAAACCAAAGTTCTCATCAGGCTGGTCACCAAAAAGCCATGCTGATTTTGCAGAGAACAAGGCTATTCATTTACGTGCCTTCACCGTGTTCTAGGTCAGGCAGAAATTTTGTCACCTAGCAATTAATGTGGAAGATCATGCATAAATTTTTGTTTGTTTTATTAAAACTGTTGTATAGTGCATCTTGCTAAAATAATTACCATGTCTCCTCTCCAAAGATGGCTGCATTTCTTTAGTGGACAGGATTTTACTACTGCTCAGTATCTTTCTTTGTGTAGGGGCTTCATATTGATAAATGGCTCTTGGAATTTGATAGGATCGGGATGTTACAGTATGGAAACAACCTTTAAATCCAAACAATAGTGACTATGGTTGAATTAATAAATCACTGCTTGGGAATCAAGAGCCTGCACCTTTGGTTTGGCTTTAATATTTCTGATAGGACATTATGCAAATAATCCAATTTCTCTGGATTTAATTTTTCTGTCTTTAAAGTAGAGATTATGATAGTTATTCCCATGCCATGATTTAAGACATATAGATAAATGCTTTATTTAAGATCAAAATTATTGACTGCAGTCCTGACACTTACTGTCCAAAGTTGGATTCTTGCTTGATGTCTGAGCTATTGTAGTAGTGTCACACCAATCTCTGCAGTGTATTTTTTGGTGCCTCTTTACATAAGTCCAGCTGCACTCCAACATACACCTTCCATTAAGTTGGTATGGGGCAAAGCTAATTTAAAAAGACAGAGATTGAGCTGCTCACTGTAAGAATAGCAGGTGAAAAAAATGAGAAAGAAATGCTGAGAGAAGGGATCTATAATGACCATTTTCAAATCACCACTGCTTATTCAACAGCTGCTTGAGACCATCTTGTGGTACTTTTCTAGGGCTAAGCAGAAAATGAGGAACTATTCAGTACTCCAGTTTACCAAAATTTAAACTTCATCCATCTGTATGATAGGCATCTGCTTTCAATTCATTGTCTAAACTTCCTCAGGGTCCCTGAAGGAGGACAGGCCACTCTGTCTGTGAAAATAAATGACTCTGGTAGGTGAGGTGACTCTCCCCACAGGTAACTTTTGCTCACTGTCAAGTGACTAATTTGGCCTGAACATCTAACTTTCAGTCACTAACATTCAGCAAGATGAATCCCATGCCATGTATCCAGATTTACGGATTTTTAAGGCCCCAAGAGACCATTCAGACCAAAACTGAACTTCGTAGCACTGACTGCTAATCTCAGCCAGTGAGTACTTCACATAGTCCCTCTATGTTCAGATACCAGAAGACACTTTCAATTTAACCTTCAAAATTATAGATACAGGGAATTTGCTGAAGCTGCATGTGCTGCTGACAAAATAGAACCTCTGATCTGAACCAGTAATGTATCATTAAGCAAAAATGTATCTGATGACATCCAAAAATGTAAATAGTCCAATTATTTTTCTTATCAAAAGACATTACACATAAATAAGCATGTTCAGAATAATTGAAACAATATATTTACAAGCCTTTTGGTTTTATCTTCATTCATCCTCACAGTAAAATCTGCATTTCATAGTTGGAGAATACATTGCTAAACTTTCTACCATATTTTTTACTTTTATTTTACGGAAAACTAAGGAGTTTAAGTTTAAAGATGAGCGCTTCATAGAGTGCATTTGCAGGCTCTTGGTACTGTTTGAATGCTGAAGCTAGATTGTAGAAGATGCAACAAGCAGTTGCTCAGTGAGCAGTTCTGGCTCATGTCTCCCATCCCCTCCTGCTCCTGAGTTCATGTTCCCACCATTTATATTACATCTTCTCTGGCACTGATAAGAAACCTCCACAAGACGGTTTCACACATAAGAATAACACAGATAAAGGTTTGTGTCATTTCGGTGAGTTAAACTGGCTTAGCAAAGGGTACAAGGAGTTCTGAACTAGCGCAAGGGGGAACAGGCTGCCTAGGCTGTAAGAGGGGAAGGAGACCCGCTGCCTGCGGGACTGCAGCTGCTTTACGCAATGATAGTAATAGCCATACTGTCATAGTTTCTTCCTGTATTTTATTTTGCCATGCACTTTGGTCCAGTATAAAGGATACTTCCTTGACAGTACATTCCATATTTTTTTTCTTTTCTGTGTTCTTACAGGTTTTTTTTCTTCCATTGAGTAACACCATCCTCAGCTGTTTCAAAGATAATTCTGTTTTTGCATGGGAATTCGATACGCTTCACTGTAAATACCAGTTGCCAACTCCTGTAGAAGGTTCTGTATTACTTTATAAGGTCTTTGCAGTAACCAGGTAAATTGCTATTTTAAACATTCTAAAGGCAGACTACAAAAACTGTAGTTTTAAACCAGGTTTTCTTTCCTTATTGGTAATGTTTTATGGAAGTATTGAGCTACATACTAATGGAAAACTTTTGAACACTGCTGTGACTGATACAATAGCAGTTTTTATTACAGTCCCATAGCTGTTGAAATAATGTAAGTTGATTTTTAATGACCACTAAAATAAGTTTTAAACTATCCTTTACAAAAGAAAATTTTATTATTTAGGAGCTATTTTGTTCTTTCGGGAGAGCATGATAGGGGTAATTGCAGATTAAAAAATGATTTGAGGGCATAGAAAGAAATGTACAATCCCTCTCTTTTTAGCTAATACTAATTTAAATGATAGTATTCTGATGGAAACTTTACCTCATCTGCGATCCAGAGATGGCCGGATTTTTGTAGCTGGTGGAAAATCGAATCATCTTCACTTATGGTGTTTACAGTCAAAGCAGTTGATAAGAATAATCCAGATGCCTGCAAAAGTACGAGCTGTCCGTCATCTGGAATTCCTCCCTAACGGTTTTGATGGGGGCTCCAATCAGGTCAGTTTTTTCACAAAGCTTAAGACCGAAGTATTTGGTTAGTTGATTCAACACATACACTTTGAGGCCTTTTGGGGGACACTGGCGATATGGGCCCATACCATATAAAAGGAAAATTGCTGTGCTAGGTGTTTGCTCAGTTGCTCTTCTAGCTTAATAGAATGTCTTTGCTGAATTGGATATTCTTTGTTTTACACTGACAATATTAATTGATGAATCTTCATAACTTATAGGTCCTTGGAGTATTAAGTCAAGATAATATAATGAGATTTATCAATATAGAAACATGCAAACTTCTTTTTGACATTGGGAGTCATGAAGAGGGAATTAGTACAGCAGCGATTAGCCCCAATGGACGGTATATTGCATCAGTAATGGAAAATGGTAGCCTTAATCTGTACAGTGTCCAAGCTTTGACTCAAGAAGAAAATAAGGTAGAGTGTTTTACATTTCTTGAAACAGCAGTAAATCCCATTAAAGTTGATGCTTGTCTACATAACTTTTGTATGAGCAGTAGTTTGCAGACATGTTTTAGCGTACCATATTTAACACTGCAAATAAAGAAAAAGTAGTTTGTAGAGTTCCCTTCATAGTTATTCCTGCCTGTCAGGTAATATGATGTTTTTAAAGTTTATATATTGCTGTGTGGGAGGAGCGGGAGATGGTATTTCTCTCTACAGCAATTTATATAGACTAATTTCTCTTTGTAATGATGTTTTGGGGGAGGTGGAAACAGCATAATTGTGCTGCTTCTGTTCCGTTTCCTATAGGAAGTGTTTTGCAACTAATGCTCTCTTAAACTGCAGGCACAAATGGTGTTTTTGTTACTGTGATTTTGTTATTCTTACTGTGTTATTGGGTACTAGCATCCATCATTATGGCACAATCATACTCCTAATCCTTCCTAAATAACAAACATTCTAAATACTAGTTCTTATTTTATTAAAGTAATTTATTAATGGGAGTCAGGTTTCTAAATCCAGAATTCCATATATCTTTAATCACCGTGTCTTTGAAGTAAACAGTAACCAGCTCTGGATAATGACCGAGTTGGAGCTGGGGAAGGATGTGTTAAGATGTCACACATGCATTCCATTTGCACTTTTGCTGCCGGTTTGACATGAACTGGGATATCCACTTTGTTACTTGCTTGCCCAATCTCCAACATTGAATTAGTACCTTCCTGACGCTGAAGACTAATTAAAGTTTGTAAAGGTCTTTTGTATTCTTTTTAACTGGTGCTATAGAAATGCAAACTATTTTAGAGATATTGAGAAACACACTAAAGTAAATAACCTGAACAGTACATGATACACATTTATACTATCCCAATTATATTTTAGTGTTTGATAAGCAAGGAAATAACGTGATGTTTGACTTTGTTCAGTAGCTACATAAACCTTCTCACAGTCTTTCTAGTTTATCACGGCAGTTTTATTTAGTGGCATACTTACTGAGGAGTATACAGTCCATATATATTTATTTATGGTATAAATGTGTCTCTATTCTTCTTGCTATGACCATCAAGCTCAAAAATATGGCATATAAAATAGAGTAAGCATCAAGTTATAGTGTTATTTAATCTGTCTTACAAGATTTTAACCGAGGTATTTTCACTTAATATTAGCCTCCACCACCTGTGTTCAAAGTTGTAAAAGATTGGTCCAAGTGCACGTCCGAGGCAAATAAACAGACAATGAGAGTCACTTCAGGAAGGTCAGAGTGGCTTTGGAAATCCAAAAGAAGCAAAATTCAAACCAGATTGCTAAAGCTGCAAGTGAACACATCACTTGAAAACAAAGAGGTAGGAAAAAGTTGCAAATATTTTGTTCTCCAGTCTGCAGAATTTAAATTTCATTGCAAAAAAAATACTTAGCTTACTTTAAAGAGTAAGTTCAGGCACTTACTCACTTGGACGTATGAGCAGAGAGGAGATTAAGGGAGTTTTAGTACCATTTCCTCTCTGTTTAGCTCACACTCCTGTATTATGTGACAGCCAAAGCTGCCTCCAGTCAGCTTGGGGTACCTCTGAAGTTGTTCAAGCAACTTGACACGTTTGGATATTTGCTAGATCTGCTCTGCTTCCCTGCTAGCAAACTGGCATCTCTAAAATGTCTGCCTAGAAGCCATTTTATTAATTATTTAGAAGATGCATTACTGTTACATTTCTTTCCCTTCTGTCATCACTGTGCCATCTTCTTTCTGTTTTTATCTTGCATCTCATATGTATATATATGTATATATATATATACACACATCTGTATATATACATAGCTGTAGCTACATATATATCCTCCTGTAAAGATTTGTCACAATATGATCTATTCCTTATGTCAATATTCGTTATAGTTTGGCTATATCCATCATTTAATCATATATAGTTTAGTCATTGAGAGTCTGATTTGCTTCTGACTGAAATCAATGGCAGCTGTTCTCCGAGTTCAGCAGATGAATGATCTTTGGAATTATCTTTTTTTTGTTGAAATACCTAGGATTATGTAACAGATAGCAATACACATTTATTGGGGTTTTTTAATATTATGTTAGGAACTTCAGTATTTAGCTATCATCAGTTAAAGTGCAAGAAAAGAGATTATGAAAGAGAAATGCTAACATTTATCGTTGATTCCCTATTTTATAGAACGAATTGCCAGGTGGATTAAACAAGAAACGTCTGCAGGCTTTATTGAAAGGATTTGGAGAATATCCAGCAAAGTACAGGTATGTTTGTGTGCATGTTCATGCTTGCACAAAATAAAATTGCTTGTGTTTACTGGCCTATGAAAGAGAAGTTGCTTGACTAAGTCTGCATTTTATTTGCAGGATGTTTGTTTGGCGTTCCTTATTACAACTTCCTGAAAATCACTTAGCATTCAGTAGCCTAATAGATAAGGGTACCCACAGTGCTTTTGTGACTATTCAGAATGAGTATCCCATCAAAAGTAGAAAACTGCTGAGAGTTTTACAGAGGTAAAATATATATTTATATTTATTTAAATATTATATATTTTTATTTTCACATAATGATCTGAAAGGTATCCAATACCTGGAATCAGCTGTAAAGAAAATTCTAAAATGAAATAGTAGTGCCCTCATGCGATTTTGTTTTTATAACTCGTATAATCCTGCATCTATTTTGAAGTTTACAGTCTTCCTATGTTATAGTTCTAAAATGCATAATATATTTTTGTTTGGCTTTGGATCAATGCTTTCTGCACCTTTGTTTGCCTTTGCATATAGGACCTTATCAGCTCTAGCTCACTGGTCTGCTATCTTTGCTGAGACGCCTTATATTCCTTTGCTAGCATTCCCATTTGTAAAATTATTCCAGAACAACCAGCTGATCTGCTTTGAAGTTGTTGCTACAGTAGTAGGTAAGCAGTGATTTTAAAAACTCAAATATGCTGCAACATGTTTAAGCCTTCCCATGCAAAAGAGCTTTTCCCAGTGAAATGAATGAGATGTTTCCTAAGAGGTCACCACTCTATTCTAAAGGTGTTGACAGGCATTAATATGTAGAGCAACTGTATGCTTAAAACAAAAACCTGCTTGTAAATAAAACAAGATATTAGGCTTTTGCAGTGTTTCTAGCAAAAAGCAGTTTAACAGTACTCGTAAACTCTAATCAGCAAAAACAAATGTATCTAGCATAATTATATAATAATAACTAAAATCTCTGAGACATGGGAAAAGTAGACACACACACACCCACCCCCTCACCCACTCCCAGTCAAAAGGGAATGATCTCTTTTAAGGCTTTACTGTGTTTAGTTGTCCTAAGCATGTGGTAACTCAAAATTAGACATTTGGCTGAAAGCTGGCTATGGCTGTCTTCTGAAGAAACATTCTAAATTAAAGTGCTTTACACTTAAATTAGTTGTTGCAGCTGCTGCTAAGGCTACAGAAGACATGTGCTGCCAAGCATACATACCCACTTTGCAAACACATGCTGTTAGTGAATAAGTATCCAAGTTTACAGAAATTATTCTTAGTCTGTTAAAAATTACTTGATACAGGCTGTAGTTTCATGAGACAGAAATACTGGTTTAAGTATTCCCATCTGCTTCCAACCACTTAGTCCCACAGCACACAGACTTTTTTTCATTTTATTGTTGAGCCAGATTAGTTCCCCAGTCTGGTTCACAGTGTACTGACACGAACACTCATGCCAGTGCAGCTGGAGGAGCAGTGTACTGTGGCAATGTTTTAGGAATAAATGCTAGGAAAGAGGAGAGACAGGAATATCTTAAATAGGTTATGCTGCCTAAAGCTACCTCTAAAATTCATAGCCTTTGTATCGAAACCTTGCGGTTGTCTGGAGTCTTTCACTATGGATTACAGGGGATTTTGTTGTCTTTTTTCTTTCAGTTAATTTTTGTCAGCACTGGTTTGAGTATTTTCCCAATCCTCCAGTTAATATCCTTAGTATGATGGAAAACGTTTTGGCACATCATGACAAAGAACTACTTCAGCATTTAATAAAATACAGTGTGACTTCACAGGTAACTTCCCAGCCAAGTTTTGTATATAAAATGTCACCGCAGTGAATGATTGTGCATTAGTCTTTTATTTTGACATAATTCTTTTCTGAGGGAATTTTCATTAAATAACAGTGAATGATATGGGAGTGTAAAGAATGTTTCATTGCTTTCCTGCAGCTTTTCCTTTCCATGATCATAAATATCACGTGCTACTGTAGTTCTCAGAAGTCTTTTGCTTTCAAGTCCACATTGTTTGAAAATCTACTCATCAAATTATAACTGTACTTTTTTTTTTTTTAAGTAGACATAGGTGTGATGAATTGATTTTGTAATCCCTGTTTATTATTAGGGATGATTCTAGCTTCACAAATCTAAACAGAAGATTTAGATATCCAGTGACATAAAAAAATTTATTTATAATCACCCCATATTAATTTTGAATGTTTATAGTGGATGATAAAACTTATCTTCAAATATCCTGATTTAGTTCCAGTTTCTTTCATAAATCAATAGATTCTTGCTATAAGGCAAGAAAATTTAATATTATTTCTTTTAAAGGAATGGTAAAATTGTATTAATGGATTAATTTGTCAATTTTCCCAAATAATGTAGGTTTATGCATGGCCTCTTCTAGAAACACTGTTCTCTGAGGTTCTAACAAGAGAAGAATGGCTGAAAGTCTTTGACAATATTTTCTCCAACCATCCTTCATACTTTCTAATGATTGCTGTTGCCTATATTATATGTTCCAGAGCTCCCTTGCTTCACTGTAATCAAACAGCGGATTTTGAGGTAAACGTCTTCATATTTTAAGTCAGTCATATGAAAGTGTACCTACAGAGACATATAAAACATTGTATCTGTTGTTAGAGGTGATGTTTCATTTTCACATTAATATATTATTACATGTTTCGGAACAATGTCATCTAGTACCTGACAAATATGCAATAAGTGAGTAAAATATTGAGCAATTTCCTACAGTTTAATTCAATGAGTTGTTTAAAAGCTTTCATAAGCTTTCTAATGCCACTAAAAGCCATTTTCTAAATGTCAGTAGTTCATCAACCACAAAATAATTCTGCATCTTTTTGGGGGATCTAATATGGACTTCTACCTGTGGATACAAGACACGGTCATTTTGTCATGTTGTTTCATCCTTTCAGATTTGCAAAATTAGGCAGTATTATTTGACGTTCTCTGAAGCTAAATGAAAATGTTTCCTTTGGTTTAGCCTTCCATGGGAGGAGGAGGTTTTTTCATATGAAAGTGTCTTTGTAGGCAAACAAAGGGTTTCACCTTGAAAATGTGTTTGAGAGCAGTCAGTTTGACAGACATCAAACAGACAACATTATTGCTACATTTAATAATAACCAATTTAAAGATCTTCTTGGTGAATAAGATCTTTGACGGAAAGAATAGTCCTTCAAGAAAAGGAACTTCCAAGCTTCATGTTTGTACACCAGAAGTCACGGAAGGTTTATCCAGTGGTAGGAGTGTCTGTGCAGTCAGTTGGATGCTCTAAATTCACACCTAGCTTTCCAAATCCCTTATGCAACTCCATTTGCCAAGAAGGAAAAGAACCAGAGCATACTTTTACAACTTGAATAGGTTTAGGCCAAGTCATTTGAGCTGGTGATATTTTACTAATCAGTAGGGCTAACTTAATAATCCCTTTTTAAATCAATTTTTGAAATGTCGATCTTGCTAATTTACCTCATTATTCCTAAATAGGTATATTAAAAACGTGCTTAATCCTTTATAGAACGTAAATGGAAGCATGTCTTTTACAGTATTTCTTTCATCATCGTAACAACCTGGACATTAATGTTGTGATTAAGGAAGCTTATCATCTTATGGAGGCTACACCACTAGATATCCATCCACAACGTATGCTTGATGACTTCATACCACTTACAAAAGGACAGTACCCTGTATTTAATAAATATCCCAAGTTCATTGTGGATTATCAAACTCAGGAACGGGAGAGGATCAGACAGGATGAAATTGAATACTTACGAGAAAGGTATTAATGGGAAAGTTGAAGATAGTATCAGACTGGGAGGGACAGATGGTCACAATTGCCTTCTTCTGTTGCAATGTATATGCTTGAGAAGAGAGAAAATTAAGAAAATTCAGGAAGATGACTTTAAATAGCTGCTAAAGGTTGTTACTTGGTTTGACACATTTTTAAGTTAAAACAGTAGTCTTATCTTAAAGAAAAAATGTTTGTTAATTCACAGAAAATACTGGACCACAAATCTTCAAACTTGAAAGTTTGTAAGTCAGAGCCTCAACCTCCGTTGACCTTGTAGCATCCAACTTTGTGAAGGGCCAGGACTTCTCAGCTCGCTATTGAAATCAGTGGGTACCATGATTCCAAGGCACCTTCAGAAACATTTTTTTTGTTAAGAATGTGAGGGAGAAAATATCTGCATCCATCCGAAATGCCCTGTTGTCTGTAACAGTCAGTATTGTAACCCTTCCTCGTGTTCTTTATCAGTACATAAAGGAGATGCCATACTCTTTCATGACATTGCATTTCAGCAGGTCTTTGCTAGTAGAGTCATCAATTTCTAAGTAATCAAGTAATTTCTTGATACCTGCCTTGAATTATTAATGTGGTTTTCTTCCATTTAGACAATTAGCACATGAATTAGAAGCTAAAGCACAGGAACGGAAAGCAGAAGATGAAGCCTGGTATCGAAAGCAAGAATTACTTCGAGAAGCTGAAGAACAGAGGCGAAAAAAGCTACTGGAAGAAGAAGAGAAGCTGGCAGAACAGAAGCAGAGGTATTACAATATTAGAAGCATTAGGAGCCTGGCTGCTGTATCCTGCTATTACATTTTTAACCATGAGTAAAGGAGAAATAACCACTAATTTGTATAAATTGTAATGTGGGAAAACAGCATGGTCTGGTGGGTCAGATTTTGGTATGGGAATGAAGTGATCTGGGTTGTATTACTGCCTTGCCTGAGGGAATACAGCAGATTAGAGGCCAAGTCACTTCATATTTTTGTCTCAGCTCCCAGCCTTTTGTCTGGTGTCTTCGGATTGTGAATGCTCTTAAGCAGTCAACTGCTGTGTGTTTGCACGCTGAGACTTCAGACTTGCACTGTGGGCAGACTCACACTGCAAATATAGAAGTCACAGCATCAGTGACTGTACACATTCTTGCATTCCTAGTGGATTTAGAAAAAAAGACTGCTTTACACATCAGTTGCTGAGCAGAGTTGTGATAGTACTGAAGCTGAACTGTTAGTTTGCACATTTTGCAGTTGTGAAGGTTTAAGAGAATTTCAACATCTCCATAGTTTTTTAGAACTACAAGTAATCATACAGTCATTTATATTGGAAAAGACCCTTAAGATCAAGTCCAGATTTTAACCTAATGCTACCAAGCATATCACTAAACGATGTCATAAGGACTGCATCCACAGGCACTTCTCTTAAACGCCCGTAGCCTATTGAATCAGCTGGGTTGGTTTTTTTTAAAAAAGAGGGCAGTGAGCCTTTTCTTTGCAAACCAATTGAGTTTATGGTTTTGTTCCTTGAAAGAGTTTGATATTTTCCAGATAAACTTAGGACTAATTTTTTGCAGAAAGAGGTACCAGGAAATGGGCAATTATTCTATGGAGTAGTTTCCAGTTCTGGATCACTGCAATAGTAAACGAATGCTTATTAAAGTAGAACAGAAACAGAACACGGGACTTCAAAGCTTAACTAGGGACATTGCCATTAGAGGATGTCTGTGTGTCTGTGAATTTAATTTTGTCCTGTAAATGAAAACTGGACAATTTACAAGAATGAAAGTAACTCTCCTAAGCTTTGTAAGTTGGAGATTAGCTCATAGTAACTAATGGATAACTGCAGTGCAAGTTTGTGCTCTTTAGTACCGACCTCTTATGTATACAAGTTCCCTTGTTTCTGTTTGTTTTGGCTTTGAAGACTAGCAGCTGTGAAAAGAGAACTGAAAGTAAAGGAACTACAATTTCTAGATGCTTCAAGAAGGCGTTTTCTGAAATACCAGCAAGATCAGCGTCAAATGGAACTGAAACGTCTTGATGATGAAATTATGAGAAAGGCTGAGTGTTGCTCAAGCAATTTTTTTCTTGAAGGTTTATTAGTAAAAATAAACAAGGGAAAAATGCGTAACTAAAATTTCAGGTGATATACTGTGATTTGTGAGCCCAGAGGTGTATTTAGCATGAGATGGACTGCTTTCAGTGGTAAATGCATAATTTAACAGTTTTATTTGGCACTTACTATGTTCCACTGGCTTGTTCTAACTGGCAAAATTCCTGAGAAAAGCCAGATTCATCTGTATATTGGCAGTGTTGGAAGATGTAATGAGGTCCTTAAAGGACTAGTGAATTCTCAGCTGTCTGTGGGCTGAATGTCCAGATTGCAAATTAACTCTGCCATTGATTGAGAGGCTCCACAGTGGCCTCTGGCCAGGCCTGGCTCTGGTCCCATGTTGCTAGCTTGAGCACCATGGCATGCAGATGCTGAGAATGGAAGCTTTTGAACCTCATGAGCACAAATTGAGTCTTTGCAGGGCCATTCCTCGTGTCTCGGCACCACACTTTGCCGAGCACAGGGCAGCTGCATCTACGTTTCCACAGTCAGGCCACTGTAAGATTCGTTAGCTCCAGCTCAGCACAGGTTCTGCCAGGTGCAAAATGGCCACTTACCAATCCGTGTACTGTCCTCCGCAGCCTTCTGGGTTCAGAGACTTCTTATTTGATTCAGAGCTCTATCTGTCAGGTTACTAGCGCTAGATCAAGCTTGAAACTTCCCTAACATGCTTGGCCGGATGCAAAACTATTCCTGTGCCTCTTCTCCACCTTTCCCTGTACTTTTGATATGCAATATAACAAGAGAAAGTTAACTAGAACTTAGAAGTAGGGTGTGGCTTAGGGTTTTGGACATTCATCTTGATACTGTTTTTTTAAGGGAGAATAATTTCTCCTTTACAGTGTTTTCATGTGTTTCTCTTCTCTTCAAGGCATCCATGAGAGAGCAGGAAACAGCTGCTACTGTTCAGGATGTTGAAGTACAACGGATGGAACTTGAGTCACAAAGGCAGCTTTTCGAACAGGTAATTATTGGGGAACTATACAGATGTTTATATTTAATAGCTCTTCCTTTGCAGTTCTCATACTCGGTTTTGTTCATTCACCCAGACTTTATGAGGAAAAAGGGGGCCTTTTTTTTCTTTATTCCTCTCTGGTACCTTTTTTTAAAATAAACCCTCTGTTGATAAAAGCATTAGTAAAACTCACTGCTGTCTGTTTTGCTGGGAGAAAATACTTGTATCCTCCCCGTTCTATTCTTTTCCTGTGGAGAGGTATCATTTGGTTGCTTCTGGGTTTAGCACTGTGCTAAGCTGGTTGAGAGAAGCAAGGAATGTGTAAATAAGAAATAAGTCTATAACAATATGTTCCTCATCCTAGAAACTCCCACCTTTTCGTCTGTGATATCCAGATACATCTACATTCTCTGGAGAGAACAGCATAGCAGATTGTTGTAGTTGATGAAAAAATGTCTAATTGCCAACATCATTAAGCAAAAAGGAATGGATGGTTCATGGGGAATGTACATTTCCTTTCTCAAATAACTGACTTATAGTTCAGAAAGATCACTATTCAACTATAAAGGGTTTTTATCGATAATACTGTTTAAAGTTAAATATGGGTTAATTATTATTAATAATTGTTACAAATGACTAAAAAGGAAGGCTGCCAATGGAAAGCTTTAGTAATATCCATTTTGGTTAGAAATAGTAAGTTAAGTGCTTAGAAATCACAGCTACATGTGCCTAACTTGTGTATGTGCAGATCCAATGGAATGCAAGCAGAAGTGGATATCCAGCTAGCTAACCCTTATTCTGAAGCATGTGTCTGCTTATATTTGGCTTTTTAAAGCTTTTGGCCATAGACTTTTTATAACCCATGCTGAGCATAACTGGGCTAAATTACTTTTAGCATGTATTTATTAGATACACAGCCAGCTGTATTGCAGCTACATAATGCAAACCAGGGCAGGCTCATTTGGGTTCCAGTACATGTAAAGTTGGCTGTTTAAGGGAACTAACTCTACAGTGATCATCCTCTTTAGGGTAAAAAGGTAGCAGTTATTTAACTAACTGAGGATATGTGTCTTCCCACAAGAGTCTGTGTAGACAGACTTTCCCTGCTGTGCCCTGAACTGACTGTTTCACTGCCGTCAGTGAGGGGCTGTATTCAAGCTTAGAAGGCAGTGTATGTTAACTTTGCATCAGTACCCTGCTGACACAGCTCAATAGATGCCCGCAGGCCTGGGAAGAGGTTATGTCTTCTCCAGAAAACTGTAGATGTGCCCTGGATGAATGGGAAGAAAAGGTGGTGAGAGTTAAAATTCTATTTCTAGATCTACTGCTAATTTGTAGTACTTTGGCAAATCATCTCTGCATTCAAGCTGCAGATGTGTTTATTGTAAGTCCTTGTGCCATGAAACACAATTTATATTTGTGAAACGTTTTGAGGTTTTGGCTAAAACATACCATAGAAGTGCAGAATATTTTCATGATGATTCTAATTAATTTAAGTTGGAATTCTGCTTCTATGCTCCACTGTAATCCTGGGAGTGGAATTACATCAGTATCAATCTGTGAGACCACTGTGATGACTTGGGTTTAGTGTAATTCCAAGTGGATAAAACAGCATGGACTATCACTTTCTTGGACAGTTATGATATGTTGTGGGATGAGATGTGTGGATATACCAAAATATTAGCTTAATGGAATTTTAATAAATGTTAAAGAGACAGAATTACAAATGTAGGTTAGTAGCCAGGCAACGATAGTTTATGTTGTGTGTTTGGCAGCATCTAATCAAAGATCAAGAGGCAGTTACAAAGGAGATCAAAGAAGAGATGGATACCTGTCGAAGAAAGGTGGATCTGGAAGATCATCTTGTTCAGAGATTGATGGAAATAGAGAGAGAAGAAAAAGAGAAAGCTCAGAGAGTAAGCTGATTGGATCCTAACATATATTTTGCGGAGTTAGTATGCTAACTAGTACAAGTAGTACTAGTTAATAATATTTTAATTGCAGTTAACTAGTTCAAGTTAATATGATAATATTTTCTAAAGAAATTAATTTCTAAACACCTTTATTAATAAATTATGACGGTATCTTTAAAGATTTGAGGTTTTCAAAAATCTGACTGAAGTATCCAAACAGCTATATAATACTGAAATTCTCTGGGCCTGCCATGAATATTAACTTTTCTTTACTTCTCAGAACTCAGAAGGCATGTTAGATTCAAAAGTGCCTTTCAAAATAGTCATCCTCCTGTTAAGGAACATGTTTTGTTTGTAACCATAATAAAACAAAAGTAAGCCTCAAAGGAGCTTTCAGTTGGTAGTACTTGGCAGGAAATTCAGCTGTAGAAGCTGTCTTCTAGATCACAGTAATGAATGTCTACAGCTTGACATTAGGAATTGTTCAGATTTTCAAGCTCAGAACTTATAACATGCACAGTTGGAAAAATAGTTGCAGCTAACCCACTGCCCATATGCTTGGCATCTGCATTTATATTTTGTCTAGAAATAAACATATGGGTCTGAATTTTTGTAAACAGCCTTTGATTTTTGGAAGCAGATGGATGTGGGTGGAAGTATTGGCATCCAGGTATCAATCTTATGTTAACTACACCTGTAAATCACATGAAACCCATGCTAGGAAAGCAAAATCCCCAAAATCAGGGAGAGAGTTGATGCCTCATCCAGAAGATTAAAAACCAAAAAAAAAAAAAAAAAAAAAAACCAAACAAACAAACAAGAAAAGACCCTCAGTAAGGGAAAGAATAAGAAGGATGAAGAAGAAGCATAAGAAGGCCCTGACAGATGAGACAGCCTGCTGTAAGGAATGGAGGGGTAGCACTGCAGGTGCAGTCTCCCAACAGGGACATCTAACAGTGATACTGGAGAACACCAGTTTATCTTACTTTAGCTATATGTAAGGCTGCGTATTTGAAATAAACTAAATGGATTGCTGGTAAGGAAGATGTTTTATTAGGTGGCTGAAGAAAATTTAGCCAAAGCAGAGCAGAAACGCATTGACACTGACTGGAGGTTGGAAGTGTTGCATAAACTAAGGCGAGATGATCAGGACCGTGAGAAGCGTTACCAAGAGATAGCCAAGCTCCTGCATGACAACAGGGTGAAAGAAGCTGAACTGCTGAAGGCCATGAGGGAAGCAGAAGAAAAAAAGGTATTTGCATTATTTATTTTTCTAAGTGGGACTGGCACAGATCTAACTGTCTTTTGCCCACAACATACTAGAGCACAAAACTGAAAGGTATTGAAGAAATATTTTGTTAGGAATCTGCTTTCCTGTTTTGACTGGAAGTTTCTGGAGTCACTAGAGCAAATTGCTGAGGGTATTTTAGGCTAAAGAAAGCATATTCTTAATTCTGTAAATTCGTCTAATTTTTTTAATCTGATTCAAGACTTTTACTTTTCTCCAGGTGTTTGAAGGAGAAATTTTTCAAAAAGAAACATTCACTCAGTTTAATAACATACATTTTGATTTAAGGGTGGAGTGTAATCTGTAATAATCCAGATGGTTTTACTTGTTGCTTTTTCCTTGCAACACATCTGTTGAAGGTATATTTAATATCTCTGTTGCACAGTGGGAAGAAGTTACACAGAAGAAAGCTCAGCTGGAAGAAGAGCAGAAGGCTGCTGCTGCTGCAGATAAACACAGGAAGCAGTTTCTAGAAGACAAAATGAATGAGGCATTAGAATTGGCTGAAAAGCTGCAAAGAGAAGATGGCTATTTTGGTGAGCATATAGGTAATGCAGTTAGGGATAAACTCAAGCTTAACTCCTTTACATAAGTACTTTTTGGCAGCATTCTTTCATGAAATTAATATATCAGGCCAGACTCAAAAAGGAATCGCAGTTTAGTATCTGTCAGATGCAGCAAATATAAATGGCAATTTTGGTAGGAGCACAGGTTTAGCTCAGCTTAAGCCAATTGTAAAATTGCATCCCTTAGATATCCTCTGTCAAATAATGTTGTGTGATAACATACAGTATTGTACCAACAAGTGACTTTGCCAAGTGTTTGTTCACAGAAAAAAACATTTATGCGCTTCCAGAACTGGCCCGTACATCCTTCTCAAATGCTGCGTGTGTGTGTTTTTGCAGATATTTCTCCTATTTCCCCATCTCTGCACAGCTTACACAAGATTAGTGATTGGTATTAAGAGCAGGTGATTGGTATTGCTTTGGGCAAACTTTTTCAGACTTTGCCCTTATTTACATAATGTTTTTAATATGGAGTAATTTGCAACTGCAAATTATTAAAATGGGTGTCTCCTCCTAAAACTGCAAGTACAAGTAGCCATATTCCGCATGATCTTAGTGGCCCATTTGTCAGAAGATTAATTATATAGGAAGAAACAGCACATGTGGAGCTGTAATTTCTTAAAATGAAATGCAGTGATGCATAGCTTTGACCCATAGAGTGGAAACATTGGCTTCTAATTCTGAGCAAATTGTACTTGCTGTTAGCTGGAGTGAGTGATTGTTTCCATTTTGCTTCCTGGAGAAAAAGTGTTTCACCTCAAGCTAGAAAAATTCACTAGAAATTTAAACACTTTTAATTTACAAAGAATCCTTCTCTCCATTCCTCACAGAGAGACTGCGTGATTTAAAGGCCAGACATACAGAGAGAGGGGTAGAACTCCAGCAGGTGCCGAGGTCTGGAAACATCTGTCTGAATGATTTGTCTGCATCAGAGTCATCATCATACAGTAAGTTTCTAAGTTAGGACCCTGCTTTCTTTCACGTTTAATTTCAGACGCATTACGGGAACACCTCATTGTGCGATTGAGTCGTTACTAGCTGTGTAGGTGTTTAGTGGATAGTACACCAGTTTATTGGTGTATTCTATTTCACACCTGAACAAAAAGTCTTTACTACCAGGGGCAGCACAGGTAGGAAGTACCTGAAGTGTGTCACATTATGAGAGTGGTCCTATTAAACCTCATCCTAGTTTAGTCCCATTCCGACCCAAGCATTTTACCCGTGCTTTTTCAGTCTTCAGTTATGTATGATTTGGGGATGTTGCGAAGACGTAGAACTGTCTTTCCTCAAAATCTTACTGAGAGTTACTGTCAAGAATTAGTCTGTAATGATTTCCTCTGTGCCATCCTGGGCACCATGGCCAGTGAAAGCACAATTTAAAATCTCATGCATCTTACGTACAAAATTCTGCACGCAATGGGAAACACCCATCCATGGACCTGCCACAGTGACCCATCAGCATTTGACAAAACTTACTTTCTAAGAACTTGCTTTTACAGACCTTAGGGCCACCTTGCATACAGCAGTACTAATAAAACAGCATTTCTATGTCAGAGATCTGTTTTCCAATAAGCATTCATAGTATTTATGGAAAACCATTAGTTGCAATATTAAGTCTGAGTTTCTTGTACTCAAGTGTCTTTGGACAGAAGACAAGAACTGGCGTGCCAAGAACGGGAACTGATGGCAGAAGTCAGGCAGCTCAGACAAAAGCTAACCTCACAGGCTTGGACTAGACATCCTCCCACTTGTTTCCAAGCTACAACGTGGACACCTTGAGATGGTTTGCTCTGGACTTCAGCTGTACTTTCAAAATATAATCAGTGAAATACTAGATATGTATAATGTGATTAAGGACTGATCCTAGTTTCTTTATTATAAAAGTCTTTAGAAATATTTTTATATAAAAATATTAGTTAGAAAAGTGTGTGTAGTTTGTAACTTTCTCATTATTCTCTCAGTAACTATAACGCTATTTTTACTTCTATAAAATAAACTCACTTTTTACCACTTGCAGTATTTCTATACTTTGTTCTGGTGGATGCCATGACTTGAAGAAATCAACTACTCTTAAAACGTTGGTTTTGTCAGTGCTGTGTAAGTGGATTCTAGAGGTTGCAGCAGGGAAATTTGCATCATTCCTTTTCAAAGGAAAACGCAACAGGCAAAGATCACCTCTGGGAGGCAGGAGGAGTAGATGAGAAAATTGCCTTTTCCTGATGATTGTCTTTGAGTTTGCATCTGATTATATTTAAAGGGAAAAAATAAACCCACAAAAATTTTCGGCTAGTACCAAGGCCCTGTGTGTACACATTTCTGGTTTGTAAAAACGTTACAGCTGTCAACGTGCATAAACCAGAGTGTTTCCAGCAGTTCTGTCGTGCCCCGGTCGGCGCTGCCGGCAGCTGCGGGGCCCCGGGGCGCTGCCCCCAGGGGTTGCAGGGGGCTTGCAGGCAGCTCGGCAGCAGCACACCCTCTGCCAAAGAGCGTTTCTGAGCACCGCGTGTTGCAGAAATTGTTTCTGCGAGCACACAACGGGGGGACGCTCTGGTGCCGGCACTACGGCTTCATAAATCGCGACAGCAAACGACAAACCCGAGGGGTCGGTCAGTCACAGTTCTGCCGCCGCTAAAAGTGCCGGCAGGAAAAGAGCTGCCCGCCTTTGCCCCGTGTGAGGATCGAACTCACGACCTTCAGATTATGAGACTGACGCGCTACCTACTGCGCTAACGAGGCGGCTGCGAGCAACCTCCCCGCGCTGGCCCTCGAGCGCGCCCCTCGGCCCCGCCCCCGCGGCGGGGGCCCGGCCCGGCCTTTCTCTTCCTCCGGCCGTTCGAGCGGCCTCCGCGCCGCAAGAGCCCCCTAGAGCCTCGGAGTCGGCGTGTGGGACCCCCACAGTGACGGCGCCGAGGCTTTGTGGTGGCTGAGAAGCTCCACGGTGACCGCGTGGGACATGGGAGCGACCCCCAGGGTGACAGCGGTGTGGGACGTTGGGGTGACCATGTGGGACGTGGAGTAACTGTGTGGGAGCCGAGGTGACCGCGCTGGCTCTGGCCAGGGTGGGGGATGACAACCCTGAGGGGCATGGGGAGGCCCTGATCAGCGTTGACAGGTCGCAATCTTGCATGTCAGGTTAATTAGGTGGCATAATTGCACAGAACAGGTCAGTAGATAATTAGTGACTTTTGTCCGCGTCGGACAGCTGTGGGTGGATGTTGGGGGCGGGAGGAGGGACGGGGTGGTTTTTAAAATCACGCCAGGAGCTCAGGGATGTGCCCTGCCTCTTCGGACCTCAGGTGTGTGTTTCCTGTCCTCTGTGGCTCCAGGATTAAGATCTGAAAAATGTCATACCGTTTTCTCTTTTCATATGTTTGTGTCATCCTCACATATAATTCCTTTTTTTTTTTCCCCCGATAACGCATGTGACATAGATACAGACAGCAGAATCTAGGAAGCTACCCTGGAAAAACTGGGCCCGTCTCACTCTGCATGGCCCTGAAGACGTCCGTGCTCCCAAGCACAGCAGGACCTTCTCCCCACTCAGACATGCCTTCAGCAGCCCATACCCCCGCGCAAGAGCCCAGACTGGCGTGTCCCCTTGATCCTGCACTCCCCTCCGGAGCCATGGCACACCCCTGCACGGACACAGAGCTCTGTGGGGCGACAGCAAACCCAACCTGCGTGAGAAAACTGTGTCACACGTGCCTCTGCATAAAAGCATGCACACAGGTATTTATGGGTACCTCAGGCAGGGTGCCTTCCCACCCCGCCTCTCCTCACCCCCGCGCAGTCATACCAGTCAGCCTGGCTCCCTGCAGGCACTGCACCTCTCACCCCGCTGCGAACCTGCACCTCCACCTCCATCCTGCTAATGACACAGCAGCCGAGCTGCCACAGGGACAACGTGACACCAGAAGCAGCAGCGTAGGAAAAAAAAAAAAACAAAAAAAAAAAAAAAACCAAACCAAACAGCCCTAAATGTGCACAATCAAGTGATGAGTGTTTGTATTTCTGATGCTTTGAGGCCAGCTCACAACCCTCCCTCCACATAATATTCAGGATGTTTGGGAAGGGGTATTTTTCTTTTAATAGGATGGCGTAGTCACAAAGCTTTAAGGAAATAAATGAGTGAATCGTCTATGTTAATAGCAACATACTATGAACGGGACACAGTGACGAAGTTCAAGTCTATTTTTAAGCCTGACTGGCAGCATGTAGGTGCAGACAAGAGTCCATGATCCTTTCTACTGTTCTGAAGCCATGGACATGGCTGATGTCTCTGTCCCAGTTCAACATCAGAGTTGTTTTTGCTCCCCAACGAATACTATGGGAAGACAGAGAAGCCTCGAGCTGTTTTGAAGATTGTGCAACCATGCTTGGGAGCCTACCTGCTTTTGCTTGAGTGCTTTCCTCACTCACATTTCACAGGATGCGACAGGAAGGGAAATACAACCGAATCAGACAGCCCTGGTAATTGGATTGCAATCCTTCATATGCCCTGGGGGTGAGGTGGGTGCCTCTCAGATAAGCAATCTAATCAGCTTTGCACTTGTGTCCCATCTGGAAACAGATTGTTGCTGAAGTATACCACCACCTGAGAAGCAAGCTTCAGGTTTTTTTTTTAAGATAATTGTACCGAAGAAATCGGGGAGTGTGAATTTGCCTGAGGTAATAAGATCTCTTTATTTTTATTCATAGTTAATTAATTCAGCTGAGGCGATTTCACGCCAGAATGCAGTCTCCAAACAAGAAGGAGGATTGCACTGCCTGCGCCACGCATATGCATGGTGCCTGCCTGGCAGATCGACTCCTGCGACAAAGAGCCATGAGCCACTCCAAACACATGGGCAAGATAAGGAAGAGGCTGGAAGAAATCAAGAACCAGTCCCCTAAGTTGACAAAAGCGGATTTCAGCCACAACGAAAGCATAAGGTTGGCTACCGACGCCTTCCTGGATGGTGGGACAGACTCCTACCTCGAAACTTTAAGCAAAGAGGGTGAGGTGGATTTCCTCTCCTCAGTGGAAGCTCAGTACATCAAGGATAACACCAGGGAGTCCTATTATGCTCAGGAGTCCGTGGCTGCCGACGGGGCGGCTGCACCAAAGCAGAACGATGCCGGGTCGCTCCCTTCAGGGACCTACTTCCCCACCGTTTCTGACAGCAGTGAGCCAGCTCTGCTGCACACATGGATTACAGCAGAGAAGCCCTATTTAAAGGAAAAATCTACCGCCACTGTGTATTTCCAAACAGAGAAGAACAGCAACATTAGAGACATCATACGCCGGTACATCAACAAGACCACTCAGGTACGGGGAGAGAATTGCTGTTCCCTTTGCACTTGGTTGTCTTTCTGCTCTTAAAAAGATCAGGTAAATGTGGTGGTTGATCTGAGCCAGCCTTGTGCATTGCAGTGTAGCTTTGCTCTAGAAAGTGGCTGTAAAGAGCCCACTGTTGAACATAGGCAGTGCTTTTTTTTGTTGTTTTTGTACTCACACCAACACCTCTTTATGTTGGTGACTTTAAAAAAAAAGTATTCTGTCTTTTAAACTCCCATTAACTCCACAGAGCAAATGGGTCCCTTCTCGTGCATCACCAGCAGGATGGTTTGTTCTGTTCACACCATTGCACCAGTAACAAGAGTTTAGCTAAAGCGAGCTCTGAGCCATCAATTCTTTCAGGGGATTCACGGGCGATGTGGGTGAAGGGGAGACCAGAGAAAGGCATGTGTGTCTGGTGTGCCAGCAGCCATCCCCAGAGGAAGGCAATCATGCAGAAAAAAAGACCTTTCATCCCTAATATGTTGTCAGTGTTACTAAAAATGCCACATGGGCTCCATACGGAGGCTCTACAGCGTAACTTGGCATGTGGGAAAGGTGCAGGTGATGCCCCTGACAGCAGACACAGTGATGGGGGCTGCAGGGGTGTGCCAGCAGCAAGGGGAGCTGCCTGTACGCTGGGAAACCAGAAGCTGAACAGCTGGAGTGGGACAAAAAGCCTCTGCCATTTTTTCCTGGGGGGGGGGGGGAAATCAGGGCTGTGTTTACCATAATTTGGGAGTTTTCCTTTTGTATAAACTGGAGACACCACTAGCAGCTTCACAGGGGAATGGTCAGGAGCAAAACCAGGCTGTGTCCAGCACACGCTGCGGAGCCCACTGCAGTTACAGACTTCCCTCTATTCTCCTGCAAGGGCAAGTGCTGGGTCTGACAACACTGACTGTAATGGCAGGGGAGAAGAATCCCCGTTGGCAACTGCCCTGTCAAAGGCTACAAGTGCTCAGCACATCAGGGGAATTATAGATCAGTCATTTTAAGTTAGCGGCATCAGAAAAATGCAGTAACAGAAGAAATGTCTCTGGAAGTAAAATAAGCATCAGTGAAGTATCAACCCAGGCCAATTTTCTGTCTCAGGAGGGAGGAAACTTATAGGAGAAAAAGTGGGAAATGTAATATAAATCCATGGTTCACACGACCTTCTTAATCATCTAATTTACATTACAAGGGGGTGCAGGAGCGACACTTACACACAGTTTAAATTTGACAACTGCTTTTTGAGTACAGTTTCAATGGCAGCATTTATTAATTAGTATTTGATAAGGGTCCATCCTGGATAGCCTAGTATTTGATATATCCATTATTAACCTAAACAACAATAAAGACTGTGTGTGTGAATAACATCAGACTGCAGAGGATTGGTGAGTAGTATTATAATGTTAACACATCTGTGAAATAGGCGCAAATCATAAAATGAAATTTGGGCAAAAAAAATGAGAAGTACTGCAAATAAGAGAGGAAAGTCAAGTGCAGAAATACAAATTGGGAACAGCCAGCGAAAAAGCAGTACTAGAGAGAGTGGTCTGGAGCCACAGTGAGGCTGGACGCATAGTGTGCCATTTAACTAAGACAGGATGAGTTAACAGTAAGTGTGAATGTGAGGTACTGGATGTAATTGTGCCACTTACCCAGAACCGGCAAGGCCCTTTCTGAAGCACCGTGCTTTAGTAGCAGAAGGAAGGTGTGGGATCCTCACTGCTCTGCAAATAATTTGGCTTGCCTGAACAGGATGCTGGCCATGCAGGATGTGCTCAGTCTTGTGGGATTTCCTTGTGGGGGCAAAGGGAATAAACTCGCTGGCAACAGTGGGCACAGGCTTTGGAGTAAGATTCAGTGCAAGTTGGAAGCAATTAGTAAGACAACTCTGCAGAGGTACTGTACAGGTTGTTTTAGTTGAAGATGATATCCAGAGTGCAAGGGTTCCTTCTCTAGTCAGTGCAGGAACAGGCACCTTCTGAAGACACGCCAGGTACTAGCTGGGCCGAATTGCCCTGGGGAAATGACTCCTTCCACGAACAATAGCAGACGTCAGTGAAGACCAGCACCTCCATGAGGCCATGCCCAACGCTTGAGCGTAGGGGCTAGAGTACAGAAGTGGTTTTATATCACATTTACAGTTACCTTGATTCGCACTGGTTGGAGACTGTGCATTTCAGTAGCTGTCAGGGCTCCTATGCCCAGTCCTGAGACTTTTACACTCTGTCCTGCCAGCTGTGAATTGGGAAGCATGGATGTATGGTTGAATTGAAACAATTTATAAATCAGTGTTAAAAAAAGCAAAACAGATGGAGCTGTTTCAGTCTGTCACCCCCACCACCACCGACAGAGTGAGGATTTAAAGCCAGGACCGTTCCAGGTGTAAGCCATAACAGAGAAAGCGTCATCCAGTGATTCTTGCTAAATGCATGTCACTTACGAAGCTAGTCAGCTGCTTGGCAAGAGCTGCAGTCTGTCAGCTGCATCCTTATTATTCTCTGATTAGCGCTTCAATATATTTCCTAGTGCTGAAATCTCACCTACAAACTCGTGGGTCATCTTGTGTTTATTAAAAGAGCTTAACTGAAGTGCATGTGTTGCGTGTTTTGTTGGCTTTATAGGAGCAATAAAACAATGAAGCAACATGTCTCATCAATTTATTGATTCGAGAACTTGGGGAGAAAACCAGAGGAAATATCCATATATATACCTCTGAAGATTTGTCTTTGTTGGAATGTTTTTTTAAAACAAATAAATACATTTCAGTGGCCTCACAAGCAACCTTAAGTCATGTAAATTTATGCTGCTAATGCCTCTGCTTTTTTCCCCTAGGTGCTAGCTATCGTGATGGATGTGTTCACAGACACTGAGATTCTCTGTGACCTCCTGGAGGCAGCTAACAAGCGCATGGTGTTTGTCTACCTGTTGCTTGATCATGGCAATATAAATCTCTTCTCGGAGATGTGCGATAAGTTGCAGATTGCTGAGGATCTCTTCAAGGTACTGTGGCTCTGTGAAGCTCTTAGGCTCAGATTCACCTGCCTAACTTCAGGCACTCTGAGCTAGAAGCATGGTTATGCTGGGTTCAGTCCACCTTGTAATTAAAAGGGAGTAAGAGTTTTCCAGAGGAGCATTAGCACACCTAATTCCTCTCTGAAAATGCATACATTTTCCCATGGACATTATAGGAAGTTAAGGCATTTCCATTAGGTCCTTAGATGAAATTAATCTGGGCCATGAAGTCTTAAAACAGAGCTTAAGTCCCCAGGTAGAGTTATCTAACGTAAGCATTACAACTGCTTCTGTTTAATAACTCTGCAGCAGCTGTGGTCCAGCAGCCACGAGTCGCTGGCGCACAAAACTCTTTTGCATGGCAATACCTTGGTTGCACTAGGTGGTGTCTGATAAAACGTGTTAAAGCTCTATTCTAAAGGTAGTGGCTCAAATTTAGCTGGCTGTTAGCTTAGTCCACCCTCCCCTCTGCCAGAGCGAACTGACCTTAAAAATAACCTCCTAGGGACCATTTCAGTTGTTGCTTGAGATGCTGTAGGGCACCTGTGGCATCTTCATGGGGATGGCTGGTACCACAGGGGCAACAGTCTTCTGGAATGGCAGCTGGAGGGCAGGCAGACCTGAGGGCACCAGGCACCTGTGTTTCAACAGCTGAATTCCACCCCAAATGTACAAAGAAACTAAAATTAAAAAACATGCTTATAACAGTGTTTGCATGTCTGTAAAGCCCCACTCCTTACAAAGAACAAGCCTGTGCTATTTATTGTGAGTATGCTGCTACAATACAGAGGCTTCAACAGTGTGTGAGCCAAATCCTTGGTGCCACTCATTTACCGAGGCCTTGATTCCACAAAGTGTGTGTATGGACAGCAGAGGCAGGTCTGGGTGTCTCAGTGCCCTTGCTCTGGTACAAGGACAGTGCAGAGCATCGCATGGGCCGCACTGACCTGCTCCTCTGCTCACACGTGTGCTTGCATCTGATCCTGCAGGACGGCGTTCGTCTGGGCTGCACCAGAAAAGCAGCATGTCCTTGCAGGCCCGGATGGATTGGAAGAGCAGAGGTTTTGCCCTGCTGTATTGTGCCATAGTCAACATAAAACAAGAGCTTACAGCGAGAGCAAATTCTTGTTGGGGTGTCAGCGGAGGTAACAGTCTGCTCTCAGCTATGGACACATCTCTTACTCGTTTTGGCTGGGGTAGCATCAGTTATTGTAACACAGCACAGCTCCAGCTGCATGAATTTCCACGCGGGTGTATATCCCCGTTGAAACAAGTAGCCCTGTGCAGGTGACAGAACTTGGCTAGGTTTTCTCTAGCCCCAGACCTTCAAATATAACATTGGAGAGGCCATGCAGAAATCATAACACACATTGGGGAAGTGAAGAGCTAAAGGCACTGGGGGGAAAGGGCCCTTTCCTGCTGATTTTTAATTTTAAAAAGATATAATTTACTCCGTTCTTCTTTTTATTATTTATTTACAGAATATTTCAGTCCGCAGTGTTACTGGAGAAGTTTACTGTGCCAAATCAGGCAGGAAATTTTCAGGACAAATACAAGAAAAATTTCTTATTTCTGACTGGAGATATGTGCTTTCTGGCTCTTACAGGTAAGATAAGCCATTGCAGTTCATGTCTAGGTGTCTTCACAAAAAAGTGCCATGGAAAGTTTTGTATGGGTGAGAAGTTATTTTTGAACAAAATCCCCTCGTTTTCAAATACGTGCCATTTTTCAATGATCCATTGCTTTAAAAATGATGTTAGTTTTTTATGGAGTGTGGTACTTAATTTAAATACCCAGAAACTAATGTAAACAACTTTGCCAGTGCAGCCCTGGAGAACTAGAAATGTGTGTAGTGTAATATTATGCTTTCCTCATTGTTTGGGTCCTCAGATGCTGTGATCGTGAGACATGATACATCTCCATCTCCCTCGAGATCCCTTAATGTAGCAAGTGTCACTCAGCTTATCTGAGGATTTGTTCTCCATATGACAAGTTTAGTGATTAAAGGTAAAACAGAAATACTTCAGAGACTTACTGTTCTTTCTTGTGTTTCATTAACAGGCAGGCAGTATGTGTCTACGTGACTGTTGTACCTTGCATTTTTGTTTTCCCTTTTTTCTTTTTCGTGAGCTGAGTCTGTAACTCTCCACTTTTGTGCTGCTATAATTATTTCAGGTAGAGGATGTAGCATCTCAACAACTGGGTTTTTAATTAAGATCTAAGATCCTCCAGTCATGGAATTTCAGGGGACTCTGAGCTTGCATCAAATAAATGAAGTTCCTAAGCCTCATGGCTACATAGATAAGCTTCATAAATGATTGAGTGTATCGTAGAACTCCAGATACAAAAAGACAAGAGGTGATTATTTAATTAAAATGATGAGATTGTTTTTCTTAATCCCGGTTTATGATTTGGAAGCTTAAATGCCTCTAGTCCGATAAAACTATGTCACCAGGAAGATTACATAACTGTAGTAACAAAGGTAAAGTTGAATAGGTAGGGTTAGTGTAGGCTGCAGGAGCTCAGCTGTCCACAGAGGCAGCATCCAGTTTTCAAAAGATCCATCAGACCAAAATGAGAGAATACTCAGTCGGGCTTTTTACTGGCCGCTCTGTAGGTTTCTTGTTCTTTCAGTTTTTTTTAATCCCTCAACAAAGATATGTAGAAATGCAGCAGCAGATTTGTATAGATACTAGAAGTGAAGGATGTGTGGGGAAAAGAGGGACAGAAGAATATCTGTTTTCTCTAGCCAAGAAGCTTCCTTTTGTCTTCTCTTTTCAATACTAAAAAAAAAAAAAAAAAAGAAAACCCCTCAAAGTCCTGTGCAGAGTCACTTCTGTCATTTTCTACTGCTGTTGCAATATCTTGTAACCTCAAGAGCCTTGTCAAACTACATAATCCCCTACCCGGCGAGCAAGCAGAGAGAGTGGTGAGGAACAAATCCATATACTATTTAATTTCAGCATGCTCAGCACCAGTCTGCAGATTCACATGGGTTATAGCTCGTTGTCAGTATGTGGCATTTTTGTAGGCATGCTAGCTCTTGCTTTATTAATCTGAAAGTTTTCTATTATCCCTAAACCTTACCCACCAACCTCTTCAAGTATAACAAGAATGATGTTGAGTAAAACAGACTGAAACTCCTCTGCAATGAATTTGCTGGAAATCAGACTGGAATAGACCTTAAAACTAATACAAAAGATCTTAAAACTAATATAACAGCAAATGTCATCTAAATGCTGTGCTCTGCATGACTGTAATAGCAGTGGGGGGAACTGGCTGAGGAAATAAAATAGCCCTTCAGGACATACTGTTTTAAAAGGAACCCTGGCTCACTGTTTCTACCTAGAGTATTTGGGGACAAAATACATTTGCTTAATGGACAATAAAGAGGACTGAAACTGGCAACTAGTTAGAGGCAAAGGAACCACCACTGAGTCTGTGGCATCTACTGCTCTGGAGCGGGTTTTAAAACCACATTAAAAAGCCATTGCTTGGTCAGTGTGGGTAAGCATGGTCCTGCTGCACAGGGCATACAGGAGCCGAGAAGCTTCTGAAGGCTGTTCCAGCCATGTGTCTGCACAAGTGCAGGCATGAGTAAGTGTTTTAAGTTACAGTTTTCCTCTCGATTTTTACTGCCAATATCTACGGTGTGGGTTAGGATGCAGTACTTCTTTTTGCTGTCCCTGTGTTACTCAACCCCATCGTATGAGAACTATGTTATTCCTTTTTTTTTTTTAAATTAATTTGAAGTCAGATAGTGCATGAACTCAGTGCTCCTTAAAGAAGGCAAAATGAGAACAGCAGAAAGCATAGACCCTGATCCTCAGGGGCAGCTGAGCACCTCCCTGGCTGTCACTGTGAGAGCCACTGGCCTCTTCAGAGCCAGGATCTAACCTCTCACACGGGGATGCTTTGCCAAGAGCATCAGTTCAGCTGGGGCAGGGTTCTCACGCAGAGGTTATCCCACCAGCAGGCAACACTAACATGTATTTTAATTCAAACCTGAACTCAGCTGAAAATCCCAGTCCTTCCGCTTCAGATTAAATGTGGGTAACGCTGCATGTTACTGCAGTGCTGTGAGCATAAGGGATGAGAGCAGCCCTAACAAACTGCAGCCGCAGTAATGCGGAGAGAACACTCAGAAAAAAATGAGTCCAGTGCAAATGCAGATTGGACAGAAGTGGGTTGTAAGTCAGACAATCAAAAATGAGAGGATACAGAACACAACATAGGGTTTGGGACAAAGCCCTGGAAAGACAGCTGCAAAGTATCTATTAATGACCAAATTTGTGATACAGCGTTGGCCCCAAGCTAGGCAGTACTTCTTTGTGCTTTCTGTTCTTTCTGATGTGCTTCACTCAAAGAGGCCTTGTAGAAAAATGATCCTTCTGGGCAGATAGTGACAATAACAACTTTCTCTGAGCCTTTCCCAAAAGAGCGCTCAGAATTGTAAACTAGAGTAAAACAGGGCCTAAAACCTAAACAATGAATTTCCTCTTAGAATGAAGCCAATGAAAACCTGTTAAGTCTTTATGTCAAGTTCTGCTTCGTTCTTCAGCAAAGTGCACAGGATGTAAATCTCTGTGACTCACTACATGAAGTCCACAAACATTTGTCTAAAATCACACGGGTCCCACCCTGTTACTTTACAGCTGACCCATTTTCCATCAGTCCATGGAGAATCTTTGGGCTATTAATTGGATCCAACTTTCTCTGCTTACAAGGGTTACAGATAAGATCGATGAGCCACAAATGAGTATCTGTCCATCAGGTACTGCAGGAAGTTCTATGTGGGAGTGAATTATCAAAATTGGGCGCAGAAGGTTTTTTCCTCTGATTTTGTTGGGTTTTTAAAAGCCATTTACAAGTGTATTTTTTATTTCTCTCTACGTTTTCTTTTATGAACTCGATATATCTCTAGCACATCAAGTATAAACCTACTACTCCACACCTCAGCCCTTTCACAAGTATGTAACCTTCAGTGTAGATTTCCCAGACTAATTGCGTATGTTTTTGTGTTTGTTCCTGGCTTGTCTCCTTAACAGTTAGACAAAGGACATGCAAAGGTTTAGCAAGTGCTTCTTAGTGACTAAAGGCAACACTGAGCTAGCACAGCAGATGTTACCCATGCGGCAGGGAGGTACCTTGCTGTGCTGTTTACCTCGGCTCCCAAGGTCTTGTCCATATTTATAGAATGATTTGAACAATAGTGGATGAGGAGTACCTCTATTCTAGTAACTTACCGTATATTTTCATGTCCAATCATAAAACATACAGTGTATATTGTAGGATTGCCTGGCATCACTGAATTAGTGATTTCTTCACTCTTCCCCTTGCTCCTGAAGCAACAGTGTAAAACCACTGTATGCCCCAAATCCAGCCCTCTTTAGGAATGCTCCAGGCGGGCAGATGTAAATCATCTGTTTTTATTCCCTTAGTGTCAGCTCGGGCTGTCAGTCCCACTGAGTTTCACAGGAGTTTTGTCAAAACATGACAAGAACACGATTTAAAGTGCACACACCTACAGCCAAATCTGGCTCTCAACAGGCCTTGTGCAAATCCAGCGTAGCTAATAAAGTCACGCAGGAATAGCCAGGGCAGAGTTTTGCCAACAGGGAATAACCTCAGGTTCAAATCCAATGCTGCCCTGAATCTTCTGCTGTACACCTCGAGCCCCGGTCAGCTCAGGGAGTAATTACATTTCATTCTCTCAACTATGCTCGTTTTATTGATGCTGCTGCTGTTCAGACAAGGCAGCCTACGCAGCACAATCAAGCTGGCTTGTGGTTTTGTAAAAGAGCACAAATTTATGTTTGCCAAGTGGATCAGGGAAGCACATAAAAGCAAAATCTTTTAAAAAGCTATGGGGTGTCCTAAGGTGTGTCTCTGGACTACCAGAATGAAAACTAGTGCGGTGTTTCTCCCTTACTTTATAGCAAAGTAGTATTTTTATTTTTGGAAAGGCTGCAGGAAATATTTATAATTTCATTTTTTCTGTAGTAAAGAAAATAAGCATTTTTTAGGTGTGGCAGTTTGTTTTATGGGAGTGGGATGTGACGGGGAGGTTGGGTTTTTATGTGTGTCTCTTGACCAATGCAGAAAAAGCATGGCAGAATGAAAACAAAGGACACTTATTTTTCGTTAGTCTTTCTAATGCCAGTTTGGAGTGGGTGAGAGTTACCAGCTGGCACGGAAGGTGCAATTTATGTGTGTGCAGACAAGACACGGTAGGACCTGAATTTAAGCATCGTGCGTGGAAGAGAGGTACCCAGAGGAGGGGTCTAAACTCCTTTCCACGGAACAGACGCCCAGACCTCGGGTATTGATTCTGACATGTAGTTCCGCAGGGGATCTGGATCGCCACTCCCTTTAGGAGGTTGTATAAGTTTACAAGGTTTCTTTAAGGTTTTCAAGGCAGCTGCAGTAACAACGCTTGGTCCAAGTCAGAGGGCATTGATGTGAACTGACCTGAAACTCAGCTGCGACACCATCTTCGTCTTGTGTTTAGGGAAGAAGCTTCAGCAGTGAAACACATCTGCCTTTCGCACCGCCCCTGCGGGGATCGCCAGTTCCTAAGGGCTGACGTTAACGCTGACCCTTACCTTGTCTCTCCTTCCAGCTTCACGTGGTTATGCGGCCAGGTTCACCGCAACCTCCTCTCCAAGTTCACGGGTCAAGTGGTGGAGCTGTTTGATGAAGAATTCCGACACCTTTACGCGCTGTCCAAGCCGGTGAGGGGACCCAAGTCTCCACCGCGCACCATGCCCTTCCTGTTCAGCAAGAGCTGGGCCCCCCCGCGCAGCCTCCCCTACAGCAACGAGGGAAGCGCTAACACTCTTTCCGACCCCTTCAGCAGCCTCTCAGCCGGCAGCACCCACCACACCAAGCAAACCCCAAGAACTCTCATATTCAGCAGCAACTTTGTCCCCCAGTCACCGCTCCATAGAGTTAACTCCATCCAGAGCTATGTCTCATTCACACCCCCGGCGCCGCAGGCGGCCATCCAGGCTAACTACTATCATCAGCCGCACTACGTGGCCGATAACTCCGCAGTTCTGTATAACAACATGAACATTTACAGGCCTATAAGACTTAGACAAGAGGAACCGAACAGGACAGGGTTAAGCTCACCCTGGAGATGCCTCCACAAAGCTAACCTGTTTGCATAATGACCAGCTTGTTTTGAATTGCAAGTAAATGTAGCGAGGACCTGTTTAGCAATCACTTGTGTGCTGATGAATATAGAAATTCTGTATAATACAAAATGAGGATGATTTCAAGCCTCTTGTTTTGTTTTGCTGCTTATGGATGCTTCATTTCCCTAATTAAAAAGCCAGACCTGCTACCATGTAAACCTCGGGTGCATCACAGTTCCAGGAAGAACACATCTAAATAATGCTTCTCACAGTGCAACACTGCTGCTGCCTGTCACCTGCCCTTGGTAGCGTATGTGTGTAGCAGCAGATTTAGGCAGTTGCTGTTTTTCACATGGCCAGGCACCTGAAAGTGGGGAAGTCAAGCTTTATTACTACGGGTTTTTATGCACTTGCATAAGGAGACTGAAGGCAGCTATTTACGTGCCAAACTGAGGCGATGCTGGCAGAAGCAGTCTACCTTTGTGCTGTCATTGCACCTTAATCTTGATTTAGGAGGACTCCTTTAGGGCTGATGGGGAAGCACAGTTTCTACCACCGCGCTGTCTGAGCTTTCTGATTAAATGTGCAGCAAGGACATCTGTTTGTGAGGTTCCTAGGAAGGGCCCTGCTGACCGGGACGTGGGCCGAGACCGAGTGCTCAGGTGACAGAGGACATCTTGCAGCCACCGTGTGCTCACTTCTGCTCATTAGCAGCAGGGGTGCGTTCCAGCACCCTTTGTTACAAACCTCCAGTCCCACCAGCTCAGAGCAGTTTTCCTTATTGCAGAGCAGCTGTGTAGGTTCACACTGGAAAATGAAGCTGAGTAAAGAAGCAAAGTCCTACTAGTAACACGCCAGGACTGAAATCCAATCCATTTAATAGCACATGGATCTTAAAAATCCTCTCAGTGGTCATTTGATTGAACATTAAATTAGAGATAATGATGTTTTATTTCAGAGTTCTTCAAGGTTTCTAATTTTTAAAGAGAAAATGGGTGTCTATAGTGCCCATTGAATACAATTAGAGAGGAAGTTACAGAGCTTCAGAAGCTTGAACCAAAACAGAAAAGTTTTCTGCCGAATAATCCATGAAAACAAAGGAAGCTTCTGTAAGTCCAAGGCAAAAAATAGTAAGAAAACTCATGAAACAAAGGATTTTCATCCAATCCCAAAGTTACTAGATGCCTAAGAGCTGTTGATTTATTAGTACCTTATTTTCATATACCTGTGTTATATCATCCTCCATCTGACTCCAACAGAAAACAGAAACCTAAATGCATTTGCACATCTGGCCCATTTTGCCTGACTTCTCACCTGCTCAGAAAGGAATACAGTTTAATTCTTTAGGCTGTGGATGATGAAAATTGTATGCAGCAGCAAGATCTCAGGTGAGGAAAGTCTCTCATCCTTGGAAGAGCAGTCATGTTGAAAGTATACTGGTAAAGTTTACAGAACATTATGAAAGGTACAGGATGGACACATCCTGCTCTAGCTTTGGTGTGATGTTTTTACCTGTGATACCAAGTTTTGGAGTCCAGAATAACTATAAACTATTGCATATAATTGTAAATTCTGTACAGAGCAACATTTTGGGGGTTCCTTGGGAAGAAGGGAAAGTTGATTTTCATTCCTGTGATGATTCGACTTAATTATCTAAATATGGCAACCATTCAAATAAAAGAGAAGACTTTCATTAAAATCCCTTTGAGAGTCATTTTGTTCCTTCATATTCTCTTGACTTGTGCACCTTACTCTCTTCTCTTCCAAAAGCTAAATGAGTTCCCTCCAGGGAGAGCCCAAGCGAAAAGGAAACACATTTTTTCTCTTCTGAAATCAACAGGAACAGAATTAAACATACGTGTACCCCCAGCCTAATTAAGATTTTCTTCTAAATTTAGATCAGTTCCCTGATCCTGTTGTGGCCCATCTGGGGGTGGCACAGAGGGGGATATGGGGAGAAGTTTGTAGACCACTACTGCTGAAGCCTTCATTTCCTCAGGTCACGACCCACGAAATCCATGAAGGAGCGCTTCTCATCTCCATGGGGCAAGATAGTTTGCCTACAGAAGTTTTGGAGAACACAGCTAATGAAAAGTAGGTAAGGCACAAGCTAATAACTCAGAAGGAGTACTGGGAGTTAAGAGCTGATTTCAGCCCTGGATGAGGGATACAGCTGGTGCTAGTTCAGAAGACTGCTGAACTTAAACATCAAATGAATGGAATTTCTGTTTTGATGGAAAACAATCAGAGTTTACAATTTCAGCAATGAATTATGCCAGAAATACTAACAGCTTGATCACTCAGTGATGAGGAGAACACGTGGTTACAGGCAGCTGCAGAAACTACCTGTCAGGAAGGTCACGGCAGGACGGTGCCATACCCCGTCCGTCTGCTGCAAGGGAAGGGCTGGAATAAACACGGGCACCACAGAGTGTCCCCTCAGCGAGGCTGCGGGTGACGCCAAGCTGAGTGGTGCGGTCGATTCCCTGGAGGGAAGGGATGCCGTCCAGAGGGACCTGGGCAGGCTGGAGGCCCATCTGAACCCTGTGAAGTTCAACAAGGCCAAGTGCAAGGTCCTGCACCCGGGCTGGGGCAATCCCCGGTATCAATCCAGACTGGGGGATGAAGGGGTTGGGAGCAGCCCTGCAGAGAAGAACTCAGGGGTACAGGTGGATGAAAAGCTGGACACGGCCCGGCAACGTGCACTGGTAGCCCAGAAAGCAAACCATATCCTGGGCTGCATAAAAAGCGTGGCCAGAAGGTTGAGGGAGGTGATTCTGCCCCTCTGATCCACTCAGGTGACACCCCACCTGGAGTACTGCATCCAGCTCGGGGACACACCCGGGAAAGGTCCTAATTACCCTCCAGAGTGCCCCGGGGCCTCACCTGGGCTTTGCTGCGCTCCAGAGGTCACCCCTTCTACAAAATCTAAAAGTCTAAAAAACCAGAATCGCCTTTAAGTACAAATTCACTTCTATTGATATTTTAGAGGTTGGCATAGGCAACGCTTACGCGTGCTTTTTAGCCCCCACCACCCACATCTAGATCCTCTTCATCTTCCTCCAAAATAGGCAAGAGACCAGACATACAATAACGAGTATCAGTCCGGTTCTTGTTTTCCAGGTCATCACCTGGATCTTCTTCTGCAAGGGCAGCGGGGGTGAAGCCTCCTGTGCCGTCTGCCAGCTCCCCCACAGACCAACCGTCTTCATTCACCCGTCCCAGGACACAAACAGACTGTCCAGCAGTGAGAGGAAGCTCTAGTGCAGGCTGCTCGCTGCGACCGTCAGAAGGATCGTAGCTGTATGGAGCTGTGAATGCTCGAAGCTTCTCTGCTTGTTGTCCCAGAGCCAGTCTGATGGGCTGTTTTTCCACTACTTGTTCTTCTGTCTCACTTGCGGGCTCCTCCCCTGAACGAAGGCAGAACGCAGGACTGTCCTCTGCCCAAGCTGGCTCTGAGGGGCTCTGAAACTAATTCTCTGGTTTACTCACCTGGCCTCAAAACAGTTGCCTGGCTTCTGCGTGGTCCCTTTTTACTTCTCTCTGAGCACTTTATGCCATGTCTCTCACAGCTTTCAGGCTGTGCTCTGCAGCTTCCCATCGGGTTTGCAGAGGGCTGATGGCTTGGATGGCAGCGTTTCCTCCCTCTGCCACTCACATCTGTTCAGGTTAGCGTTTTCAGCTTGAACCTTTTCTGCCCAGAGCATCTGCCCACGGAGATGAGAATTTTCTTTATCCAGTCTGGTGTTTTCATCTGTCATCTCCAGAAGCTTCATCTCTAGCTCTTCACACCTTTGGCTGAGGCTGCTCACGTAGTATGAGCCATCATTGCAGCCAGTTGGGCCTGGAGCTCCTCAGCCACCTTCAGCGTGACTTCGTTCTGCTGGTCCTGTGCCAGCAAAGCTCTGGCAGGCTCTCTGCTTTCTCCAGCCCTCTGCTGAGGAAACAATTTCACGCCCAGTTTCTCAGCAGAGCTTTGGCCGGGCTGTGGCCCTGGAGTATGCATCAGGTACCCAATGATGTCCTGCAGATGCCGGCATCTTTTTCAGCCGCTCGTTGAGGGCAGCTAGCTGAGCATTTTTCTGCTGGGGCCCCTCTGCCTCTGCACACTTCTGGAGAGCTTCTCTTTCTCAGGAGGTGATTCTCCATCTCAAGAGCACTGTGTTGCCTCTCTGGGTCTTGCAGGACAAAGGTCTAAAGTACATCATGTAGATGCTCACGTGCCCAAAAGATGCACCACTGAAGAACATCGAAACAATGAACAGGTAGAAAAGGCTGTCAGAATTGAAGTAGCTCAGGTGGACCTGGACGGGGAGCATAAGGGTGAGCTACTTGTAGTTTGATGGGCCCATGAAACATGGGGACGTCTAGAGAGACATGCAATATGCAGATGGGCTTGTAATCAAGGGGTGGATCTGACCATGGAGGCCATCACACAGGTCACTCATAAATGTGAAACATCTGTTGCAATCCAGAGAGCCACATGAGTGAGGTCTCCTTGGAACAGAGGGAGGTGGCTGGGTGTTCAGGGTGGTGGGGCCTGGCAATGGACTGCATTGGATCGCTGCTAGGAACACGCCAGGGCAAGTGTGACATAACTCACCATGGCAGAAGCAACTACCAGTTGGCTGGAAACATACCTTGAAAACCCTTCCACTGCCCAGAACACCATCTTAGGCCTTGAAAGGCAAATTTTGTGGCAGCATGGTACCCCAGAAAGAATTGAATCAGACAATGGGACTCGTTTCCAAAATAACCTCATAAACTCCTGGGCATTGAGTGGGTGTATCACATCCCCTATCACCCACAAGCCTCTGGAAAGACTGAGAGATATCAAGGACTGCTAAAGACTGTATTGAGAGTGTTGGGCAATGGAGCTTGGAAGCGCTGCGATATAAATACAGCAGAAGCCACTTGGCTGGTTAACTACAGAGGATCTGGTAGGACTTGGTCCTACCCAAAGAAAATCCCCACCTACTGCGGGAGGAGATAAGGTCCGGGTAGTGCACAGAGGGAAGAGACTGGGGAGGGTGATGTGGATTGCTCCTCCCTTGGGAAAAGGCAAACCCATTTGTGGGATTGTCTCTGCTCAAGAACCTGGGTGTACTTGGTGGGTAATGCGGAGGGACGGGGACACCCGGTGTGTGCCTGGAGGAGCTTTAACCTGCAGGCTCTGGGCCAACAAGCAGAGAAGCTTCGAGCATTCACAGCTCCATACAGCTACGATCCTTCTGACGGTCGCAGCGAGCAGCCTGCACTAGAGCTTCCTCTCACTGCTGGACAGCCTGTTTGTGTCCTGGGACGGGTGAATGAAGACGGTTGGTCTGTGGGGGAGCTGGCAGACGGCACAGGAGGCTTCACCCCCGCTGCCCTTGCAGAAGAAGATCCAGGTGATGACCTGGAAAACAAGAACCGGACTGATGCTCGTTATTGTATGTCTGGTTTCTTGCCTATTTTGGAGGAAGATGAAGAGGATCTAGATGTGGGTGGTAGGGGCTAAAAAGCACGCGTAAGCGTTGCCTATGCCAACCTCTAGAATATCAATAGAAGTGAATTTGTACTTAAAGGCGATTCTGTTTTTTTAGACTTTTAGATTTTGTAGAAGGGGTGACCTCTGGAGCGCAGCAAAGCCCAGGTGAGGCCCCGGGGCACTCTGGAAGGTAATTAGGGCCCCACAAAGCCCAGCTATGGTCCTGGGGTGCTCTGGAGGGTAATTTGGGCCCCGCACAGGCCCCTGCAGAGCCTGGGAAAGGCCCCAGGACACTCGGGGGGGTACTTAGGGCCCCGCATAGGCCCCAGGGCCTTTCCAGAGGGCTCCTCTGCCGTGTCAGAGCACTGCTGCTGTGGCAGCGACAGGGACCCCCCTCTCGGGGCTAGCTGCTGTGCACGTCCTCGGTGGGGGGAGCAGAGAGAAGCAGAACAGTGGGTGGCATTGCCCAAGGGACCGTCCGCACAGGCCTCACTCACGTGTCAGGACACGCGCACAGGGCACCTCGACCCCCCTGCTGCCCCTGCCTCCACACCCTGGAAGCAAGCTGAATGAATAGGCTGGGCTTCACCAGGGCTTCCCAGTGTCCCCGTGACCCTCCCGCAGCCCAAACCGGTCCTGCAGGCCTTTTGGCTCAGAGATGCTCCCGCTGGCATCCCCCGAGTGTTGCCCATCACAGCACTTGAGCGTGAAGCCGTATGCCGGGGAACGGAGCACACCGCACGTGCACGCGTGGGCAGGTGCTGCTCACAGGGGAAGCACCAGAGCAGCACGTGCTCCAGGACGTGCTCTGCACTCGCTGCTTCTGTTCCTTAGGAGCATTTCACTGACTGCTTCTTCCACAGGCTGCTTCCAGTCACCAGGGACTTCACCTGACTGCTGGGACTTTTCAAGTATCATGGAGAGAGGCCTGGCAACTGTATCAGCCAGTTCCCTCGGGGATGCATCTCATCAGGTCCCAAAGATTTACATATGCTCACGTTCCTCAGGTGCTCACAAGTCTGATCTTCTCTTACAGTGGGAGGGACTTTGCTACCTCAGTCCCTGCCTTGAGGTCCATCCACTTGAGAAGTGTGGGAAGAGCGGTTGCCAGTGAAGACTTAGGCAAAAACTTGTTGAGTACCTCAGCCACCTCCTCATCCACAGGTACCAGTTTGCCAGTTGTTCCACAGGCTGATTTTTCTTTTTTTTTTTTTTTTTTTTTTTTTAAAAAAGAGAGCACCTTGGTCTGCCCCCACTGTTCCTCCTAGAAAATAAAAAGCACCCCAGTGTTCCTCCTGCCTGGACCGCACACCCTACTCTTCTGCAGCCCCCTTCCATGACCCTCACTAAGCCTGCCAGCTTCACCTCCATCCCTGGGAAGGTGATAGAGCAACAGACCCTGGAAACAACTTCCAACTTGTCCTGTGCAGAACAAAAAGGTGATGGGGAGTCAGCAGGGATTTAGCATCAAAGGCAATACTGACTTATACCCCACCACATGAGGCAGGAAGGTCAGCTCACTCATCAAATGAACCTCCCAGGGGCCAGTGCTCAGAGTTCCAGCTGGCCACTCATCCCAACAAAGAACTACAGTTCAAGCTTTACTGAGCCCTGAAGTACTGTCAATTTTCTTCTGGTTTCCCAGAATTTCCGCCAGCAGCAAACCCTGTTTTACCTTACCTATTGAACTCCCCATGACTGATGCTGCCCCTGGTTTTAGTACCTTTCCAGGGAATGTGGATCCCACAAGGACAACTGGGTGAACTCACCCAGTATCGGCCGTGTCATATGCCACCGCCATGCTCAACAGGCCGGGAACCCACAGACTCTGAACTGAGTCACCAAACTGTTACCAAAATAGATTTGTTTGCATTTTTATTTTCTTCTAGTTTGTGTGTGGCTACTGGAAAGAAGGCAGGAGAAGAAGGCACTAGCTAAAGCCCCTCTGTTCTTGCCAGCAATAAAGGTGGCTCTTGGCTGGGAGCACAAGCAGGACCCCTTGTTACAACTCTTGATTCCTTGTAAGCCATCTGAAGATTATTCACATATTCGTTTTTACAATGACATTGCCTGCCAATGGAAAGTAGAAACTACATATTTGTTTTCCTTTGCTTCCATGCACAGCCTTTGCTTTCTCTTTATTAAACTGCCTTTATCTTGACCCACAAGTTCTTTTTTTTTTTTTTTTTCCTTTTATATTCTCCTCCCCTGTCATGCTGAGGAGGTGGAGTGATAGAGCAGCTGGGTGGGCACCTAGCAGCCAGCTAAGGTCAACCCACCACACAGTGACAGGACAAGGGGCAATGTTTTTAAACTGAAAGAGCACAGATTTAGATTAGACATAAGGAAGAAATTCTTTACTGTGGGGGCAGTGAGACACTGGCACAGGTTGCTCAGAGGAGCTGTGGCTGCCCCCTCCCTGGAAGGGTTCAAGGCCAGGTTGGACGGGGCTTTGAGCAACCTGGTCTGGTGGAAGGTGTCCCTGCCTGTGGCAGGGGGGCTGGACTAGATCATCTTAGAAGGTCCCTTCCAACCCAAACCATTCTATGATTCTGTGATGGAGAAAACTGTGTTAACATCGGTAGTTACAGCACTAAGATGTTCTCTCACCTCAAAGCCAGAGATATTCACTCAATAGCAACGCACACAATTAGATTGTGTTTGTACACAACAATTTTTTCAGAAGCATCAGAACCAGGGTCATAGGGTCCTTCCCAAAGCATATGTAACATGAGCAAGTCTTAAAATAGCAAAATCAAACCTCAGTAACTGTTAATGGATTCTCACTTGCAGTTTGCAACACTAAAATTTGCTATTTAACTCAGCGTGGAATACTGGTGCATGTACTAATACCAATAATAGTATCATAAGAGCTAAAACATGAAGAAATCTATTACAGGCAGATGTAGAATTATGCAGAACACAGAAGCAACAATGAGAATTTCAAATGCAAGATGGAAACACAAAGCCCCTCATGAAATATGATCAGAAGCAGAAAACTGGAGTTAGAAGTGGCATACCAAAAAAGCAAGGAGCAAGCCAAAAAAAGGAGGAATTGAAGTAGCTGAGATGAGAGATAGCCAGGCACAAGCAGAACAAAGGAGTATTTCATAGCCCCAGTGCAATAAACACTGCTTATTTGGTACAGTAACTAAGCCACACTTTCAGAACAACATTCATGTTGTTTCCTTTGCAGTAGTTAAAAACAACATTTTTGCTTCATTGTTATGTTTGAGAAAATACTGCCTGTTCTTAAGAACTGCAATTTGCCTTCCCCTCCTGGAGCCAGTGAGGAGTTAACTGTTGTGTTGCCAGTCTGAGAGACAACCTCAAGTCAAACAATCTGCACGCACACACCAAAGTCCCCAGATCACCTTGGCTAGCCACTGTGTATTTTGGCCCCCTCAGTCACAAAATGACAACATTTGGCAAGTATTTAATTTGCTGCTAAAACAGCTCCAAAGCTACTTCCACCTTCTAAACTGTGGAGCCAAATCATTTGGCAAGTTCCCACGAAATATCTATACAGACCTGGTTCCACAAAGCTGTGTTCTGATGTCCTAACTACTGATCCTGCTCCAGAGCTGTGGCAAAACAAATTATAGCTTTTGCATGTGGCTACTTATGACTATAAGGTTAAGAAGAGACTGGGAAAAGTCCCTGTTCCAGTTTTTTGCTGACATATTTGGCATTTGCCATGTCTCTGCTGTAAGACATGCTACTGTTGATGCCAACATTGTAATTAATTTACAGCACATTATGGACAGCCTCTACTGAAAACTTATGGCACCAGTTAGTCTTAAAAGCATCCCCAGCCCTTCAGGCGGGCTTCACTGCCATCCGAATATAGTGCTCTACACACGTACACAAAAATTTCCACCTAGCAAAGCACACGCATGACTAACCCAAATATTCTAGTGCATTAATGCTTACCCAAGTATACTTGCCAAGTCATCATCTTTCGTAACAGGCTGACCAGGATGTGGTTTAATCGCATTAAGTCACCAAACGATCAAAGATAATTTGACATGGCTGAAGGCAATATTCCATTTTTCCAGAGAGGTTTCACAGTCAACTTAGCAGAGGGCTACACCATACCATGGGTTAGTGACGGGTTCCCTAGTCAGTATCTTAAAGCTTTAAAATTCAGCTAAAAGTAGCAGATACAAAAGTAATTCACATATGGTGAATATGGTGAATTTTCATTCAGCTGAGAGTTATTTAAAGTTTCAGCATTCTTTAGTACTTCAGAAAGAAAACACGGGAAAACATGAAGAAAAGTCACAGCAAATTATGTCTAAGAGATTCTTGGTTTTAAACTATATCCACTAAAGAACACTTATACAAAAAGCTGCAAAGAATTTAAGTCTCACAGTTTAGGAGAAGATGGTAAGAGCACATTTTGTTTGCCTCAAATGCAAATTATTTCAAGCAAAAGAAACTACAGGATAATCTCTGCCTTTTTCTGTAGAAGCCCAAAGCACTAGCATCAATGCTTCAGAAGATAAAGCAAAGTGGTGCCATTATCAACTGAAAGCGTAACATAAGGAGCTGTATGATGCAGAAACAACACTGCCAGTTTTCACAGCAAAGATCTTCCTTGCAGGGTTTTACAAAGGATATGATCTGACTAAACACTCTTCAGTACATATAAACAACCCTGACAGTTTTTCTCCAGTGTGCTTAGATGAGGCCGGAGACAAGACTACAGCTAGTTCTACGCCTGCAAAGAATGCTTAGCTTTGAAGAAAGAAAATCTCCTTCCAGTTCCAAGTTAAATATTTGCCACCGAGATCTTTTTCCTAAAACATGTGGAATTATTCTTATTGATAATTTCTCAGCATAAATATATTTAAGATTTCTAGCTATCCATCTCTGAACAGGAAATCACTATAATGACAACTAATCAAGAAATATTAAAAAAATTAAGTAAGAAAATGGCTAATTCCATGGCTCTAAATGCAACAACATAGAATTTGATACCAAGACATTTTCAAACTGGACATCATAAAGGAAGCCTTCCATCCCACCGGCGTCACAGGCCTCAAAAAAATCATTGGTGCTCCTAGCACAATATGGTGAGGTTCATGATGGAAAGCTACCTCTGAAAGCTGAATTGAAAGCTTGATTTTATATTGGATATAACTCATTATTTTAAATACAAACAAATCAGTGAACAAAGAAAATTATGAGATGGTAAGAGATTAAATGCAGATATATATATATTCTTGAAAGATATAGAATAAGAATTCTTTAAAAATGTAATATGAACTTTATTGTATATATCATTCCATAACCATTTTGAGATATGAGAATAAATACAACCAAACCTTTAAGTAACCGAAGGTGGGAGACATATATCTGAATAAAATTGTCTGCCAAAGTGACATAAATCATCTTGAAGATTACCAAACCATTTGGTTTCAAATTCTGTGGCTGATGCAGTTACCAATGATGACAGCACTGAAGGGCCTATGCATTTTACCTCACCCTGAAATTCCTCTTTTAGTTTTTCTGGTATGAGATCCTGCCCCATAACCTACAAACAGAGTAGGAAAGAAGATGAGAAACAAGAAAATAACTTACAGATAAAACAGCAAGTATGACATTAATAACAGATCTTTACAGGAAAAGCCCTTGGCCATAAACCACACGCCATCCAGAAGTTTCCAAGTCACGATCAAGTTGTCTGCCTGCTGCACTTCTGCAATAAACACGGAGAACTGAGAGCCCCAGCCTCCAGCCACACAACCCCACCCAGCTTCTGGCTACGCTCGGCCAGGGGGATTTTTACTGAATGGCAGCAGAACTCTCAACTCCAACTCTGCATTCAGTGCTCACCTTGCAAAGGCACCAACACCGATCGCCTCGTGGGGGGTGTCGGTCCAAGGGAAGCAAGGAGAGAAGTTTCTTTCCCAACCTTTCCAAGCCCTGAGATGGTCTGCATGCTGCTGCCCTCTTACGGGTGAAATCCCGCACGGCTGCCTGCCGCCCCAGCAACCGCTTGGCTTTCTCTGACTTAAAGCTGCAATACTGGCAGCAAAGTTAGAATCTCGCTGGCTTCCTTTTGTTCCTTAAGATAAAAGCCAGGAATTCTATAAATAGCACTAAAAATTTTTAATCTCTATGAATAAAGTCATGCAATGTTACTCTCCTCCTTTGTATTTGTTTAAAACTAGAATCCAGTACATCAAACAGAACAAAGAAATCATGTAAAAAGATGTCTCTGGCTTGTTCTGAAAATGTTTAATACTTTTTGGGCAAGTGTTTAATACTGCTGTGGCCATCACAATAATCTCCACTTCCATTTCATACTTGTGATTTACTTTGTGTTATCTAAAATTCCTGAGATAAAATCTGCGTCCCAGGAAACGCACAGTGATGATGCATCTGCAAATACAAGTCCCATGAGAAACTTAACAACCCTGAACATTCCTGAAAGGAGAATCTCAGCAGAACAGAGATACACCTGCATGACACAAGCCTGTGCTACCTAGCTATCACTGTCAGTTCCAGATAACATGCTACGGGGGTAACCCGCCCCAGCTAATTTACTTTGCTTCCTGGCACAGTTAATTAGCTCAGGGGAGTGCCACACTTAACAGGACTTTGTGCCTGAACTGGCTCAGGTACCTCAACCAGCCTACATATAGCTGAGAACTTGCACACGGTGAAACATCCCCTTACCTTGGTCATCAACAGCAAGGAGCTCTCGCTGAAACCAAGTTGTGCCACTTTGTCAGCAATTTCTTCTTGACTTTTTATGTTATTCTCTAGTGCAAAGGATGACTGTTGCAACTGGGTAAGCTGAAGTAAAAGCCTGAAATGAAAAAGGCAGTTTAAAAAAGGGCACAGCTGGCAAAAGAGTAACTCAGTGAACCTAAAAACAATCAACACATGATACTTTAAACAGCTCTTCTTCCTGGCTTTTGCCAGCTGCAAAAACTGCAAAGAAATTAACGCATCCATATCAATCTACTATGGGTATGGTGTATCTGTGCTATGACAGAAGTACTGAGAAGTACTTCTGAAAAACAACATGCCAAGTAACTCTGGTTCCTTCGTGCAAACATTTTTCTCCCCATGTATTCATCACACAATTTAACAGTGAAGCTTGGATCTGCTAGCATTAACTGCAGTACCTCAGGTGTCCCACACCCTTATTAAGCCCTAACAAGATGGCAGCGCATTTTTGCCTATGGAAGTGATTATCTTTGTAACCTGAAAAGCTAGAAACCTGGGGGTTTTAGACAAATCTCAGACATCCTCCCCACACAGGCCAAGCCTGGAATATTTTCTAAAATCTTTCACCACAGTTTTATGGTGAAGGCAGTGCCCCAGAAGTCACCACCGTGATTTGGTGAAGGTCAGACACTCTGCTCACAATGTGGCTTCTTGTCACTGAGGGATCGCATCACCAACTGCTTGACCAGAGAGAGCAGTGGCTGTTTCCAGAGTTCTCCTCACACAAGGACCATAGAACGGGTCAGCAGAGGAAATATCAAAGTATATTCAATCAAGGGACCACTGGGCCTTAGTTACTGAAACTATGTTCAATTCAAGCTTTATGCATAAAGAACAACAACAATTTTGTTTATCACATTTACAGAAGTTAAATGAAGCAAGTGTTACAATAAAGGTGTGTATTTTTATAAAGAGAAGACTCGAGCTCTTAGATGAAAGATTTCATTTAAGCATTAGAAGCATCAAAATTTACAAGTCTGAGCTACAAACCATTTGTAAATTCAGTAAAGTTTTCACTGGGAAATTCAAAGTAAAAATGGAAAGTATTTTTAATTTGTAAAGCGTTTTTGTTTCAAAATTTGCATCAACAGAATGTAAATTAAACAAAAGCATTTCTGCAATTTCTTTATTGGTTGACAAAACTAGAAGAGTTCATGATGCTTTAACACTGAACCTTATTTCCTACAAAAAGCAATACCAACACCCCTTTTCCAGGTGCATTTTACCCTGCACGTATGTTTATGCAACATCCACATCTCACTTAAAATCCAACAGACCTGAAAACGTTACACAACCTAATTAAGGCATAAGCCCTGAGCAGCAGTTTACCCTGAACAAGTGTATCTGCAAATATAAACCACAATACCACTTTGTGAAACTGTGCAGCCAAGTAAGCAAATCCCACAATTTTTAACTGTCTCAATGCTGAACTACACACACTGAAACAAGCAACACAGATTGTTTTATGTTAACGTAGCTTTAATATTCAATATCAGTACTAAATCTATTAACTTCTCCCAAGTAGCAATTACAGTAACCATCTTTTAGTCTGAGTACAGTTAAAAGCTACTGTATCTTTTTTACATTTCTTAAATCTTGCCCTAACAGGGCAGTTATGAAGTGTTCTCTGTAAACATTTGTGGAAGTTCATAAAATGGCTTTAAATACGCCTGGTGACTAATTGCTGAGAGGCAAGAGGGGGGGAAAAAATTCAAGACTATTTTAACAAAACCAGTTCCTAATTATCTCTTTGAAAGATTATGTTTTAGGGATTTTTGTTGGGTGCAAGAGTTTTAGGAAGAGAGGGAAGAAAAGGAAAGAGCATTTTAATGCAGCCCTGTCAATCAGCTGTCACAGAGTTCATTTTTCAACCTCATCCATTATGCAGATTGGGGTATTATTATAATACATTTTCGCTCAAGCATGAGGCTTCAAGCAAATAAGACAGGTGGCACTCACAGAAGGAAGACTGGCTAGCCTTCCCTTTGGGGCTCTTCTGCTGCTGCATCTTTATTACCAAACCGGGAAACAGCCATGTTCTAACAGAAGCATTTGTTGAAGAACAAGCCCTTTTGTATACAGTTACTTGAAAAGATTCATATGTCATTAAAAAAATGCTTTACTTCTCAACAGTGCATGACACTGCTTTAATCCTTCCACTCAGATTGAGTTTGTTCACAGCCACCACGCTAGTGGATTTTATTAGATCTAAAACAGTAGCAGGGTGCTTTAAAGTTAGCATTGCCAATGATGAAACAAACATTTAATTGAAAATGTAAACTGAAAATTTTAAGGCCGGGAAAAATATGCATTAAACGGTTCTCAGTTGGGAGAAGTTAACATTTTTCTAAGAATACATTTAGTTACCTTGCCCTAATAAACGAGGCACACGCCTTTATCCCAACCTTCTTTGACATGTTCTGCTCCCAGGGCTCGGAGGCTGTGCATTTCATTTCGTCCGTCCTTTCTGGATCTTCCCAAGTGCAGAGGAATTCTTTTACAGCTTGACTGCCACTACAAGTCACTGCAATCTCCCTCTCTGCTTCTGTAGCAAGGCTGGACCAAGGGCCTTCTTTCTGGCCATCTGATCTGTGAGGCTGCAAATTAGTCTCTCTTCCAGTTGATATTTTGAAACTACTATCACTTACACTAACCTCTTCAGGCTGATTCAGATTTGTTTCTGGAATGACTAATGGAGACAAATTCTGTAATAGGCTCATATAAAGTTCAGCAAGTAACTTCCAGTACCAAGGGTTGAAAGGATGTAAGCAGATCAGTTGCTGCAGACACGTGATCTTTTTTTCTACATTTTCCAGACTCTTGTAAATGGCAAACTGCAGGTTGAGAACCGTTGTTAAGTGATCCGTGTTAGTAGCGCCGTTTCTCTAGAAACGAAAGATAATAGATTAAAAACAGGAGTAGAACAGAATCACCCTTCAGAGCCTAAGAAAACGTCTCCCTGAATAATGACACACAAATACCACTAAAGGTAGTTTTTAAATTGTACAAAACTGTGCTCTTCATTTTGAATGATACACGACACAGATCATGCACTACCAAGCTGACAGCATTCCCTCTCGCTGCCTTGTGCCAGTCTGAAAAGCAAGAAGGCCCGACCACTGTCATTTGTTTATTTCCCTTCAGAGTTTTAGACAGTTGCCCTTCTTACATAAACTATATATAAACCCTTCTAGCATAAACACCTTTTATATAAAATAAACAGCAGCAGTAAAATTCCAGCAGACTTCAGAGCCTCTGGACTTTTTCCTTTATGGGAAAAACTCAATTTGTGGTTAGTTACTCTTCTTGGTGGCAGTTTGGCAGCACATATATGGAAATAGAAGGGAGTTTTGAACCATCACTTTTATAGGGGAAAGATTTAAGCATTCATTTATCCCCTTTCTTATAATTCCTATTACATTACATTAATTCTGCCTGGCAGAGCACGATATTTAGTCCCTTCCAGAACTAGCAGTCTCCCTGCACAGGGAGCTCGTTGTGGTACAGGGTGTTCTGATTTCTAAGGAGTGATTATATCTGCAGTGACAGTTACCCTCTGTTTACCAAATACTCTGAGCACTGAACATCCTGAAGGATTATACACATTATTTTCCAGAAAATGGTCCATATAAAAGAACTACTAGCAATATTTTTTACGCTCAAAGCCTAAAAGAACGATCGCAGTATTTACCATTTTTTCTGCAATATCCAGAGCCTCCTTGTGCCTTCCTAAGCGATATAAACACCGAGCCTGGCCCTCTTGGACATCTCGTCTCATTGCAATGTTACTGGGAGGTAAGAGTAGTAAGCAGTTTGTGTATTCACACAGGGATTTCTAGTAGTTTCGACAAAAAGAAAAGCCAAACAAAACAGTGAGAGATTTTCATCTAAAGGCAAGCCTGATGGTATGCTTTGTTTATGACTACACTCACAAAGGGAATTCAGGAGCTGAAGTCCACATTTTCATTTCTCCAGACACAGCTACCACCTAAGCCAGCAACAGACAAGGGCCTCAGTACTACACAGCCAAGTCTAGACAGTGATGAGCAACCTCAATCCTAACTCATGTTTAAGCTCTGGCAGGATTCACCACACATCAGTCCACTTCCCCACCAGACCTGATCCAGAAGGGATCATCTACTGACCTGGGCAATATGCAGCACAAGGCATCTTTCCCCCAGCTACCAACTCAGTGACCAGAGCACTCATCCTAAATTTGGGGGACCTTGTTTCAAATCCGTAACATCCTCCACAGGAAGGTTTGAACCTGCAAGTACCTCACCTGACATGAAAAATCAAGAAGTTGGAGAATGCAACAAGGAAGGTGAATCTCCATTGTTCCTGTAGGGTGGTTCTAATTTGCACAAAATAATTAAATATTAATTGGGCTAAGGAAAAAGACAAGAATGAGCAGTACTTCTGTAGCTTAATGCTCAGGGCACTCACCAGGACGCCAATTAACATTTAAATACATTAAATTACATATTCACTGAAGCTAAGACTGGAATCTTGGTTCCTCCCCCTCCATGTGAATGCTCAAACCAGAAGACTAAAGAGGAATGCTTATTCTCCCATCTCTCAAAATTAATATTTAATTATTCCTTGCAAACTTGAATGGTTCTAACAGAAAGAGCTTCCAGGCGACTTACCCTAAATAGTTCCTAGCAAAATGGCTGAAATATTTTTCTTCCCTGGTGCTAAGCTTGCATTCCTTCTTAAGCAAAAGAGGGAGCTCCCTTCTGCCCAGTGGGTGCAGCAGCCACTGGTGAAAATGGATCAGAGGAGGGTTGCAAGACACCCCTGTTTGCCTTGTTATGTGACAAAGGGATATAACCTGGCAAGGATTGGGCATTATGAATCCCAAGCAGACTCTACAGTCATTTATATCCTAAAAATGGGCACACCTTAGATCACTGCTGTCCTTGGCATTTCCTATCAAGTGGCCTAGGCCGACATAAAAAAGTATTCACAAGTGAAGATATTACTACCCCCACTTACTTACTTCCAGCCCCCTTCCTAAGGTCGGTGCTCTCAAATCCGTAATTTTATGTGCAGTCTTAGTTCTGGTTCTATCACAGTCATCCAGGTTAGCAATAAGACTGAAAACTAGGCATTTTTAACATGGATAACTGTGACAGAAATGGGTTAGGAACCAATGGTTTGCTCCACTAGCAGATCTGAGGGGGTGTCATTCTCTCCAGAGAGGGCACCACAGCACACAGCAAGGAGCAATCTGCTCTTCCTGAGGGTCAGCAGCCATGTCTGACCGCAGTCTGAGGCATTTTTCTTCTAAGCACACTTTTATTAATCCCTTCAGGGCATCTCAGCTGAGACTGAAAAGCATCTGTCATGTACAGACAAGGCAGCAGTAGCACTGCAATAACATTAAAAAGCAGAAGTCTGTGCCAACTGAGGTACAAAAAGATCCACAAATCCAATGGGCAAGGCGACAGGAGTGGAGTCAGAAGTCAGCCTGAGGGCTTGGAAATCAGGGAGCCTGTAATGCAAATCATAGCCTGGAACGATAAACTATTGCAGTTGAAACAAGACCAAAAGCCGCTGGTTTCAATCAGGAAACAAGGTAACAAAAGACTGGATCCTGCAACTAGGACTATAGAGGCAGGAGAGCATTGATGATCAGGAACATGGCTCAGGAAACAGGCAGTGAGGGCAGGGTCTAGGACTACATCAGGCAAGACCAGAAAAGGGGAATATAAATGCACCCCAAAGGCACAGCCAGCCATCCAGAGCAAGGGGAAGTGGCAGAGGTAGGACAATTAATGATGAGTCTCATAAACCAGCTGTCAGGAACCTGACAACTACAGTCAGCTTTGGACTGACAGCAGGGGGGAGCTCTGAGAAAGGTGAGCAGGCAGCCAGTGATTTGACAGCCTTTGTGGGACATGGTATTATCCCCCGGGGCAGAGAAATCGAGAAATCCACATGCTTAACTCTGGCTGACCATGACTTCCACGGCCACACACACCAGCTCTGCTCACCACTGAACCACTCAGATGGGCAAGCCTCATCTAGATCAGCTCCGGGTGCAGAGCAGCATTCCTGGCCAGTTTACACTGACTTCATGCTGACTCCTGGAAAAATGACATCTAGCGGGGGGAGCTGGCCAGAACACAGTTACCCATCGTGGCCGGGCTGCAGCTCAGCCAGCAGGACGGCTCCTCACCCGGCCACAGGAACTGCCGGTGGAGCTGTCACACTTTCAGCACAAACGAGGAGCCACCAAGCTGGACGCAACCCCACCGCTGACTCCAGCACCTCCACGCCATGGCTCAGCTGGGAGGCTTTTACATAAACAAGCACAAACGTTCATGCAGCACAGCGGGGACTACAGGATCACCCCAGTTAACATCCCCGCAACTTCCACCCACCAGGGCCCGGGCTCGGCCCAGACCCCAGGCCGTGCGAGAGCCCTGGAAATACCTCAAACTCCCGCTGCCGGTAGGCCCAGTCCGCCCGGAACTTGCTGACCGTTAGCCCGTCGGCGCCTTCCCCGCCGTCCGCCTCGCTGAGAAACCACTGCGGGCACAGCACAACCCCGTCAGGGGGGCCGAGGCCGCCCCCCAGGCCGCCCCTTCGGCCGGGCCCGCCCGCCGCCCCCGCCTCCTCACGCAAGGCTCGCAGTGCTTCGCGCCGCAGGGCGGCCCGGCCCCGGTCCCGGCCCCGGTCCCGGCCCCGGTCGCCGTCCCCGTCCCGGTTCCGGCCGCGGCCCCCGGGCCCCGCTCCCGGCTCGGGGCGAAGAGGGAATCCTCGAACGGCCAGCCCAGCAGCGCCTCCATCCCGCCGCCCGGCTGCAGCGCGCCCCCTGCCGGGCCGCCGCTCCGGGAGGTCCGCCAAGCAGCGGCGTCGCGGCGGAGGCGAGCCGCCAGGGAGCACCGAGTCAGGGCCGGCGCGGGCTAGAGGGGACGCGGCAGGCAGCGGCCATCTTAGTCAGGGGCGGTGTGAGGGGCTGGGGCGCGCGGCCCGCTGGGAGCTGTAGTCCCGGTGGCCGCGCCCCGGGCCCCTCTCGGCACCCCACAGCCAGAGCGGCCCTGGGAGGCGCCGTGTCCTCCCCGCGCCGCACCGGCTGGGAGATGAGAACCGGCTGCGGCAGGGCGGTGCTTTCCCCCCGACCGCCCCCCGCTCGGTCGGGGCGCTGGCTGGAAAGGGGGGCACCGGAAGGCTCGGCCTCACGGCACCTTCTTACTCCCCGTCTCTGGCGTTTGCCCGTCTGTTCCGGGGGGGGTGTGGCTGGCACTGCCCGGCGGGCCGCAGGGCTGTCGCGGCTGCCCGGCTCTGGCAAGGCGTTTGGTCACGAGTCCCTGGGAGGGAAATGTTGTAAGACCTTGTAACAAATAGTTGAATCAAAGTGTCCTGCGCTTTGATAAATTAATTGCATAATTGTAGAGTTGTTCCCTTAGTATCTTGGCCCAGTGCCTCTGTGGGGGTGGATGGGAGTGTGTTTCGGTAACTTTTCCATTTGATTTCAGTTCTGCCCCACAGCAGAAGGGGAAACTTGTGAAATCTCAGGCTTTTTGAGACAGGATTTCCCAAAGTCCCCTATAGTGCTATGGGAAAAGGGGACATGACAAAGTGAAGACTAATCCTAGAGCTTCCTCAAGACTAAAAGATTCTCCAGCACGCCACTGCTCATTAACAGCACCTAGGTGAAGCTATAGCTACCCTAGCTGTTCTGCCCTGCCTCATGATACTGCTGTGCGCAGTGTGCCATGTTTTACGTGCACTGCAATGCTGTTTATTCTCTCCACCTTGCCAGTCTGTCCATCCAGGAAGGTCTATTTTGTCCCATCTAATCACTATGCAGGTTTGGAGAAGATAAGCTGAAAAGTCCTCCTTGTACTTCCTTAACCTGCAAAATGGACTAGCGAACCATGTCTATTCCACAACAGCTTTTGAGGCCAAAGCACTGCTTGTATGGATAATTTTAAAGGTTTCCTTTCTAATGGCTTTGGGGCTTGGTTTTGTTTTTTTCTAAGTGAATACATGGTCAAAATATCCTTCCATACCAGCATAGCTATGATTGGATGTAGCATCAGCTGGCATAAATCCCTGGGTAGAAACTCAACTTTGGCAGGTAGATTTGATCAAAAAAAAACAAAAGGGGATTGAGGTTTCTTTTGCTTTTAAACTTGCTGTTTGGCAGACAAGCCTTCCTGAACATAGGAAACTGCTTAGCAAGTAAGGCTGGAGAGAATCATAAGTTTGCTCAACATGCTTCAGCCTTTTTGTTACAAGCGTCAAGGTAGGTGAGCACAGTCAGAGCTGCTTGTATGAGCACACCCAAACCATTTGGCTTCCTCCTGCCCGCAGACCAGTGTGATGAGCTGCTGCAGGACAGGCAGAGCGCACAGGAGTCAGCCTGCAGAGGTTAGCATTAGTGTCTAAACAGTGCCAGTGTCTGCACGTCTCATATACACTGAACACACGTGTTCCTTTCCCACTCCTCCAGGACTGTTGGTCACGCTGCAACACATCAATCTAATGAGCAAAGCATGAAAATCCAGCAAGACGATTAAGAACAAATCAAAAAGAAGAAAAACCAAAAAAGAAACATGAGTAATCAAAGAGAAATGTGGCCCCAGCTCAAAGTAAAACACAAAGAGCAAGGCACTCCCAGGGGCAAATCCCAGAGCAGCCAGTTGGCTGCCAGCTTGGATTGCGGAGTCCTCCAGGGCTGGGGGTTTCAGCCATCATGGCCTCTGCGGATACCAACGTGGTCTGCAAACGCTCTGTGTTGCAATGCAGAGAATGCCTTTGTCTGGTAACTCAGCGATAGGAGAGCAGCGATTCCTGAGCACCACACATGGGGCCTAACAGCTGACTGGATGGTTTCAGTCGTAAGTCATGGGCATAAAATTGCCTCTCTTCTCCCTTCCTCCCTTGCCTGACTCTCCCCTTCCCCCGCCTCCCCTCAGACATTTAAAAGGCTCCTCATGTATTAGTTACAGAAATAAAAAAATGCAACTTTAGGAAATTCCTGTGCCTTGTCAGCACTGGAGATTTGCTCAATTTCTCCCCTAAGACCCGAGTCATCAGTGTAGCTGCCAGCATACAAATTCCCACTGTACTTAAGTAAAGCTGTTTGCCTGAGCTTGCATGGCATAATTTGCTGTGGTGCTGTTAGCCTTGGCTTCATGCAGGAAAAAACATCTCTGGAAGAGGCAGCTTTGAGGCGGCTCAGAGATACATGAGCCCTACAAGAGCCTGCACTGCTGCAGCTGCTCTGTGTAGGCAGCTCCAGGGGCAAAAGGAGCTGTAGATAAATCTCTTCCTAAAGGCAGCCAAGGTCTTACTCCACCACCAGCCTAAACCACCAGCTTGGCACATGAACATCGGACCAATAAAACAAATGGGCTCCAGTAAGTTGTGGTTGACAAGCAAGTTCCTGTGCATCAGCAAAGCTATTGTAGCTGTTCACACGAGCATGACTCGTTAGGCCAGCAGCGAGATGCTGTGACCCAGCTTCAACCTCAGTGAATGGGGGACAGGCTAGTGTGCTTCATCTTGCAGTCAGGGTGAGCCCAGAAAAAGCCTGGAAGGTGAAGACAACTAAAGGGCTAGGCAGGAATTTGTCACGCTGCCCTATCACCTGAGCCTTTTGGCCAAGAAAAGAAAATGCAGCATGGCAGACAGAGCTTGTCTAGATCCCAACAGTCCTTCTTCTCCCTGCTTCCCAGTCTACTCTGAGGCAAAATTAATTCAGAAGAATTCCCCCCTCAGTGCTTCTTTAATTACTGATGTTATTATTTGTATTGTGATAGCCTCCATGGGTCCTCACCACAGCTCGGCCACTCTTGTGCCAAGAGAATGCACACCACAAAGGTTTCAGAGACCATCAAGTACACAGTAGAAACAAGAAGCCTCAGCAGGCAACTGGGGCCCTGCCTTGGTAGGCACTACCCACACACATCGGCTAAGCAATAATGCAGCTCTCACATGGTTTATAGCTTTATTAAAATATGCTGGAAAGTAGCTGCTCTTGGAAGAAAGCAAGAGAGACTAGTTCCCTCCTCAAAGCAAGAGAGCTGCCTGCAGTGAAGAGGGCAGTAAGGCCCACAGGCAGCATCGTTAAGTGGATTCTTCCAGATACTGTGAAATAGTAATACCTTGAGGGAAGATTAGCTTTCTTTTTTGACAGTCATAACACAGGCTTTTCCCTAAACACGTTCATGAAAAGAGAAGCAGGGCAGCTCTTTATTTGCTGACATTGTCTTACTGTGTCCTTGTCTCTTGCTTTTTATTTAGATTGCAAGTTCTTTACAGCAGAGACCAGCTTCCATCCTCTTTGCATGGTGTCACACATAAGGGGATATTGTCCATGACTAACTCGGGAAGGTAACACAAATAACATTTCATGATTAGGGGCATACAGAGGTTAGCACTACTACAAACTGCAAACAAGGCTGCAGTTAAAGCTCTGATGAGGTCAGAGGAGCTCTAGTGTATGTCACTATGATGGTTTGAGATGCAACGGCAGAGCTCAAGAGCAATCCTCCTTGAACAGTAAGTGGTCACACTGATGGTGACAAAAGACTGACCCCCCTGAGTCAAAGCTCCCAGATGCTACTGACCCAAATTTCAGAAGAATACTTGTCTCAAACTCAGTACATCTTTAAAGAAGTGCTGGTAGAATTGGGATGAATGCCTGTCCATCTCAAGCTAGCAGAGAAATCAGTTCAGCCAAATGTGATGACGAAGAAGATACATTTGCTCAATCCAGAACTATCCTTGAAAAAGGTAAAACCAGGACTGAGCAAAGGCAAGTGCAGGAACTAAAATGACTTCTTACTCCTGAAGTGGAAAAGTGCTCCGGCACCCTCACACACTGCAGAAGGGAGTACACTGAAACCAGGGCAGTATTAACATGAGAGCACAGCAGCCAGAGGCTGAGACAAAGGGCACCAAGGAAGAAACCAGACAGGGAGAGGTGACTGTGCAGGTGGAGACAGCCAGAGAAGCAGCACTGCTCCAACCAGCCACTGAGTCCAGCGGACAGGGAATCTCTTTTTGCTTTATTGTCACTCTAGAGTAGAACCATGGAATCTGGTTTATTTGTAAATTATCAAGTCACCCCACAGTTTTAGTAAGACACAACAAAAATCAGTGGGGAGGTGAAGAGTCATGCATCATGGAAATCAAGGAGTAAAAACTGTTTGTTGCTAAGAGAAGCCAAAAGCTTTTTAGGAGTCCTCAGGACCAACAGGAGAGAACACATACCCCAGAAGATGGTTCATTTGCCTGCTCTACCTTAAAACAGCACCACTTTTCAAATCCCTGGCAATATTAACTAGGCCATAATCTCTCCCCCTCAGGCCCCACAAAACCCAGTAAAGCCTTTGTTGCCAAAATGGTGCACTACGCACAGATGTGTTCAGCTATTAATGGGTTTTGCAACTATTTTCTGTCTAGCAAGATGAACGATGAACAGAACAAGCATGCCCTTGGGTTTGGCCAGAATGCTGTTGAAAAGAGGAAAAAACCTTTCCAGAAAGACAGAAAGAAGGTGGTGATCAGGTGCTGGGGAGAATCGTAAAGCAGTGACCTTCCCGTGCAAGCCTGCACATTTCCCGTACTGATGTGAATCACGTGTCTGAACTGCTTCACTCAGCCGTGTAGTGCAAGCACTGACGTTCTATCTTGACAGTCTGTGGATACAAGCTGGATGCAGAAGTCATGGCAAAGGGTGATATCTCTAATCTACTACTCTAACTGGAAAAAAAATCCCAACAGACTCACTGTTGGGCGAGGTGAAGTTTGTATGTCTCCTCCTATGCCCTTTTTTCAGTTTTATCAGTTTTTCTGAAAACTCATTAACTTCCCATGGCCACAGTTACGCCTGTTGCTTAATTGCTACTCGTGATGAAACCAGGCCATGGAGACCACAGCAGATTTGTTACCTCTCTAGGTTAAAACTTTACTACCGTGGTTTTGAGGACTGAACAGAACTAAGTAACACTGGTGGTAACTCCTCCAGGACACCATTTAAGCAGCCTTGGCTGCTGTAGACCTCTACTGTAATAACATCCACTAAACTGAGCTGACTTCCTACAATATTGCTGTCTTGCAGGAACAAAGAGAAACAAATCTAACGAATTAGGAAAAAAAATATGCTACGTTAAAAAATATACCCAGAGGTTCGGGACTGCCCTTGAGTGAACCTCATAACTCATGCGCTTTTCCAGTCCCGCTCTCCTTTTCCCTATGGAGGCTGGCAGGAAAGGCTGCCTCCACAGGGGAAACAACCAAACTGTCTGTTGATTCTCCAGTGCCTCATTTCCCATGCAGCTTTTGCACTGCTGGAAAGGACCAGTGGAAACTCCTATTAAATGTAGCTTCTATGGCTTCGTATTTGCCTTGTACAAGTACCAGTGCCCGCAGAAAGCGTGAGGTGAAGCAGAGGGAAAGCACTGCTCAATGAACAAATGCAAACAAAATGCAGAAATCAAGAATGGACTTTGCCCACAACTGCTCCCTTCCCCAAATCATTACAAGTGAAATTAATTTAGAGCAAAGGACAACCACAAAACATGCATCAGCAACGCAGTTTTTAACTTTGTGGTGTCCCTAAGAAAAATGATGAGCCACTTTCATCACAGGGCTTCTGTGGGCCTCTGTTTCTGCACTTGCACAGAAATCCTTGCAGCTGGACTTCACCTGGAGGCTCTGGCCAGCTGCTGGAGAGAAACTGTAGGATTGAGAGCAGTTACAATTGCAGTATTATTTGTACCATCTCCTTCAATTCAGAACACGTCATTATTAGAGTCTATTTCGTGGGCCCTCTTCCATGTTAGTCCCTTAAGACAGGCTTCACTGCAATTACATTTTTTCCTATTTGGCTTTCATTTAGGAAAACTGAAAATCACTAAGAGGAGAATTACTGCCAACACTGACCTTTATTTTCACCCAAAGACACAAATCAACTAGGTGCGACACACACTTTCATTCCCTTTTTCCGCCTTTTCTTTCTTCTACCAAATAAATATTTTAAGGTAATGAACATCAGCTCAGCACTGAGCCTGTAAAGAAACACACATGGGAGATGAATTAGTCACAATGGTAATAGTTTGACATTATAGCAGTAGAAACATATATTCAAAGGTTTCATTTTACAGTATATGAAGTGCAACAAGTCATTTAACAGCCAAAAATGTTAGAAACCACCATTCAACACTGAAGACCATCACCAGCAGCGTTTCAAAGCAATGCCAAGCCCACAGGGAGCAATTTAACATTGTTCTATAGGGGACTTTCTAGCGTAAAAAGAAAAATAAGGCAGTGCACGAAGTGGCTTAGTATTTGAAATTCTTAAAAATAGTAGTTGACAGTATTGTTATGAAAACAAATGGAAGATGGAAGGGGCTGGGAAGAGGAGGCTGGGAGAGGGGAAACAACCCACAAAGCCAGCTGGTCTCTTGTGAAAATATCTACTGATTTGCAGCATTTTGGAATCGCTGGTAACACTGTAAACAAAAAAGGTAACTATTTAAAAAAAAGGTGACTGCGTGCATAATCCAGGGCTTTTCATAACTCCCTCATTAGCTGACGGATTCTTGAATAAGCATTCTTTCTTTCCCCCCCTCCCTTTTTTTCACCCAGAGTAAAACTATTTGGCCAAACACCAAGCTGTACGGGCTACTAGTGCTCATCTCCAGGCCTGTGCACGGGTCACTACTTCAGCTAGGGACGTAATTTTTCAGGACTGACATAAGCTACAGCACAGGAACGAATCTATCGCCTCAGTTTTCTCAAGCAGGGATAGGTCTGTAGGCACAACGCCGGGTCCTGCAGGGGAGACCAGGTCTTGAGCCCCTCCGGTTGCAGCCCAACAGCTGAAGGAGACGGGTGCGGTGAGTCACGCCGATGCAAGACGGCGGCACTGCCTCCGGCGGGGAGCTCCTGGGAGTGTCGGCGAGTCAGGCTCGCTGGAGAGATGCAGAGCTCAACAGAGTGCTCCTCTCAGACCCTTCTTTTCTGAGGAAAAGGCACATGTTAAAAGCAGCCACAAAGCATGATGTTTGACTGACGGGGAGTTCGGCAGGGAGGTGGCTCCTACTCACCCCTACTCCTCCCCCCACCAAACATGTTAAATGTGATAATAAAGAGCATCTGCCTTAATGAGAAAAATCACGTGAATGTCACTGGCCTGCTGACGCAGCAGAACGGTTCAGCAACAAGCAGCTGTACTGACTCGCACATGAAGCTGACCTCACACTGGCTGTTCAGCCAAGCCAGTTCTCCAAATTTAATGCATCTGAGGAATTGGTGAAATTCAGTTTTGTTTAACAGGAAAAAAAGACATTTGAGAAGATCTGGTTTGTGACATTTTCATACAGACACGGCTCCTAGTTTCCACATCACCTCTTAAAACCACACGCACTCAGTAAGGAGACATTTATTCCATTATTTCTGTTTTCAAATTTTTGGTACAAAGTTTATTTTCAGAAGTTCCCACATGATCCTTTCTTCTACCAGCGTCTTTTAGGATTTTTCTATCTCTGATTTATTTTCTTTATCTGTTGAAGCAAAAGCAATAATTGCTACAGAAAGCAATAATGGCAATATTACAAATATTTTACAGCAGCATCCATTTGTCTCTTTGCCTCAAAAAAATAACAAAAATAAATCCAAAGACAAGATTTGTACTGCCACAAAGGCTTAGGTTTGTAATATCCAGAAGTATGCTGCGTTCCCATATATGAGTTGTACAAGTCCAGCACAACTTTCCAAGTTTGTGCAGAGCCTGATAAATAAGACACAGAAATATCAGTTATGTTATACTGTTTCTAAGAACTTTTACTCTGTAAAATGTTTGGTCACTCAAAGCTATAAGCTTAATCACATATCAAAGAACACAGGCAATAAAGCCCATCTTACTAGAACATATAGTATTAGGCCAAACAAAATATAAGAGGACAAAATCTAGTGGTCACTGAAGCCTCTTCAAAAAAGGTCTAAACCAGAATGTTTCCATCATGTATCAGAATAAAAATGTACTGTATTAAAATTTGAATTTTTTTTTTTTTTTTTTACAAGCTGTCTTTTAATCAGTCTTCTATTTACAGTGCAGAACTTCTGCCAACTGCAGTAGTTTAACTTTGGCACAACACTAAGTTCCAATCCTTTTGAGTATTCAAGTCCTGTGTGTGTCCAAAAATTTTCTTGGTTTCACGAAAGATTAGGCCCATTCACAGTTAACCAGTTATCTTGAACTTTTTCAAGAATTGCTTCTCCTTCACCACACTGGGCAGCTACAAAGGAAAGACACTGTAAGCTATTGCATCATTCAAAAGAAACTCTTCATTCTAAACAGTGACAGTATTGTTGCTTCCTTTAACATCACATACACCAGACAGATCACACAGACGGCTACATACTGGACACCTTCTAAAAACCTTGCTGGTCGTTAGTGAATCGTCTTCCTCATACTTCAAATACATAACAATGCATTAACTTAATTTCATTTCACATGTCAAACAGGACATTTAAATATATTGCAATATATTAGAAAACTGCAAAGCGCCATCATTTCTGTAAACGAGATAGACACCTGTTAACTCTCCTGTGCACATGAAGAGCAGTACCTAGTGCCACATTTTCTATACAATATAAAGCCTTCCCAGGTAGGGCAACTCATTTTAGTGCATTTCTGTACAGACTGTAAGCATACATGCAGATAGGCAGCTACGCAAAATTGGAAACACTTCTGTAAGCTGGAACTGGAGGTGAGGGAACATTTTGAAATCATAACGGAGCTCTTGCAGTTGATCATTTCGTATCACAGATGAAGATCTGAATCTTCTGCCATTCTAGCAGATTCTTTAGGGAAAGTTTCATAGGTATCTAGTATTGAATAAGCATAAGGAAATACTTTCATCAACTGGGACACAAACATTTTGCATCTTAACATGTTCTAAGTTATGCGTGGTCCAATGTTCACATAGTAACCTTATCTCTAAAATACTTGAGAAATGCCAAATAATTTTTATGCCACAGTATAATAACCAAGGATCAGTTACTTTATCCACTGCTGTAGTGCTACCTGCTCTAGAATAAGAGGAAAAAAAAGCAAAAAAACAACAAAAAAAAGGCCTCACTTCCCAACAAGCGTCAAGTCGGAAGCAGAGGTACGTACCATTGCTAACCACAACACAAAGACCAGTGCTGCCATCCAGCCAGCGTGCTCCCAGGTGAAGATCCATCTCGCCTAATTTCAGATGTGTATAGTGTCCACGTCTGCCTGCAAGCCATGTGTAACAGTCCATGGAGCTTAGGGTGCAGTTTGTCTGACCAACTGCAGGCATGTAGGAGGAGCAGGCTTGCATTCGTTAGGTATACTGACTAGCTGCAGTGTCTTGCCCAAATGCAGACATCAACATTCAATCAGACAAATCCCACCTTAATTCATTAAAAGTGCTATGGGATCCTCAGTTACCTCTCTACATTTCACAGTGCCGTCCGTCTAAGTTGGTTTTGCAATGACTGTCCACTGAAAAAGTGCAGATGCTCTTCACCACAGAAGAGAAAAACTTCCAGGAGCTCTAACCATTAAACTTGAAAATACTGGCTGTAACCTGACCATGCTTCAAAATCTCCTTTTTTAACAGTGGGAAAACGGTACAAAAATTTGAGCTATTGAGTGTGTATAAGTAGCTATTGAGGGGATTTTTCACATTGTTACAACTTCCATTTTGAAATATTTTCCTACAGAATTTTAATACATCACCACCAAACCTCAAGTAACTTGACCCGATATGTGTGTGTCATGCTACTTGCTAAATCTAAATTACAAGCTTGATGGAGAATATAGGTGTAACCCAGCACTGCTCAGCACAAGGAACCGAGCCCTCTACTTGCCCTTCCCACTTCTAGTTCACACGAGCATCCCAGGCATTATGACCAACTTTCAACAGTTTCACTGCTCTCTGATCATTGATACTATCTTTTCATTACTAATGAATGTAGGCAAAATTATTTTCCAAGAAAAATAAATTAAATCAAAGAAAGTAGTTGTATTTCATTGTACTCTATTTTTGTGCATTCAGGTTAGGGCAGGGATATTTCATATTACAGAAGCTTAAAGATTATCTTCTCTCCTTGGGAGATATGAATATAGACAGATACAGGATTCGGGTGGAGGACGCAAATTGATACTGTCGTATTTACAGAAGCAAATACTGATATCCAGCCTGAATACACAGTACTCCGTTAAGTGCAAAAGGGAAAATGCTCCCCACCTTAAATTACAGCTTGGTTACTCAGCAGCCAGAGACTAGTTGTCAGAGTTACTGCTGTGCTCTCATTTCAGAGGAAAACGGAGGAGGAAGAGAGTGTCTGCATCTTTGGGCTTTCTGGCCTACGGGGACTGCATGAAGCCATGAATCACTTTGTATGGGCTCCAGAAATGCTTTCTCTGCTCTGTAGAGAAGGGAGCGCATTTGCCTGCCTCAAGAATTCCTTGGCGAGCAGGAATAAAGTAGGCTTTTGCCCAAAGTCAGCAAATCATGCATTAGAAAAATTATTTCATGTCATGGGAGGACACTGCAAGAGTTTCCCTCCCAATAATCAAAGTTACAGCCAGATACTATATTGCATATAACGTCATGAAAAAAAATTTTAAATTGTACTGGACAAGGTTAAAAAAGGGAATGGTGTCATTTACTATACTGTATTAGAGATAATCCACTAAATTCTAACCATGAGGTACTAGATATCTTTCTTCTTTGCTTTCAAAACAAAGCAGAGATTTCAACTTGCTAAAAATGATTGCAATACTTTACTTGTTCTGTCAGAACAGCAAGAGTAAAACTTGTTTTGCTTATCAACTTTTAGGTAACTGAATTCTGCAGGGCAAGACAAAGTCAAGAGCCTTCAAGCTTCTGAATTTTACCTTCTTTCCACTTCTTACAAGCCAGGACTCTTGTTACTACATCCAAACCCTCCAGGGAGGATTAGGTCTGACGTTCTTTTTACAACAAACACTAACCCTGGGGTCATTGAGAAGTTGATACTGGGGAGGCAGAACTATTTAAGATGGAACTGTGCTCTTTCATTGTACTCAGAAGAGCAAAACATACCATGAAGCAGCACGATACAGTGACGGTGTATGCTTCAGCCGGTTGTGACATTGCTTGCTTTCTTTTAGCCCGTCTCTCTCTCTCCATTCTGGCACAGGATTACCTCTATTCTCTCTTTAGCTGAACTCTAGCGACTGCAGAAGTCCAGAGACATCATCAGATCAGCTGCTCCTGGCAGAAACAGCAGATGGAGAGGAAAGCTCTACCTTAGCTCTAAAGAAACGGGTGCCCACAGCTGAGTTCTGTAACAGTGCTCACAGCAAAGACTGAGAAGAAACCAGCTACCTAGATATAAGGTCTGAGCAAGATCAAAGAGATTCTTCATCTCACTGTCAGTAACAATCACTGAAGCCTGGCTCAAGCCTAGGAGGTGAAGCTACACAAAAATACAGAAAACATACCACAGGCTCATCTACACACAGTTCTTCACTGAGCAGGGAAACCAACAAAATCCCACATGGACTCCAACCCAGGGTAGACATACTTTCTTATCCCTTCCCTCCCCACTGTCAACAGAGCTCAGTCCAACCGGCTTCCAAAACACCCTGTGGGTGGGCATAAATTAGAAGAGGGAGCTAGGCTGCAGGGTGCACTGCTAATGAGCACAGCAATGCTCAGGTTCATCATAAATTAAGACACTTGCTGATGTGCTTAATTTCAGGAGGCTTCCTGTATGTAACTGGCAGAATGAGAAGGTGCCGTATCCTCTCCACCTACCAGGCGATTTGTGTTCCTCTCAGGTGACTGTACAGAGTGCCTTGGGCACCTAGATAAGCAGCACAGCAGCCTAAGCTTGGCCGAGGTGAACCTGGGCTAAACCACTGTTACCAGTAGCTTTGAGTTCCCACCAGCCACAACCACAATTCACAGATAAACAGACCAGCATGCTGACAGCTTTTTCCAATGCTTCTCCTGTCAGTCCTGATGCGGGAGACCTCCAGAAGGAGTTTCCCTCTCTCCCAGTATGCACTGCAAATATACACATGCTGTAAACATGAAATAAACTGCTAATTAGTGGAATCTGTTCAAACAGAAATAGCGGACAGATTACGAGCAATAATGAATGCATACGACCGATTTCTTTAGGCTGAACCCACCCAGATTTTTCTCATCCTTGGCACAACTGAAAGGCTTACAACGTGCATGTAGCCCAAAGGAAATGTGGATACTCTGCATCTCTCATTAGCCGATCTACATCACATAGTTTAATTTAAATTTTATATTCTGCAAGAAGATGATACCGTTATAACCACTGGAATACACGGAACTATAAGATTTACAGCAGCTGAAACTCTGGCCCTGTATACATCAGCCACCATCTCTGACCATTTTACTGAAACAAGACATCCAATCCAACTATATTTAGTTTGATAAACAATGTATTTCCTCTTCCTGTGTTTTTCAGACCAGATGTGCTAAGGCCTACCATTGTAGCTGAGTGTTATTTAACAGAACACTGCCAAAATGGAAAATTTCCCAGTTTAATCATATAATTAACTTGGATCTTTATTTCTTCCCATCTTTTAAAGAAGGTCAGATTTAAGGCTAACCTAAATGCAGTCTCTGCTAACAAGAAATGGAGATGTTTATTTGGACAGGTTTCTTGGGTGGGTTTTGTTTTGGTTGTGTTTTTGTTTTGTTGTTTTTTTGTTTTTTTTTTTTTTTTCTGAAAGAAAATTAATTCTGGGTTAACATTAAGGATTAAGGCAACTCCAGATTTTGGTTGCTAGAAGCATATTCCCAAGGTTTTTAAGGATTTGCTTTAGTATTTTTGGAAACTTAAAAATAGCATCTCTTTCCCTACTAGCTTTGTCTTTTCCCACTCAGCAACCATTGATTTTTGACCCCGTACTCCCAGCACAGCTTGAAGCTAACATGAGTCTTTCTTCTGTCTGCCGGCATCTACAACAGCCTCATCCACACCATTACCGGCCAAACAAGAATACTTCCCAACCACACGTAGCAATCAATGCTGGAAAGGCCAGATCCTGATCCCTCTTACAGCACCTCATATCCAGAGTCATAAGCAGTCCCATGAAATACGTTGACAACAGAGCTTTGCTTCTCCCCCACTCCGAAGTTAAACCAAGGGATTCTTGGCTAGTCCTCCCTAGCACTGCTGGCCATTTCGTTCCTCACCAGTCTGAGTCTTCAAAGTCAGGAAAGAGTTTCATCATCGAATTCATCTAACACATCAAAAGCCATTGCCTTTTTCTCTCCAGCAATCTCAAATAGCCAGAAGAGCTCACCCTGGTGAACAGCTTTCACACAGAACATCCCCCTGCAACTCAGGAAGCCTGTTCAGTCTGGGAGCAGAAGGGCAGCTACAGGTGTCCAGCGAGGGAGGTGAGTTAACAGTATTTTTTTTTGACAGATGTTATTCCCTTTCTTGCTTTGACCTGGATTTCACCCACAATCAGGTATGAAAAACAAATCTCACATGGGCCTCAGAAAATTGTGACTAAAAGGACCTTCTTGGTCTTTTGACAGTTATCACAGTGAGGAAGGAAGAGTAATTCCAGATTAGATTCTTGGAAATGTGAAAACATTAGGACATACTTTCTCTACACTAATTGGTCATTGGCCATCAGATGCAGAAGCCTACAGAGGAGATGCTGACAGATGTGCAAATGGAGATTGCTAGTATCCTTTCTGTTAGTGCCAACGTAAAAGCAGACAATGCTGTTGACAGCAGCACCGATTCATCATCATCTTGTGACATCTAAATATAAAGTAACTTATCCCTAAAAAATGCAGACTGATTGTAGCAAGAACACAAACTAGTCTTCCTCAAAGTACCAGTTCTCTACAATGCCAGATATTTGCCTAAATTAACTTCTGTCAATTTGGCCCATTGTTTTTAAGTTGCTAATTCAGACTCAGTAGAGTTCTATGTCTTGAGACTAACTGGCTTTTTTTTTTTTTCCCCCCCTCCTGCTGTTTTAAAGACACTTATCCAAGATGTAGCTGGTTTTTATCAGATTAAACTACTTCTGGAGCTCAGTTCAGGTAGATCAAACCCCCTCTAAAAATAGGTCCATTCACCCAGCAGCCCTAAGACAATCAGCATAGTGGCGAGCTCGATTGAGCTCATCATTAGGATGAATTTAGGTTAACCTTGCGCACAAATCATTCAGCTGGTCTGTCACTGAAGACCAATTAAACACTAGCGTGTTTATCATTCTTAAGCATCTAAAAGCCATATAACTTCAGTTTTTTTAAGAATTAAACATCACGTCATTGCCACAACTTAAAATTTTTCTTACTAGCACCTGAAGACACTTTTCGTCTCTGTATCTGTGTATTCTTACAAAACCCTAAGCAACTCTGAACAGCTTTTAGGCAATTTCCACCTCACGTTTACCTTAAAATTCAGTGTAAGATTTCAAAAAATTATTATTTTTAGCTAGAAATATACATACTTTTCTCACCATTTCCAACAAAGGAAAGAATGCTCAAGCTAAAAGCGAATGTAACTATCAACTGCATCAAGTCTGTCAGGCATTTAAATTAAATTGATGTAGGATACACTGATTAAATGTAACGAAAAGCATCTTCTAGCATTAGACTCATTCAGTTAGCTCATAATTATCAACAAGGAACATTTCAGCACAAGTTCTGTAAACCCAAAACACTCTGAAGATACACAAAAGGTGCCAATATCACCTAATTTTCTTAAACCAAGTAATCCTCACCCCTAGGTTTATTGATTCCTTTGTCAACACTTTTCCCCTTCTCTTTTGTTTTGAACTCTTTCCTTAAGAAATAAACCCAGGCCTTGAAACCTTTCAGGTGAAGCGATGTTTGCAAAAAGACATCTTAGGTTTTTGTATTTTCCTCCTTCATGAGCAGGCAATGTTCTCCTACATCAACGAAAAATGTGTCTGTGTTTTTTTGGAATTAAACAACATAAGGCAATTAAATATTGAGAAGCAGTCATGTGAATGATGAACATGAACCTTCCGATCTGTAACGTGGAAGAGGAAGAGCTGAACTGGATCTGATTTATAACCCCATGTCCTAGGCTAGGCCTGAGGATGTCCATCTCTTGTAGCAAGGAAGCAAATAGTTGTTGCCGGCACAGGTAGCATCTTGCCCATGTTCTTTTAGGTAGAAGGAAGATGCTAAGCAGGTGCTTGCTAAACTGAAGGCCATGAAAAATCATTTGGCTCTTCACCATAACATCAAACCTAATTCATAGGTTTTTGGCCCCCAAATCCCAAATTGCACGTCAATCTGATTTTGAAAGTTTACGCTTAACATGTCGGGGGGGTTCCCAAGTATCACTATCATCCGTTTCTTCCTCATCTTCCTGATCTTCCAGCATTTCATCTTCCTCCTCGTTCTCATCAAACAGCTCTATTCCAAGTTCTAATCTTCTCTGCCTTTCTGCAAACCACTCTCTGACCTGCTCATATCCCATGTGAGATTTGGCTACCAGTTCATCGAGGTCTTGCTCATTAAGGAATTTGTGCTTCATATAGTAGTCCTTTAGGATTGCCGTTCCAGTTTTGAATTTTATGACAGACACACCTCTGTCCCAGCAATTTAACCTCTTGCTTCCCCGAGGCCTCCCCCGAGGCCTCCCTCTCCCCCTCCCCTTTGGTCTTCCTCTCCCTCTCTTTCTTGCAAAGCCTTGACCATTCAGACTGTTTGCACTGGCACTCTGGTAATAATAATACCATTTCAATCCACCATTTTTCCAGGCATAGCGAGTATCGCCAAACCAGCTCACAATTTCTGATCTTGGGAGCCCAGTTTCTTCTGCCAGCTTGTTGTATTCTTGTGGAGATGGCCACTGAGTACGGACAAAGGAACTTTTAAGCATGTGCAACTGCTCTGGTGACTTTTTGCCTATTTTGCTTGAAGTGGAACACACTGATTTGGCTCCTGCTGCTCCATTTCCCACAGATGTTTCCCCAGCCTCTTCTTTTGAGCTGCCAGCATTGCTCTCATTCAAGTCAGCTCCCTCTTCCTTCAAGACATTTGATTTCCTTCTTTCTGTAAACCAGGCATCGATCTCCCTCCTGGTCAGTTTGGTTTGGGCTCTTAATCTATTCATCTCTTCATCGGTAAGGACAGGGTTATTAAGAAAACTTGCTTGGAGAACTTGCAGCTGTTCAGCAGTCTTTTCTTTGAATTTCTGTGGGGTGAAATCAGGAAAAGCGCTCCATGATGATGACTTACTCTGTGGAGTCACTCCCGTTGGGGACTCATTCATTTCATCACTCGAATCAATAACAATGGTGGCACATGAATCACTGTTGAGATGAATCCCATGATTATTCTTTGAGTTTCTCTGATTGTAGCGAGTATCGCTGAACCACTTTTTGATCTCTCCTTTAGTCAGGCCCGTTATTTTCATAAGTCTAACAATTTCTGAATCTTGAGGAAACTGATTTTTAAGGTAGCTGACTTTCAATTCTGCCAGCTGTTCCTTAGTTTTTTTTGCTCGGATGCCAAAGGAGTCCGGATTCATCAATGCGGATTCATTTTTGATAGGCTGAGGGGCGGGAACAGCAGCTACTTGTTTGGTTTCTGCAAGAGGCTGAGCAGTATGAATCTGACTCTTCTGTAACTGTGTTTGGTTTGGGACTCCCGCTACCGTCAAAGCTATTGGGGCTGTTACTGGTAACGTATTTGCACCTGCAACTTGAGTGAGAACAAGTCCTGGCTGACCAACTATTTGGCATGTCTGTAAAATTGAAGGTAAACCATTGCTAGCGGCAGATATGTGTGCTGGAATAACAGTAATTGTCTGTGGCACAGTATGCACTGTGCCATTAAATTGTTTCCTCCTTGCTTCCTCCACTTCCTCCGGCGTCCAGCTCACACCGTGTTTCAGACGCTGTGCAGAAAACCATATTTTAATCTGTTCCTCTGTGTACTTAGCTTGAGTGGAAAGAACAGTGATTTCCGACATGGTTGGATATGGGAATTTGTTGTAGGTGTTAAGCAAAAGAGGATTGTTATCCAAAGCGGTATTATAGGCTGGAATGCTATTTACAGGTATTAGGACTTTTGGAATCAGGTTTGAGTTCTGTGGAGCTGTAACAGCTGTTATAACCTGTGCCATCCCAGGCTGAAGCACTGGTGCTGGAGTCACTACCGCACTAGCCACATCTGCTGCACTGCAAACAACTGAATGGCTTGCTTTTGACTCAGAAACTGCTGGTGGTGGGTTTTCTACTACTTCTTCAGAGTTTGGCTCATTTTCAGTTCCCTTTTCTTCACCAGGAATGTCATCAACTACATTGTGGAAAACAGCGATACGTTTAGCCTCAGTTTTGTTTTTCATCATTTTCATAATAGGAGTTTTACTAATTGAGATCCCTGATGAGGGGACCTCAGAAGAGTCGGCCTGTTCAGTGTTTTCTTCTCTAACAAAACTCCCATCAAAAGTGAGATCGTTTACTGTTTGTTCAAAGATTGTCTGATTATTACGTTTCACCATGGTCAATTTAAAATTCTCTTCTCCAGGGTGGTACTTCAAATTATGTTCTGAGAGAGCATCATATCTTTTGGTAAGAAAATTACATTCTACACAAACGTAGGATGAATTTAATACTACGTTAGGATGTTCTGAATCCACATGAAAAGTAAACATATTGAGATCTGGAGTTTGAAAAGTACAGTATTTACACTCATAACCACCTTCTACTTTATTTGTATTTTTCTGATTGTCTGAATCCACATACTCATGAACATCCTCATCACTTGTTACGCTCTCTGCTGTAGGGTTATCTGCTGGCGTGAGTATAGGTGGTCCTTCCTCCAAGTCTGATACCATTTCTAGATCCGGATCCTGCTCATTGGCTAAGACCATGCACGGTGTTGTTGATTTTCGTTTACTTGCCATGCCTGTTATGTGAAAATGATACTGACTGGTCAGATAGAGACTTAGCTTCAAGCTCTTCTTGACTAATAATAATGGCTTCCAGTACTTCAAGTCAGTTCTTGTAAAGTCTCAACATTTATCCCATTAGCAGCTTTGCTTTTGTAGTGCAATCAGATTAAAAATAGATAGTTGAGGATGAAATGTTGAGACACAATGTTTTAAAGTCCACATCCACCACCTGTAGCAAAGAAGAGACAGTGAAATTAGTTCAATTTAAAGAGTAATTTCTATTCTGCTATGTATTTTGGCTTAAGGTAATTCAGTCCTTTGGGGTTCAGTATGCCACTGTTCATCTGAAACCAGCAGACCCATTCCAAATAGTTACTCAAAGCTAGTTAAGAAAGGCAAAATCCAATCCACTTATTACAGGCTGAAATTTGTTTCAGTTTGTGACAACGCATTGAAAGGCTTAAAACACAGGATGGTGTAACACAGGTAACTTTCTGATTGCTTCCCTTTCTTCAGAAGCCTTTTTCTTGGCACAACGCTGAGGTCAGTTGTCCTACATAATTTTTGCAGTCTTGCCTTTGGCCTGCTTTGCCTAAACTGTGACAACTATTCTTGACTGCCCTGTGAACTCAAGTCCTTCCTATCACAAACTCAATCCCAGTGTGACATCTCTACTACTGACTTTGTCATGTCTTTCATGTCAGAGGTTGTGAAGGGTTCCAGAAAAGGCTGGCTTAGAGTGTTTTTCTATCATATTACATACATGAGCATGAGCATGTACAGGGCCTTTCTCCCAAGTCTGAAAACAGGCAAAACAATGCCTTTTTAAGGCACTTTGACAGACAAAAGATGACTATCCTTTCTTCCTAGCTCTCCAAATGTCATTCTCCAATTGAAGACCAATCCCAAACCAATAAAAGTTGATTGCTAGCACATGGCAATTAACTGAAATCTGTTTTCATGCCTCTATGCATTAACAGGGACATGATTGATTGTGTGAACTGTACCAGAGAAAAAAAGCATTAAAGACTGATATGGCAAGCAGAAGCCAAACAAAATTATGTGTTTTCTGTTTAGAATTCCTTGTCCATTTCTAAGAAAAACTAAAGTGCCACTGAATAAATTTGAGGCCTACAGAAATTCAGAGAATAAATGTAATCTTAAATAGCATAGACTTGAGAGAATTTTATCCCACAGGGACAACTAGTCTTCTGGAAATGATGCACAAACTTCTGCAGAGGGTTATAAATTCTGTAAGAGTTTTCTTCTTGAAATAAAATCAGACACTGATTTCTCATACCAGAAATCCCATAGGTACATGAATTTTTAGACACTGGAACATCAACTACTTTCCAAAGCGGGGGCATGCTCAAGTGGAATACTCAGTAGCTGTTTCAGAAGGTTTAGAAAGGGAACAGCATGTAACAGGTTAAAACCAGAAGGCAATCTTTGATCACGACAAAGTCTTAAAGGAAAAAGAACAGTGTAAAAGGAAGAAATGCAGTTACAAGAAATGGGAAGGGGAAAAGAAACACTATTTTTCACTGTACAATAAGATGATTCTTTCTTTTTTATTATGGGAGGGCAAAGGCTGTGGATAAGAAAGAAGATAGATAATTCTTAGCTTCACGTTTTTTTCTTTAGGCAAAAGACAAAACTGTTAATCGACAGCTGCCACCCAGAGCTGCTCCATGATCTTTTTGAAACTGTAAGCCTCACTTTTTCATAAAAATTCTCCCCAAATGTTTTTAACAGTCACCCTCTGCACTACTTCTGTGCTTACATTCAAAGTACACTGGCTGACATGATAAGCTTTTTATGCCAAGAATACGGTTACACGGCATTAAGGATACTGACAGTGCTCAATAAATCGTGGGTAATCATCATTCCAGGATGGATGACAATTATTTAATAGTACTGAAGTGGAAAGATACCCTTCTTCCACAAGTTAATGCTGGCAGTCTCTAAAGCTGCACAGAAATGTAAAAGGTATTTATTTTAATGTATATACAATGTATGTATTACATGCCATCTCATTTATCTTTGCAGTGAGAGAACCATGAAGCAAAGCTAAATGGATCCATTTGTCTTGGTGTCCTGAGGGACAAGAGGTAGAGCATTACTAACTGTCCTGCTTTGCTGTGGGGCTAGAGGGCCCTTGACAAAAGAAAGACAACTGCCAAGACTCAATGTTGAGCAATGCTCTTGGGGAAGAGCTGGGTGGTATTACCTAATCTTTCTGCGATCTTAAGTAAAATTTCAAAAATGCCAGAAATGCCCATTTTCAAAGTTACTTAACAGCTAGTTTTGCTGACTAAAGTTGCAGTTTGAAAAGTGACTGTGGTACTCTGCAGTGCTGCATCCCTAGCACAGCACGTAGGATCAATATTCAGAGCAGCCTGAGTGAATGTAAGGGCTTGCTGAGGGTCCTGTTCTGGGATGGCACAGAGCACAAGTGAAAGCAACATTTGACCTGACCTGCAGGTTGAAGCATGCTTGAGATAAGGATGGAGATAATAAATAAAATGGGAAACCTGTCCAACAAATCAGTAAGTGTTTTTCTCCAGTCCCCTCGTTTACCCAATAGCATCTGCAGTGCCTATAAACCTACAGGTCCACATGCAATTGCATCAGCTGCAGCCTTTCAGCTAAATCTCTGTATCGCATCTCTGTTTGCTTTGGTTCAGTTTTGCTCATGGTGCACAGTCAGATCATCCTATCCCTCCACTGTTTTTCACTGGAGAAATATGTTTCTTCGATGCAAGCATGTTTCAGAAAAAGAAAGGTGCACCTATGCTCTTCTGACTATGCTATGTAAGATTTTTTTTTTTTTAAAAAAAGGGTGTTGTCATTTCAAAATCCTGTTTAATTCAGAACTACGAAGAGCTATGTCAGCATTCACTAAAGCCTCAACAAAGTGAGATGCTTGCAACCCTTCCCAGTCTTCTTTCCTCCATAGACTTTACTGAAACCTCCATTCCCTTCTCCTTGGCGCTAATGGGATTATTCCATTTTAGCACCCTGCCTGACATGTTCTCTCAGTTTACCAGGGGATTATGAAAACTCACACTTGATTAGTTTATCAAAACAATTATGCATCACCCTTGTACTTTAGCTCCTCTAGAACACCTCTCCTGTACTGCTCACAAGAATGCCATGTGGAACCTTGCTGTCTCTCTTGACTTCAGTAAGGTCTGCCACATCTCATTCTAGTGGGCCAATTACTCTAGCAAAAAATGAAACCAGATTGGTTTGACAGTCTGGTTTTGACAAATCCACTTTTTTAAGAACCTTGCCACAACTCTCTAGGTCCTTAAAGACAGCTTTTTAGTAAATTCTTCCTGAATTGTCCTGGGAATAAAGATCTTGTTAACTGATCGGTGATTCCCTACCTGTTCTCTGCTCATGTCTCTCCCTCATTTAAGACTAGGTACTATGTTTGCCTGTGTCAAATCCTCTGAGATCTCTCCCATCCCCCCTGAGTACCTGAAGCTCATCACTAATAGTTCAGAGATTACTTTGGCTTGTCCCTTACATACTTTAGGGTCAAATACATGACTTAATATTGTTTAAGATTTTCTATTTTTTATCTGGACTGTACTTTTATCCCTCGCAGTTAATACTGACAATATATTGTGCAATTTGGTTTGTACTGAAATATTCCAGTTGTTTGCTTTATGTCAAAAGCATTACTTTTCAGTGAAAGAATACGGAGAAAATCTTTCAATTAGCTGCACTCTTAATCTCTCAAAACATTCATCACTGCAATCTCCTCCTGTAATTTTATCTCAGATTTTCATACAATTGACATTTCCAGCAAAACCAGTCTATGAAACAGACACTTCTCCAGGAACATAAAAAAAGTAAGTGTGGGCATACTTTTTTGAAGGTCCACGATCTTGTATTTTATATTTGAGCTGGCAATTGCTCAGGACACTGCTCTTCAGAAACATACCAAAAGCAGTTAATAGTCCCAATTCATTAATAATTATATTAAGACAGATTTATTATCCATAGTGGAATTCAACATTTAAAGTTATCCAAATCTGCTACAGAGATAAAAATTTACATAAATGTTCTAAATACAGGCAGAAACTTTCTGCTCCTTTGATTATAGTTTGAGAAGGAAAAGATGAAGGGTTGACAGCAGAAGACATGTAAAAGACTCTGTTTCTAGCACAAATTTTTTACCTACCTCTTCCTTCCCTCCCTCAAACAGGAGTAGCTGATGCAGCAAGAAAATAAATGAGATTACAGAAAGTGTTCACTGTGTGTTCATGTTGTATGCTTTATGAAAAGGCATTTCTCCCTGCTTGCTGTATGACACTTCCATCCAGCGTGCAGGAAAAACGTGCTAACAAAAAACCCAAAGCCAAATAATGTGATTTTAAGAATATGCACAAACAGGGTGGCTCAGAAGAAGATGAAGCAATAGAAACTGCTTCTAACTTTTAAAATCACCTAGATTACAAATTGCCTACAATCTTCATCAACACAGAAAACATTTTGTCTTCTCCTTATAGCACCTGATTAATCCATGACAATATGCAATTGTTGATTCTTTGTTTAGCCTCCTTCTATTACCATTTATTCAGAGTAGATGTATCCATGTCAAAAACTATTCTGCACAGAGCACAGTGTAGGCTAATCTGCTCTGATCTGTGCTGCCTCTCAGTGAGAAGGGTGAAGGACTTAATTTTATAGTGACATATTCTTCAGTTGTTCATTATCTGCAAAGCTCAGAGGGCACTACTGCTTATGACTCCAAAATAAAGGCAAATCTCTATCTAAACCCGACAATATTCACATTTGATTTCTGGTTTTAAATGAGTTCTGGTTCTAATTCAACACGGGAGAGAAACTTGTCAAACTGATTTCAGCAGGACTTCATGTGTGCTGCAAAGACAAGGACATGCTTAGCGTCCTTGCCACATTACAATTTGTAATGAGGGAGGCACGTACCAAAAGCGACTGTCCTGCCTGCCCGCTCATAGCTTTGGGATATGCCAAAGCCAGAGCCATGCTGGAGCACTGGGAAGCTGACACGAAGTCCAGCTGAGGCTGAAAGGAGCCTGACACACAATTAGATTTTCCCAGATTCCTCCTATCCCGACTGGTTTTAATGGGTAACGAGCAGGTTCCATCAAAGTAACTTTCAGAATTTCAGGCTAGAAATGACCACTAAATGACCTAGATTATCTTTCTCTATTACAAAATATCCCCCAGGTA